TAACTAAAGTAGAGTACTTCAAACTGCATTCATTTAGATAATCTGAAAAAGGGTTCACCATGAAAAGTAACATTCTGGAAGTAGATCTGACTAGTCAAATAAAAGTATTTAATACAGATTTTTTCTTATTTTAAGTACACATGTACACACACTACACTGAATTGTAACTAAACCATGAAACCTGGACTAGATCAAGACTAAATCAGGACTAGAAAAGGACCAAACCAAGTCTACATCAGGACTAAACCAGGATCAGACCAGAACAAGTGTAAATACCCCAATGAATTAATAATTTCCCAAAAACAGACAATAGGCAGATCCCAATTCCTTTGTTTAATTTACCAGGACATCATCTTATGTACGTCAGTAGAGTTATAATTGGACACAGAGAGGACCAGATCACATGTGTTGTCCTGCTGGCATGTTGTACGACAACACACACATTTCTCCAACTGAGTGACAACTTGAATTATTTACAATCAAGGCTCAGCAAATGCTATAATTTAGAAAGCATGGCATTTTTCTTCTCCAAAAAAAAAACCAAAAACTTAAAGATTTTCCTCAGCAAACACTCAATTAAATGCATCTTAAAACACTGGCACTGGGGGCAACATGTTGACATAGAAATTACTTGTTCAAACTTCACTTTTATCTCTCTTCTAACTCATATTTCTGTCATAACAATGCGGGAGAGGCAGATCCTTGGCGACAGTTGCTTTGCGTGCCACGAGCCCCCTTATCAGTCAGGACGAGGCAGGAGTTGTTGCTTTGCTTGTCAGATTTCATTACTGTGCTGGAGTTTGTATAAATACCAAATCTATAAATAGAGTGAGGGACTGATGCAAAGTTTCCAGGTCTCAGAATACTTAAGATCTCACAACACAAATGAGACAAATACATTTCACTTCAAAGTTGAGGGATGTCTTCAGCACATCCTGTCTGTTCAGAATGCCCTACAAATATGACATCTGCATCAACAGGAACCTCGTGGAACAGCAAATGAAAGAAAAAGCTCATACACCTCATAAGCAAACGTGCCCTGTAGATATTCAGTTTTATAAAAGTACAGTCATTGCTATGCTTGACTTCTGCCTAGAATGTTCCACAGCATGACATTAAGCTATCTCCATGGAAACAAGCGAGTAATGCCAACAAGTTACACATCAGATCTGTAACACTGAACAGGTAAACCCAGAGTAAGAAGGTATGTTTTTCAGGGTAGCTATAAGCAATATCACCAGATGTAATTGAGTAAATGCAAGATGTATGTTTTATGTAACATGCCCATGACGACAGGCAGGTGACCCCCCCAGGTCATAAAAGTTACATAAAGTATATACAGTGTTGGGAAAGTTACTTTTAAAATGTATTCCCCTACAGATTACAGATTACATACCCCAAAATGTAGTTTGTAACGTAATCCATTAAATTACTTAACGTAATCTGAATACTTTGGATTACTTGATTTGCTGTAGAGAAGCAAAGACTAAGATATCATAACATAAGATGTTTTGTCTGTTAAAAGACAATGAAAAGCCCAGACTTTACTTCACCGTATTAAAAATATTATTGAAAGAAGAGGGGGAGAGACGGTCCGCACAGCATGGTTTAGTCCTGTTAAATCCTATTTTAATCCTGTTTTAGTCTTGTTTTAGTCCTGTTTTAGTCTTGTTTTAGTCCTGGTTTAGACCTGGTTTAGTCTTGGTTTTAGACCTGTTTTAGACCTGGTTTAGACCTGGTTTAGATCTAGTTTAGATCTAGTTTAGACCTGGTTTCAGTCCTGGTTTAGTTCTGGTTTAGACCTGGTTTAGATCTAGTTTAGACCTGGTTTTAGTTCTGGTTTAGACCTGGTTTTAGTCCTGGTTTAGTCCTGTTTTAGACCTGGTTTTAGACCTAGTTTAGACCTGGTTTAGATCTGGTTTTAGACCTATTTTAGACATGGTTTAGATCTAGATTAGATGTAGTTTAGACCTGGTTTTAGTCCTGGTTTAGTCCTGGTTTAGACCTGGTTTAGATCTAGTTTAGACTTGGTTTAGTTTCTGGCAATGAGTGGAATTACCGAAAAAAAAAAAAAAAAGGGATATAGCCCAAAATGTGAAAACAGGAAAACGGGAAAATACCGCCGTGTAATCCATTTATTTCAACAAAGTAACTGTAATCCAATTACCACTCACTGAAACAGTAACCGAATACAGTTACTCATAATTTGTACTCTGATTACGTAACTCCGGTACATGTAATCTGTTACTCCCCAACACTGAGTATATATGACATAAGTTGCCGTTTTATATAAATAGCAACAGTAAAGCTAGCCCCAAAAGTTGTAACTGTAAGGTATAGTAAAGTTACAGTAGTCATACGCAGTAAAAGTTATGGTGCGGGTGACTGAACTTAAATTGAATAGTTTGTAGACACTTTCATACTATTCTTTGAAAAACAGTGTAGAGGTGTAACAGAGCAAGATCTGGAGGGTGGCCAGTTCAGCTCCCCAAACTGCATTCTTGCTGTGTCCCTGACTTAAAGTCTTCTTTGCCTTTGTCCAGCCGCAGGAAGGTTGGTACCACCTTTGCCTGAATGATAATGCAACATAATTACCCAGTGTCCATGCTAAGTTAAAGGCCCCTCCTGTTGAATGTGATGACGGTGCATTGCCTCTCGCTCATGCTAATTAGTCAGTGGATGCCAGTGACAAATGGTCGATGTGTCTATATAACAGCAGCTCATTTGAATCAGGATTAGTCTTCTGAGCTGACCAATAATGAAACAAAACACTGTTAAATGGACAAAAGGCATTATGCAAAGTGTAATGATCCAAGCAGGCATTTACAACTGGGTTTAGCTATAATCCGTTAAACTGTTTACGTTTTCAATCTCACACAAATACTGAAAGACAGTTTGATGCAATAGAAGAGGGTTCCATCCGGGACTTTAAGGTTAATTAACTTTCTAGGATTTAACGGTCAACAAACATTAATTACATCCCATAAAATTTTGGTAAAAGATGGATAATTAGGCTTACACGAAAGGTCATAATAGCATAATTTGCATCTATCTGCAAAATAGAACAGGGTGTACCAAAATTGTTGCAGCAACTAAAGCAACCTTTAAATGGTCAGATTACTGGATACCAAGTGATGGAATGTAACAAAGTAAAAGTAGAAAAGTACTTAAGTACTTACTTTGCTTAAGTATACATAAAGTATCTGTACTTTACCTTTTACAATACATTTGAGAGCAGGTGCATCTATACTTTTTACTTCACTATATTTTATATCTGGTCTGAAAAGTAAACAAGTGTTTTTTATGATTATAACACCTGCTGAGGAATTTATTTCTTGTAAATATTCATAGATTGAGCAAACAAAAATATACAAAGAAAAACAGCTATCTATTCAGTTCACTGAAAAAAAAGGTTGCTGGATTTGCATAAAAAAATTATGGAAAGCGGTTGCATGCAATAAAATTATGTTTAGCCTTTGAAACTTATTTTGATCCCCTTTACACATATTTTTCTCAGAACATGAATGTCACTTTTTCATGTTGATGAAATTTGATCAAATCATGCTGAATATGCATATTTATATTATGCTACCTTATTGTGAAATGTATAAGTATATATAATTTAATTAAATTTACCTAAATCTGTAAAATAATACAAAAACAGTCTTTAGTTTTCTACAGTTCTGTATTGTCTTAAGGGAATCAAACACAAAGAGAGCACAGGGACAGAGACACACAGTTTGGAGCTGGACAGTGTGAAGATTTATTCCAGTGAAGACGCTCTGGTCTCTGCCTGTGAACACAGGAATAAAATGATTACATTATGATGATCTACTCTGTTGTACATGCTTAAATATATTTAAAGTACCTATAATGGACCAGAACAGAATCAGAAGAACATTAGAACTGTATCTGCAGAAACAAAACTCACCATGTGCTGCTTTTCTTCCTCTAAATGCAGTAACAGGGAGGGCATCTGGTATAAAGTCTCCTAGTGCCACATCACCCTGTAGAAACACGATAACTGTTTCAATAGGAAGTATATTTTGAAAAAGTTGTTTAAAATCATTTTAGTTGAGTTACTTACTTTGTTCATCTGTGCTCTGTGTTTTGTTGGTTCTCAAACATCTTCCTTTTTTCTGAAACATCAGCTGTAACATTCATAAACTTCCCCACAGCTCCAGCAGAGCTCTGGATGTCACTTTTTGTTTGTAGACGACTCTGGAACAAACACATTGAAATCTTAGTACAACTGTCACACTCCTGTAGATGGACAGTCAAATATAATTTGTTTCATAGAAGCAGTCCTTACATTAACTCTAATTTCAAATAAAACACCACAAACATGTTTTAACAATGACGTCATTCTAGGCCGGAGAAGCACATAAAATCTTTAAAAAGTCTCACCTCCAGATCATAATCCTCCTGCTCCACACTGTGTGTCCTCTGCTCCTGGATCTGTCCTGTGTCCTGCTACATTTGAATTTTCCCTCCAAAAGTTTTGGGGAGAATTCCAGAGGGAGGAGCCTCACCAGAGATTATAATAGAGTCATGTTTCCTCAACCTGATAGAAACGTGCAGGTCTAACATCAGCCACAATCAAGCGATCTTTGTAAGATTTAAACATGCTGGACAGAGAAATGTAAAAAAGTCATGTTATTGTTGTCAAATTAGTTTTTGCAATTTGAGCAACCCCTCTTGGACCATTTTTTCAGAGTTGGTTCTGTTGAACAAAGGTCAGTACAAATCTTCAATGTCAAAATCAAAATCACTACATTTGAAGCATTATTAGATCTCAGACTTGAAATACTCAAATAGTTTCTATTCTTTAAATACATACACTTGAGCATTTTTTACTCTGGTATCTGTACTTAAGTATCAAAATTGAGTACTTCTTCCAGCACTAGCAGTGCATCATTATTAGTTATGGGGACTCTTGTTACTTCTGTGTAAATCCCTGCAAAGTAGTATTCTCTTAAAATACACACAACAGTACAACATTGTTCGTATGCATAAAAATCACTTTAATTCGAGGTATTTCTTTTATGTCGGTTGTTCATATAAAACTTGCAACACAAACAGCATTAATGTAAAACACTGTTGTCCAACATATTGTTTAAACAAATTCTGTAGTGAACAAAAATCTTGATGTGCTATGTCCTATGAAAAATACTGATATGCTAGGCTGCTTATTTGCTGTCTGGCTGAAAACAACAAAATAAAAAGTGGTAGAGTGGAATACATTTGAGCCAACCTTCTCTCCACATGAATACTGAAGCAATCGTTAGACAAAAACACAACACACAACAAGAATCGTAAGAAGACGCTCTGAATCAGTGAACAATTGGAGATAACCTGGTGTATTGGTCATAGTGTTAGTCCAGATGTGGCATACTGTATAAATACTGTCAAATACCCTGAAAAGTAAAGGGATAACTCCACTATATGCCTTACAATGAGCTCTGACTCTCTTTTCCAATACAATTACCAACATGTTGATGGTGGAAACCTGAATAGCTGACAGCATTTCTTTTGAGATTGTACATTTTGGCACTTTCTCCTCAGAGGATAGGTGTACAAATAAGAAAAAAATAATCATTTGGTTGAATTTGAAAATGAAATGGCTAAAGCATTTTATTTTAACAGTGAAATCAAATTACATGAAGAAGCTACAACTTAGAATTTGTGATAGTCGCAAACCTGAAGGACTTAAGTTTGTAAAGTCTGAAACAATCATAACTTCAGCTATAATTGCTTAGTGAACTGTACACTATTTGTACCTTAAATTTATATTATGTAACTTTTTTCTGGCAAAGCGATAACAACTCTATGGCAACAAGTAGTTGGCTGACCCACCAGAGAAGTTACATAGTCCATCTTTAATACAGTGACTTTTTTACAGTGGCTTGTTTTAAAAAAAAAAAAAAAAAAAAAAAAAAACATACAAAGGGTTGAGCATGAGGGTAAGGAGGCACAACTGAAGGCTGCTGGTGTAGTTGTAATAAAACTGGACAGAGCAGACCATTGGGGGCAGACAATGACAGTAATAGGTTGGGACAGTGTTAAACATCCACTAAAACTCAGTGTGGATGTGCTCCCCCCTGAACGCTGCACTGTCACTGGGCTTCATGAAGACTCCCTCCATGGCCTTCCACAGACTGTGCTGGCTGGGGCTGGACATGGCATGCACCTCCCTCTGTCCCTGGATGGGTCTCCCATACTGCTCGCCGGTCACGGAGAGCAGGGCATCTGTGGCTCTGTGCCTGAAGCGGACCGCTTCCTCTCTACCCCACACGCTGCCGCCACACTGCACGGTCCACTCATCCAGGTGGTCCCCCTCACCCTCCTCGCCGAACGCACTCACCTCCTGCACATAAGATTTACAATGTTACACACGGAAATGTATGCATGTTTTATAGGCCGGGGCCCAGGTCCTCCACCACAATTATTTTGCTACCGAGTGTGCACCTTACAAGTTCAGGGTCTTTTGTTTTAACTTGGCTCTGTTCGGTCTCAGGGCCCCCAAAACCCCCTTTGTGAGACCCAACTTGTGCAAAATGATATAAGTCTGTTAAAAATAGTGCTATAGTCACAGCCAGTGTCACAGAAACAGAACAAAGCTTACTGACATGATGAGGAATACAACAATATAACCTTATATATATATATATATATATATATATATATATATATATATATATATATATATATATATATATATATATATATATATATATATATATATATATATATAGTCTTTTTTAGACTGTATGTTATAGGAACTAGGAACTAGGACCAAAGCAGGTTCATTATCTCAAATGGCCATCCAGTTTTTGTCAAGAAAAAATATAACAGGCCCAAGCGTAGTGGTATCACCTCAGACAGGTTCAGTGGTATTATTCATTTTAGATTAATAGCGCTACCACACAAAAATAGTCAAATTTCTTCCTCCAAAGTTTGAACTCTGTAGAAATAACATGCATGCACATGTTTGCGAGAATTCATAAGAAATAATTTTAAATGTATGACAGTGGGCACAGCTGGCTTGAAGAAAGGGGGAAAGATCTGTTAATAGGAAGCACGTTTGGGTATGTTTTGCTTATCTAATAGCATGCAAATGAAACAAATCATTAACATTAAATGAATGTTAAGGGAAAAAAAATATACTGTAGTGATAGATATTCTCCATTTCTACTCAAGGGTGGAATGTTCCTGAAACCATTTGAAATATTATCCAGCTTGTACTGAACCTGTACTTGTACCAATGCTATTATGTATTGTAAATGATTCATTCTGAGTATTTCTAAAGCGTAATGAACAGAAACCCATTTCCAATGAGAAGTAGTCTGTGCCAAATAGTGCCAGGCTCTTAGAAAAGCTGCCCAGGCAGGCACACCAGCAAGGAATCAAGCTGTAGAGAGAAATATTAATCACTAAAATGTAACTCATAGGTTTATTTAAAAAAAGAAGAAGAAGGTCGGAGGAAGATTACAGAGCCTTTAAAAACATATGTGTGGAAATTTCTCTAATCAACCATCTACTGTATGAATTTCAAAAAAAATGTAACTTGGTATTCATAACTGAGACAGTTTAATGGTCAGATCTATGGAAGAGCCAGAATCCATGTTTTTAAGGTATTTTTGAGCTATAAAAAACCTGGAATTGCACAAATGCAAGGGAGATATGTTTAATGCCCTTGTGTGGAACATTCAAGGCAAGAAATACCTTCACTCTGTAGCAGACCGTCCACCTTAGAAGTTAGATAGTGCACCTTTAATAAGTTAGATGGCATTTATTGTGGACAAGTGTCAAAAATACACATTCATCATAGGAGTAGTAAGGCAAGTGTAGCAGTAGTGATAGTAGTTCTAGTTGTAGTAACATGTGTTGTTTTTTTTGTAATCACCTTTGGCACTAGTGTTGTGATTGTTGTGATCATTTTATTCAATGGCAACATTACGTGTAAGAATACATTTTGCATTAAAAGTTGTGTCTCCTTGAAACTTGAGCCATGCTCTAAAGTCATCTGTCTGTCTTTCTGTGTTAATTCAGTGGATCTTTGTGTCCTTGCTGAATCTGCACTAAACATGACTAAAGGATTTCTATTGTGGCTCTGACACAGAAACAGATCAGGAAGGCCCAGTAAATCATTAATGCATATTTACCACACCTGTTTGTACTTTTGATGGGGAAAAACAAAGAAACTGTAGTAATTCTGGACTATATGCCAACATTTACATGTACAGATTTTTTTTTCCTCACTCACAACAAAGAACATAAATAGAAGAACATTACTGAAGTCTGTGCCATTTTACACATACACAGAAAAATCACAGAAAAATGAATAATCTGAAAAATGTTTTTCTCAAAAAATCTGTGTAGTAATAATTACACTATTTTAATACTATTGTTTGCCTATATTTGTATAGTTGTGTGAGCATGTATTGAGCAACCATGACCATGAATAAGTTATGTTAATTTCTCTTATGATTTTTGTAGAAGTATGTCTGGTCCTCACCTGATTGGAGGAGAGAGGAGAGGCAAAGTAATGGCTGTGGAGGTTGCGTCCCGTGTTGACGTGAGTGAGGCGAATGGTTTGGCCACATTTGACCGGAGTTCCACGATGGCACACAGCGTCCCTCGTCCCACGAATACTCCAGTAACTGTTACTGTCCTCCACCGCTGTAACCCCGGTAACAGACTGCTGCCCACTACCTGCACACAAATATTTAAACAAAAAGAGGCATATTTAAGGACAAGGTACATTTTAATGTAGAGGACAAATTTCCCTACGGGGCTGTAGAGAAATTTGTCTTCTATATTTTACACATCCTTCAGTAATCTGCTTGATCATTTTTGAGTCAATAATAATTCTCAACCCATAAATTTAAATAACTATGTTAATGTTAGCCATGTTCACAAGTGATCTCTTTTAGATTGACTGCCATCCATTGTGATCTGATATAGTCATTATAATCAATTTCTTCAAAGGTTTGGAGAAGTTTGTCATGTCCAAAAGCTACTTTGGTTCTACAGTACTCGAAATACACGGCATTAAAATTCAGTGTTGTTAGCCGATATAGTTGTCATTTTTATTTATTTGCCTTGCTTGTTTTGATTTTAAAATGATTAATGTGCATTACTAAAATGTTTGACATTAGGATTGTGACGTCGTAGACAGGTCACATCCATCAGTTGTTCTAGACGCTCAGTCTGTCGCAAACAGTGACCCTTACACATACTACTACAGTGTACCATTGGAAAACAACCCTGAGTAAAAATACAATCATTAATGTAATGTAACGTGGTCCAAAACTCACCGGAGCCGTAGCGTACGTCGTGTGAATGGAGTCTCACGTTATGCTTTATGTTTAACAGCTTAATAACTGATCCACATGTCACAAAACTCAGCTCGGAGCCCAAACACAGACCTAATAGACACGATAAGATGAATATAATGGCTGACATTGAGGTATGAAGAATATTACATCTGAAAATGCCCATTCTTTGGCTGATCAGTGCCTCACAAATCTGCTCGATACCGCTACGTCATTGAAAAGGTGTTGTGCTGCTGCAAATAATTTGAAAACAGCACCGCCTATAGAGGCGGAGTGTTTACTGCACGCAGAAAAAAGCATATAAAGACTTTAATTCCATATTGCATTAGTTATATTTATTTATACAATAAACTGATATACCACCATGGGGAGTGTTGATTTGTGCGGAGTGTGTTTTATTTTTTATTTTATTTTGAAAATCCATTAAGCGCATCCTGGAAGCGCCTCAGCATCACGATGCAACACGAGGTAGATTTGCATTTGGTGCTATCCTATAGAAATGAGGGACTGTAGTCACAAGAACCCAGGTGGGTGCACTCATGATGATCATCATGTCATAAGTAGACCTCACAGATGCGAGATTACCGTGGTTGTGAGTTGATGGTCCATACAATATCCAATTTAAGATACTACAATACCCATTTTTATATTACTCCAGAGTTGTCATGTCAGTTATTTTGGCCTGATTAGGTCAGGGTTATGATGTTTAATTAATAGGCCCTAACCTTTAAAAAAATCCTATACATAGAGAGAATGACTTAAAGTGTGAAATCCAAAACAGAATAAAGCAGAGGACCCAAATAAAGTGGATTATTTAAAAATACTCATTGTCAATGGAAATGAAGATGTGGACTTTGAAGAATGTGACTCAGAAAAGAACAGGACATCCAAGAGAGACAATTAATATGTGCATAACAAAATATAAATATATATTTTAAAAATAGATGGATGGGACACAGAATACAGCTTTACAGATTGATGGGGAGATTGTGACAGAGAGATTCTTTTAAAACATCAGAACTTTTACTCAGGAAGGTAAAAGACCCCACAGCATTCAAAACAAGCCTAAAACTAAGCTCAGACAAATGTCAAAGTCTTTGTCTAATTTCTCTGAACCAACTGTAGTTTAATATAGATAAAACCAGAATAAAAAAAGTATTAACCAGTCTTCTGTAAAATGAATTCTACTGGTTGCAATGTGGTTTATATAGGGTACATTTTAAATATGAATTCCTTATTGCTTGGAAAATCACTTGTTATTTTGTGTATAAAATATTTACATCAAGTGCACGGTCTTCAGTTTCTCCTGGCTTATCAAAAATACAGACTACTAACTTTGAGTAATTGTATGTGTATACTGTTATAGGCTACTGTTTAATTTGATACTATTCAGATTACAGTTACTTTGCTAAAAAGGGAATATCCAACATTGTGGTATTTGATCATTAAAAAAATAAAATAAATAAATAAGTAAAAAATCATTCATTATTTATTCTCCAGTGTCTTCTCTAATTGGTGACAAATAATTAGGCTACATGATGAATGCTGCAACAAATTTAATAACCCTATTTTGCAGTTTGTTTTTGTTTTTTTTCCATTATATAATGTAACTGAGTATAAAGGTACCATAAGCATTCAGAATAAGTCTCTCAGATTGGACCAGTTGTATTTGTGTAGTAGGCTGTGTTAAAGGGATTTAAACCTTTCTTGATGTGTTTTTAAACATAGATTGTATAAAGAAGCATGGATAGGCCTGCCCTCTATGGTTTTGAAGCAGCGTTTGATTTATTTTATTTTGAAAACTCATCCACAGGAAATTCTATATGACCATCCCGGAAGTGGCCTCATGTTGCGCATCGCGGCCATTTTTACAAAAACCTCCTCGAAATGACAAAACACAACACAGGGACACATTAATTATTGTAAATATTAACTGGAAATACGGCTGCTGTAAGACCCGTAAGTCAAATGTATCCGTGATCCTTTGTGGTTTCTAGAAGGATAACAAAAGACCTGATAACGACTTAAATCTTGTTGTTTTGTGAGTGTTGTTGTTATTTCTGGTTATGCTAGTTGGGCTAGCGGACACGAAAATTACAGCGAGTTAAGGCCTGCTATCTGATCATCATCTGATCGTCATAAACGATTAATATTATATACGATGAGGGAGATAGGCGTTTAAGTTATTACAAGTTATCTGTAGTATTGCTAAGACGGTGGCCTTGCTCCCATTTCCAAAGCCTACCCGACCTAGCATTTTAAACACAGTTAGCCATGCGAGTCATGGCTAGAAACTAAAAATCCTTTTATTTTTACGAACAATGGCTTGGGCAAGTACGTTTTAATGTTTTATTTTAGCCTAATGAATGTATTGGTTGATGAGCTACCTATGTTGAGATTACTAACAGCTCCTATCTTCACAACAGAAGCACACAAAAAACAACAACGTGGGGAATATGGTAGTTTGGTCAAGCATGAAAAATAGCATTACATGTTATATTTACTGTGTAAGACTCAAGGCTTTGTCAGCTTTAGATGAATGTAAAACTTCCCACTTGTTTTTTTTGTGTGTGTGTGTCAGATTGTCTCTTATAGATCTGTATAATGCATTTTTTGTGTCCTGAAAATAATTTCGTATAATTGTAGAAAATAGTCAAAAGGAATCTAAAAAGCTGTCAATGAAGGCATTTTATTCACAAATTACTTTACATTTTATAGGAACATGTCTCACTTTATTGAAAGCGAGGCTGAGGAGTCAGAGGAAGAGTTTGAGGAGAAAGATTTGAAGCCGAAGAAAAGTCAAAGATTTGCCGAAGATGGTAAGACGTTATTTTTCATAGACATTTGCAGCATACATATGATGGATCTGCTTAAACAGACGATGAGGAGGAGGAGGAAGAGAATACCGAGGACCAGGATGAACAGGGAAACCTTCGAGGACTCATCGATGATGGAGATGAAGAGGAGGAGGAAGAAGTGGAGCGGAGCGCGAGTGGAGGAGGCAGTGACTCCGAGGATGAGGTCATGCATCGGCGGAAAAAACGTGGTGAGTTAGTTTTTCATTAAATTTTCAGAACTATTATTGATATATGTATTTTCTGGAAGTTATTGTGTTTCGGCTGCTTTTGCATATTTATTTTTTCTGTTACTGCAGTTGAGTAGTGTTAATACATTTAATTCTCATGTGCCTTGGTGAACGTAAAGCAAAAGTTTGTGTTATTACCCCACTAGTAAAAGGCATGATAGAAATGAATGACATGAATGACATAAGAGATTTGGAAATGACTTCAAATGAACCTGGACAAGAAAATGTAAAACATAAGTGCATTTAGATTATTTAAAATTGCCCCTCTTGACAGCTTATGATGACTACCTGGATGATGATGACCTTGACCTCATTGAAGAAAACTTGGGAGTTAAAGTCAAAAGAAGGGTAAGGACTTAGTATTTTGTAGAAATGTGTTAAATACTGCACGGTATTAGAATCCTCTGTAAATATCTACAAGTGATATAACAAGTAATGCTAATTGTGCGTATGTTATGTGTTACAGAAGAAGAAATATGACCGCGTGAAAATGATGGATGATGATGAGGATGATGATAAGGACATAATTGCTGATGAGATCTTTCATGGTGATGGAGATGGAGATGCTGAGCTTGAGGAGGGAGACGCTGTTGAGGAACCACTGCCACAGGCCGAGGATGAGGAGGGTGCAGAAGATGAAGAGTCAGGTGGGCATTTTGTTGTTTTTGGAAAAATAAGGATTCATTGACCTTGAACTTACTGAACAGCTTGCTGTTGAAAGCAAGAGCAGCAGTGGTAGTTAAGGGAGAAAAGTTGAATGAATGATTTTATCTCTTGTATCCCTCATAAATCCGACTTGTGTATATATATAAATGATGAATGACTAATTAAAAAACTAAGAAGTGGTTTATATAAATAAGTAAAGTAAATGTGATATGTAATTCTTGCTAATGCAATTTAAATAACTTGGACTTAGATAAACTTTACTGAGATGGTTTATCATTTAGATATTGATGACTTCATTGTGGATGATGATGGCCAACCTATCACAAAGAAGAGGGGAAAGAAGTTCTCTGGATACACAGATGCGTACGTGTCAATAATTTTGCAGTATTGCCCTAGTTGATAGTTATTTGCACATTTGAACAAATTATTAAGTAATAATTGTACCTCTTTTGACAGGGCTCTGCAGGAGGCCCAAGAGATTTTCGGTGGAGATTTTGATTTTGCTGATTTTGACGTTGATGCCTATGATCAGGGTGAGGAAGAGGAGGAAGACCAGGATGAAGAGGGCTGGGACCGTCCAAAGAAACAGACCAAGAGAAGATTAGGACGAAAGAGCATCTTTGAAATCTATGAGCCAAGTGAACTGGAGAGCAGCCACATGACTGACCAGGACAATGAGATTCGGACCACAGACATGCCCGAGCGCTTCCAGGTAAGGACAGCTTGTTCATGAGCAAAAGTATTTTTTATATGTCAATTTAAGTGGAAATGTGCTCTAATCAATATTCGATTTTTTTGGCTTAAATGTATTAAAATGTTTTCACCTCTAGTTAAGGGCAATTCCTGTTAAACCTGCTGAAGATGAAGAGTTAGAAGAGGAAGCAGAGTGGATTTTCAGACACGGCTTTTCAACCCTCACCATCTCTATGCAGGTGCAGCTTTAGATACGTGTTCATAATAACAGTATGTTTCTCTCTATGAGTCTCTTAATGAATGTACGTACCTTTTGTCTTCCAAATAGGAAAGCACAGATTATCTTGACAGAGGGACCACCACAAACTTCAGCAGAAAAGGCCCTAGCACAATAGCTAAAATTAAAGAGGCGCTCAACTTTATGAGGAATCAACAATTTGAGGTAATGTATGAAATAAATACAATTTGAGATTCAGTTTGATTACTGTATGCAGTAACATACAAAAAATAAAACATTTACCTTAATAGTCTTACAGCTTACACCGCAATTTTATATATTTGTTATTTGTTTGCATTGTATTTTTATTTTTCACTTAGAAACAATTAAAACTCTCTCTCCACTGTCTCAGGTTCCATTCATAGCATTTTACAGAAAAGAGTATGTGGAGCCTGAGTTGAACATCAATGACCTCTGGAAAGTGTGGCAATGGGATGAAAAGGTGAGTCTGTTTAGTTTTAACATCAAATTTCAATTTTTAAAACTTAATATTTGACCTTAAATATTTCTGAACCCTCCAGTGGACTCAGCTGAAGACCCGGAAGCAGAATTTGACTCGTCTGTTTCAGAAGATGCAATCATTTCAGTTTGAGCAGATCTCCGCTGACCCCGACAAACCTTTGGCTGACGGCATCCGACCACTGGACACAGCTGACATGGAGAGGTAACTGAACTCAAACATCCGTATTACTTTAGAATCATGTTAGATGAAAATTAAAGTCAAAAGAACATACCACATTGTTTAATTTGCTCAATCTTGCATCAGACAAGTGAACACTAGATCTGTGTTGTTAAATTTCAGTATTTTAACTGTTTCACTATTTTCTGTACTAGTGATTTCTTATGCGAATTGAAATATTATTTCCAGGTTAAAAGATGTTCAAACTCTGGAAGAGCTGGGTGATGTGTACAACCACTTTCTTCTTTATTACGGCCGTGATATCCCTAAAATGCAGAACGCAGCAAAAGCCAACAAGAAGAAGCTCAAAAAGATTAAAGAAGTAAACGAGGATGGTAGGCCAATCTCGAAAGACCAATACATTTTCAACATGGTTAAGTATTTTGTAAATTGTTTTTTTTTGTGGGCTGTAGGTGAGGAGGAGGAACTGGAGGTCGAAGAAGAAGAGGAGCAGAAAGGCCCAGATCTGAAACAGGCCTCTCGCCGAGACATGTACAGCATCTGTCAGAGCGTAGGACTGGGTGAGTAACAATTTTAAGAAAAATATTTAAGAAATTGTATTTGTAAATTACATGTGATGACAAATATAGACTTTTGTAATACATCACACAGCCATTTGAAACCAGTAAAATAAGATAAAGTGTGTTGTTTAATCTGTATTAAAGTTTTTTGTTTTTTTTCCTTCAGATGGGTTGGCAAAGAAGTTTGGTCTTACTCCTGAGCAGTTTGGTGAAAATCTCCGTGACAGTTACCAGCGTCACGAGACGGAGCAGTTTCCTGCGGAGCCGGTGGAGTTGGCCAAAGACTACGTGTGCAGCCAGTTCTCAAACCCTGAGGCTGTGCTGGAGGGGACCCGCTATATGGTGGCGATGCAGATCGCTCGGGAGCCTCTGGTGAGACACGTGCTCCGACAAACCTTCCAGGAGAGAGCCAAGATCAACATTAAACCCACCAAGAAAGGCAAAAAGGTAAAGGCTCTAACCAGTTAAATACTGCTGTAAATACACATGTAGCATTAGGGCTGTCGCGGTTAGGGAATTTCTCTTGCGGTGCGGTATAGCAGCTCAGCACCGCTGTATACAGCGACGATACTGCACCCACTCCCCCACCCCCCATCCCCTAGACTTACAACATTTTAAAACTCTCTCCGATGATGCGCCTGTTGTGCAGATGCATATGTACCTTGGTTGTTGTGCGGATATAGCGTGTGTAGCGTAGGAGAAGTAACATTTGGCTTTGGAACAAGTGCCGCTGCATCTCTCCAGCTCTCACTGTGGCAGCTCGGGTCAGAGTCCTGCACCAGGTCGGGTACCCACGGACTTAAGAGAGAGAGCCCCGAGCATGCGGAGCAGGTGCCCGCAAAGCGTGATCGGGCGACGGCTGCGCTTACGTCTGTGCGGCGCGGAGCTCTACGTGGGTCCTTTCCCCTGCGGTCACCCGATGGTCTACATGGGCGCACCTTAGTCCTGGGTTAGTCCTGGGTTAGTCCTGGGTTAGTCCTGGGTTAGTCCTGGGTTAGTCCTGGGTTAGTCCTGGTTATCACAAGCACGGGCAGTAACAGGTAGAATGTTAACGGGCAGGTGCGGGTCTCTAAAAATGGACCCGTGCATCCGTCTCTGGGTCGGGTCACGTTGGTCATGTGCGGTGATCGCAGTGGCCTAACATGCACTGTGTCTTGGTGCGTCTCTTAGTACCGCGGTGATTCATTTTTGCCGATATCGCGACAGCCCTATGTAGCATTATATATACCACAGCATTGGCAGCTTTTACTCTGCATCTTGTACACACATGAAAACCACCAGATCTGTTTCTTTCAGTCAATTAAGCATATATGATATTGCAACCAGGAATTTAGAGCTTACTTGTACCCAGGGTTTAGCTGAATCCATAAAATGTTATTTCTACTAGACTAAAATGTTCTTTCACTGTTTTACTTTGTGTTAATCTGGTGTTACTTTTTTGATGATAGTCTTTCTTTATGTTCCCCCTACATTTTTTTTTTCCCCTCACAAAATACTCTTTAAAATATAAATCATTAAATCAACAGCCCATCTCCAATTTCATATTTTTAGGTTGCTACACATCATATTTCTCAAGTTCATCTTTGACTTTTACCACCTTTTTGCAGGAAGTAGATGAAGCACATTTTGCCTACTCTTTCAAATATCTGAAAAACAAACCAGTGAAGGAGCTGAATGGGGATCAGTTTCTCAAAATGTGCCTGGCAGAGGACGAGGGGCTGCTCACCATTGATATTTGCATTGACCTCATTGGAGTTAAAGGGTAAAGTGTCTATTAAAATGGCTACAGAAAAATGTTCTAGCTCAATGCTATCTTCCCTTCTGCTAAAGAGAAACAAACAACAGTATTAATCCATCTAAAAAAATTGAATATCATGAAGAAGTTAAATAATTTTTCACTCATTTCAGAAAGCCAACCACATAGAGTCATGATGCATAGCGTGAGACTTGAAAGCTTCACTTTTTTAGATGGACTCGTATATATCAAGGGCATGGCTGAATTTTGAACGGATTTGAGAATTGTGTCTATCTTTTCGGCAGTTCTTACAATTTTACTTCAGTTAATACTGTAACCTTCATAAACACAAAATGTTTCTTAAAGGAACCTGAGGCATAGATGACTACTAAAACATATGCACATTTATTTCAACAAGCTTTATTTCAATTTACTTCAGGTTTCCCACTGTGACTGCCCTAATTTCACATATGCTGCAGTGATTTGATCGTCTATAGCTTGCATGTACCATGGTATATTATTTCTTGTATGTCTTTCTCTTTTGAAAATCTAAGCTTCGATGTTACTACAGCCAACATTAGTAGGGTAGCCCATGTGTGATTACTTTTTTGATTATTCCTATTTTTCTTTCTTGTACCATGTTGATGTCTGAATGCTTTTGCCTTTATTGTTTGATGCAGGTTTGCTGGAGACCAGACATACTTTGACGAGATCAAACAGTTTTACTACAGGGACGAGTTTAGTCACCAGGTGCAGGAGTGGAACAGGCAGCGGACCATGGCCATAGAGAGGGCGCTCAACCAGTTCCTCTATCCACAGATGTCCAAAGAGCTTAAGGCCAAACTCATCGCTGAGGCCAAAGAAAGCATCGTCAGGGTAAGAATACTCTGCATAATATGAATCAGTTTATTATTGTTTAAAAAATTACACAAGAAACCAGTTCTAACTTAGAATTGCGTTTGAAAACGTGAACATGCCAGTATTGCATTTGGAACTTGGACAGGACGAGGACTAGATTTGGACTCATATTCAAACTACTACTATATCCCAAACCGTACTAATGAGGTTTTATCTGCAGTCTTGTTGTCGACGGTTGTACAATTGGCTGAAGGTCGCCCCCTACAGGCCCGATCAACAAATTGAAGAAGACGACGACCTCATGGATGAGAGCCAGGGCAAAGGCATTAGGGTGATGGGAGTAGCATATGCACCCAGTCGGTATGTGTTTTTGTTTTCTGTTGCTGTTTTTGAGGTGAATATTCTTCTTTTTGGATCATAACTCCTTGATTTATATTGCCAGAGACACACCAGTATTTTGTGCACTTATTAATGGTGAGGGAGAGGTGGTAGACTTCCTGCGGCTGCCTTACTTCATGAAGAGGAGAAATGCCTTTCGGGATGATGAACGAGAAAAGAAGGTGCATAGCCTTTAAGCGTTAGGTTTTTACTGCTGTTTTTATGTCATTCAGTGCATGCATCTGTAAGTACATGTCTTAAATTGTTGGGTTTATGTCTGTGTTGTACTTGGTAACATGTAATACATAAAAATATGAATTTTGTAAAAAAAAAAAAAAAATATATATATATATATATATATATATATATATATATATATATATATATATATATTGATTTAAAGTTGTCAGTGTCAGTCTTAATTTTCCTTAATATGAATTTCTTTATTTTAATTTTAGGCTCACGACATGGAAAATCTGAAAAGGTTTTTATCGAGCAAAAAGCCTCATGTGGTAGCTGTAGCAGGGGAAAATAGGTACATTTTGGATTCTGTTACATTTTTTTGAACATTCTTTTAGAAATATTGCTAAACTATAATTTATTTGCAGAGATGCTCAAATGATCATGGAGGACATCAAAAGAGCCATCAGTGAGCTGGAACAGGAGTCGTCGCTGCCCACTGTTGGAGTGGAACTGGTGGACAATGAGCTTGCCACACTTTATATGAACAGCAAGAAATCAGAGGTGAAATCGTGTACAAAAATACCAAGTTAATCTCAATATAGATATGGCTGACTATCTTTCTTCATTATAGACGGACTTCAGAGATTACCCCCCATTACTGCGTCAGGCTGTGTCCATTGCCAGAAAGATCCAGGATCCTCTGGTGGAGTACGCTCAAGTCTGCAGCACTGATGAAGACATTCTCTGCCTCAAACTGCACCCCTATCAGGTTAGTAATAAAATACTTTGTTTGCTCTGGTTTTAGCAACAAACATTTTCTTGTTATTGTGTAATAATATACTTTTTATATTGATAGTAAGGTTATATGTCTGTACGATGTCCTACCGGGTATAATCTTCAGAATTATTCTGAGAACACAAATTCCAAATATTTATCTCCAAGCTTGGGCTGGATTGCTCTTGCGTAAAATGAGTGCATAAAAGCCAACTTCACCACCTATCACAGCAAACAATACAAGTAAAACTACACTGTCATCTTTCTCAGGAGCATGTGGTGAAGGAGGACTTGCTCAACGCACTCTACTGTGAGTTTATAAACCGAGCCAATGAGGTGGGTGTGGACGTGAACAGGGCCATTGCACACCCTCACACTCAGAGCCTGGTGCAGTACGTCTGTGGGCTGGGGCCAAGGAAGGGCTCCCATCTACTTAAGGTAAATACATATGACGCTTGTATAGTAATAATGAAGATAGCACTAATCTAATGCTGGTTGTCGAGGTACACATTTATATGATTAGGTAATACAGAATTTACTATTCAATGCAAAGTTCAATGTTTGGAGTTAGGCCTTTCATGTTAAAATGTAGACACTATAAAGTTACTATAAAGTCTGATTTAGAATTTCAGTTTTTCAATGATCTAGTTTAGTAAAAACTATAAATAGACTTTTTACTGACTCCGAGTATTTATGTTTTGTCTTAGATTTTAAAGCAGAACAACACTCGCCTTGAAAACAGAACCCAGCTTGTTACAATGTGTCACATGGGACCCAAAGTATTTATCAATTGTGCTGGTTTTATAAAAATTGACACTGCTTCATTGGGAGACAGGTAAGTTGAAGCTAAAAAGTTACACCACAAGCTCAGTTAGCTCAGTGTTTAAATAATCTTGTTGCCTAATTCCAACAGCACTGACTCCTACATAGAGGTGCTGGATGGGTCCCGTGTGCACCCGGAGACTTATGAATGGGCGCGTAAAATGGCGGTCGATGCCCTTGAGTATGATGAGTCTGCTGAAGACGCCAACCCTGCAGGAGCTTTGGAGGAAATTCTGGAAAACCCGGAGCGCCTCAAGGATCTGGACCTGGATGCTTTTGCTGAGGAGTTGGAGAGACAGGTCAGTGACTAAATATTGTTTGGTATTAAAACAAATAATCATAATGGAGTTTGTGTTAGCAATGTATAATAGACCTGAATATGCCACACTGTGCTGAAAAGAAAAAGAAAAGAAAAAAAACAACCAATGTATTGTTTACATAATTTTACATTTTATTTAATTTTTTAATTTTATTTTTACAAATGCGACTTGAATACATTGTTACCTTCCATAATAATTCCATGCAACCAAGGTGTACTTAATGTCAGCATCCCTGTACTATTTGTTGTAAAAACAAAGAATTTTCTGTTTAGGGTTATGGAAACAAGGGAATTACACTTTATGACATCCGTGCTGAGCTGAGCTGTCGGTATAAAGACCTGCGAGTCCCATACAGGGTCCCAAACACGGAGGAGGTTTTCAACATGCTCACCAAAGAGACTCCAGAGACCTTCTACATAGGTAAAATACTACCTGACCACAGAAGCCTAAAAGAAAACTGTTGTGTTTAAGTAAATGTGGGCTTTTCTGTATGTTGTTCTTGCAGGTAAACTGATCACGAGTATAGTGACCGGTATAGCTCATAGAAGACCTCAGGGGGAGAGCTATGACCAGGCCATCCGTAACGACGCAACCAGTCTGTGGCAGTGTCCTTTCTGTCAGCAGGACAATTTCCCAGAGCTCAGTGAGGTAAAATGGTTCTGATTAATACTTGTTTTCAGGAGTTATCACAGAAGGTTCTCAGCATCCATCCAACCTTGTCTTCTGTGTTCTCTCACTCCAGACTTCCCTTTCACTACATCTGCTCTTTAGGCCACCTTCTCATGTCTTCATCTAACTTTAGCTACAAAACATCTAGGTTATGATGTTTTTTGTAATCTCTCTACTCTCTCATAAACAATGATGTTCTACCCAGTTTTTTGATTTCTCTGTGTTCCTTACTGCTACTGTCTTAATTGTACCAAATATTTGGTAAATAGTAAACTAAGTAAATTATATTGTGTTTTGTAAAAGCAATCTTCTGCAACAAAATGAGACCACTATAGACTTTCTGCTTCCATGTACAAAGCATTTTATCAAAGGAAAACTTGGAGAAAGTTTGTGTATGTCACTGTGTTTCATAAATATGAAGACCAGCTATGTGGCACTAGCTTTTTGAAATTTATGTCAGTCAAGAGCAATGGTTAAAATTATAGCTACCTACTTCTTTTTTTCCTGGTTTGAGAATCTGGTATCTCAATTTTACTATTTCAAAGTTAACTTCCCTCGTCTTGTGTGGTCTAGGTTTGGAACCACTTTGACAGTGGCTCATGTCCTGGCCAGGCTATAGGAGTTCGATCCAGGCTTGATAATGGCGTCCAGGGATTTATACCCACTAAGTTTCTCAGTGATAAAGTAGTGAAGCATCCAGAGGAGAGAGTCAAGGTTGGTAAACTGTTGAAATCCATTATTAAAATTAGCTGCAATGTTGCAATGCCTTTCACTGGTTTGTCCCATAGTTTATGTCATAACCTTTAATTAAGATATACTGTTGCTCTTCCCATAGGTTGGCATGACGGTCCACTGCCGGATAATGAAAATTGACATAGAAAAGTTCAGTGTTGACCTCACGTGCCGCACCTCAGACTTAACGGATCGGGGTAACGAGTGGAAACTTCCAAAAGACACCTACTATGACTTTGACACAGAAACCGAGGACCAGAAACTAGAGGAGGAGCTTAAGAAGAAGCAGCAGAGGACACGTAAGCACTGGGCCTCAGACTCAATGAAAATACATTTATAATTGAGAGACTACGTTGCAAAATAGACTAGCAATTTATTTAATTCTATGACAAATGCACTGGCCTAGACCATTTTCCCTTACACATCAGATTCATTTTGTTGATGCAGGGATGCAATTAAATATAAAGTAATATTTTGTATAAAGGCCTAAACAAACTTTGAAAAATCAAGTCAAGCAAATTATTTGTAAGTGGATGAATAAACCAAATTTAAAAGTAAAAATACTGGGAATCTGTTCATCAATTCCCCCCAAATATTTTATATAATTTTATATGAATTTCTGTTCTCTATAGCCTATATAAAGCGTGTGATTGCCCACCCCAACTTCCACAACATCAGCTTCAGTCAGGCGGAGAAGATGATGGAGACTTTGGACCAGGGAGATCTGATCATCAGACCAAGCAGTAAAGGTGAAAACCACCTCACAGTCACCTGGAAGGTATGGGGATCATTAGTAACACGTGAAAACAATTTATAGATACTAATGTAAAAAAAAAAAAAAAAAACATTACAAATATATGTTTTGTGGTGTTATACAGGTGGCCGACAACATCTACCAGCATGTGGATGTGAGAGAAGAGGGCAAAGAAAATGCATTCAGTTTAGGGCATACACTCTGGATTAACAATGAAGTAAGATTTCCCATGTAATTTTATAATGATGTGAAGTGCTATAGATTATATACTAAATATCCACAAATGCCGTTTGTATTGTTTATAGGAGTTTGAAGACCTGGATGAAATCACAGCTCGTTACATTCAGCCAATGGCATCCTTTGCTCGGGACCTGTTGGGGCATAAATATTTTCAAGACTGCAATGGTGGCAGTAAAGAGGTATGTTTAAACCTGTTTTAAGTATTTTACTATGCTTTTTTTTTCTTTAGCTTTTAACCTTGCTATATTCATTCTCAATATGTTTTAATTCAAATGCTTAATGTATTTTAAGAAGCTGAAATTTTGCATAATTAAGACAATTGTGAGTATTTGCAGCCCAATGTTGCCTTGAGTGTAAACACTATGTCTTTTTTTTTTTATTACTGACAGAAAATGGAGGAAATTTTGGTCAAGTCAAAGAGGGAGAAACCTACGTTCATTCCTTACTTTGTTTCGGCCTGTAAAGATTTACCTGGGAAGTTTTTATTGGGGTATCAGCCACGAGGAAAACCAAGGTACCAAACTAAAGCCTCTTGGGAAGTTTGGGCTGGTGTAAAGTTTAACATTATTAACTGTTGTTTCAATGTTTGAACAGAATTGAGTATGTAACCATTACACCAGATGGTTTCCGCTACCGTTCACAAATATTCCCCTCTGTGAATGGGCTTTTCCGATGGTTTAAGGACCACTATCAGGAGCCTGTGCCAGGTATTTTCATAAGACTTATTTTATACACAGTGTTGGGGAATAAAAACTAAACTTCAGTCATTTTTAAGGCATAACGCCAAGCAACAGCAGTCGAACAAGGACGCCTGCCTCTCTGACCACGACGCCAGCTAATATCAACATTGCAGGTTTGTCCCTTCACGTCATCATTTATAAGTATTGTTAAGCTGAACCATTTTTAGTCAAGTCTGTGTAATCCTTCAGTCATCCAGGCATGATCCATAGCAATAGAAAAATTCTGTCTAAACTTTTGCTATTTTAGTTAAGCTTAAGCTGATGATCATAATATAGATTTCTCAAAATGTTAACTTAAAACTCCTAAATATCTTCTTATTGTGTGTATGGCAAAAATAACACTTGTGCTTAACTTAAATCAGTGCATTTCACATTTAGGTATTTCTTATTGGTTTTTAAATACTGAATTGACCCCTTTTCTGACATAGGACAGTATGAAAGAGTATAAGGAGTTTCTTAAAAAGATGCAACTTAAAAGGGTCCTTAAGCTATTTTCTGATCTGTTATAATGTTCCCTCATCAAAAACATACCCAGAGTTGTATTTTGTTTCATTTGCACATGTTTAACAAAATCCCTGCATATTTAGGCTTCTCTCAAAATGGAAATCCACCTTGTGATGTCATGTGGTAATGCAGGATGTGTACCACTGTGTAGCTAAACTCCATACACCTTCACTAGAATCATTTGGATGATTTCAGCTCTGGAATTGCCAATCTGTACTGAAAAGAAGGCAAAAAGTAGACATTAACGTTGAAACAAACGGTTCACGATATTACAAAGTGGAACAGAGCATTTTGAGCTTTGGAGATGTAAACAGACTTATAATAAAGGGTTACTCAAACATGTGTGAATGAAACAAAACACAACTCCAGGTATGTTTTTGGTGAGGTCACAACATAACATGGCTTAAAGCTCACAAGAAACAACTTTTGTGTAATGTAGGACATTTAATATGCAATTGCTAACATTGTAGAATGATAAACTTTAAAAATATTTCCATACTATTGTGTATGTGTATGTGTATGTGTATGTGACACTCACAAACACCATTAATACCTCTCTCCCCGTAGACTTGACAAGAGCAGTCAATGCCCTGCCACGCAACATGACATCCCAGATGTTCAATGCCATTGCTGCGGTAACGGGTCAGACACAGAACCCAAACTCGACTCCAGCTCAGTGGGGGTCCAGTCAGTATGGCTATGGAGGCAGCACTGGCGGAGGGGGAAGCTCGTCCGCATACCATGTGAGTACAGACACATTTATAAATACAGCCATTCGCTTATACTAGTAACACGATTATGTAGAGTAGGTGCTGTATTTTGGAAAGCAACTACATTTACCCTTGCTTAATAAATTTCAGTTTGTTATTTAAAAAAAAAAAAATAATAATAATAATAAATATGTATAATATAATAAATATAATTAAAGGGAAGAAATCAAAAATAATGATGGATGTATGACTGTAATCCAAACTCCTCGGTGCAGGTATTTGCCACGCCGCAGCAGCCGATGGCGACGCCTATGATGACACCCAGTTACTCGTACACCACGCCCAGTCAGCAGCAGATCATGGGCACGCCCCAGTACCCCAGCTCCACCCCACAATCCTCGCATCATCATGGAGGTCACATGACGCACCACAGTCACCATGGACACCACAGCAGTCATCATGGACACTCTTCTGGCACGCCATCCTCATCCACCTCTTCCAGGGGGCGCACTCCACAGCAGCAGCCAAAGTATGTCCACTTCTGAGTATTAAAGTAACAGTGTATAATGCTAGATTGTTAAACACACATCTTTGCCCCTTTTGGTGAATCTGTCATTTTTGTTTATTTATTTAATACCAGAAGGTATACGTTTACACAATTTTTGCTAATAGAGTATGAATTAAAAAAAACATTATCCAGAATCCATCCTAATTTTGTTACATGCTTTTCCTGCAGGTCAAGCAGCAGTTCTGCAGCCGTGGACTGGGGTAAAGTGGCCGAGCAGTGGCTCAAAGAGAAAGAAGCTGAGGGTCGGAAGAAGGCGCAGAGGATGACGCCGCGGCCCTCGCCCAGCCCCATGATCGAGAGCACCCCAATGTCTTTGGCTGGAGATGCCACTCCTCTGCTGGATGAGATGGACCGATAGGACACAGAGGGGGGCACAATGCACCCCCATCCCAACCTCATTTGTGAACAGCTGATTTACTGGACTAATGTGATCTCATTCACTTCAGAGAGGGCTCAGAGCCCTGCATACCCTCGAGCTCTTCTAAAATTATTTTATCAGTTCCTCAGTATCATGGTTAATCTCAAGCTGTCCTTCCACTAACCTTCAGCCCAACCGGTCGGCATAGTATTTTTTGAGGAAAAAAAACGATGTATATCAGTCAGTACATGACACAAACATTTGAACAAACAGCAGTTACTCTAAGGAAATGGACCTACAGATGCTGACAGCTGTTTATTCTCTTTATTTTGGTTTTAGTTGGTTTCAAGAATGGGTTGTGACAAAGACACATTATGTCCCACCATTTTATTTTGGAGTTGGTGGGTTTGTGAGCAGATGCCAACATAGTGCTTTGCCAAACTGGTCAGGAGTTTTGTATGGATTGCGTCAGAATGAATAAAGACTGTATATTTCAGTTGAACTTGAGCCTGCACTCCTCACATCTGTTAAACACACAGCACTACATTCACATACATAAAGCAGATGCATGGGATGATTTCAAAACTTAAAAAGATTCAGGCTGAACCTGTAAACCCAGCTCTGAACATAAGCCAGTGGTAGTTGAATTAACACCGCTGCATTAGAGGAGGTTAACTCTGGCTTTTGTAGATAGACTAATGCATCCTTTATCTTTGGACACAACTGTGTTCCTCACTAGAGCTAATGATGTTTTAAATAAATGTGCATTTTACAAGCATTTGTGTTTTTAAGTATTTTATTTTATAAAATCTGAGACAAATTACTTCAAATATCATTGGCATTTTATCCACGTTAACTGGGTTTGAGTAACACTGACAGAGTCGAGTATTTCAACAGTAATAGGTTGCTCCTGCCTTTTATCAATATGAAACACAAATGTTGATCTGTCTCAAAAACTACTGAAAAAGTTAATATTAAAAAGCGTAAAAAAAAAGGCCTTTCAGCTCTTTTAACACTGTCGCTGGAGTTTGTGGTATCACAAATGCGTCCTTTATTTTCTGTAATCCACAGAAGAGGTCTCTCATTTAGCTGAGTTCAATGCATCTTGATCCTTCTAATATGCATATTGTTTGACATAAGGTGTTGGAGTAAACCTTTTTGATTTCTGGCCATATAAAGATGTTGCTTTTTTCCATCCAGACTGTGACTGGTTTGTCAGCAGCACTGGTGACCTGGTGGTGACGCTGTTGGCAACCTTTTACTATCTGTGACCCTTTAATAAAGTGTTCCTAAGTGAGCTCTTGACTCTTGTAATCATTTGGGGAGACATCAGTATCCCAAATATATCAGGTTACTGGTCCTTGAATGTATTTTTATTATATTACTGGTATACATATTTTTCTTTTTAATCCAGCATTGCCTATTAACTTATTTGTCTACAGCCCAAACTCTACCCAATCAATCCCTCCCTTTTTCAGGATCATGTGAGAGGCAGTGTCAGAGAGAAATGCATTGTGGGTATAACCGCGGTCATGAGAGTCGGCGTATGCGTCACATTAGCAGCAGCAGAAAAGCACAGAAGACACATGATGAGAGAAAAGTAAAGATAACACATTTTGCATGGGGCTGCAAGTTCAAACCGTGACAGAAAGATTAGACCATTTTAATATGATTTTTGAGATAAACGAAGGCTTTTGTGTAGTCCAGTTCATATAATTACATGCTAGGTAGTAGTAAACTGTTTAGTTGAGTTTCTTTGGTCTTATTTGGGTCATATGTTGAATTTATTATCATTTTGTGCATACAACATCAACAATAACATCTCATTTAGCTCTGGCAGTTAAGTGGTTTGGTCATGGTATATGCTAAAATGAAGTTAGATAAACCCTGATTTAATTTAGTTTAATCATGGCTTTAACCAGGTACAGTAAATAGTCCCAGTTTATTTCCTGTTTACTCTGTAATGCTGTATTAAAGATTGCACATTGACTGACTGAGACACACATTTCTGAGTTAAAACTTGGTGTGACTGTTTGAAAATTACAGCTGTAGTGCAGCACAGAGCAGTGGTTGTTGAGGGCCTGGTCAGTTGACACAGATTCCAAAGAGGACACGCTGGTGGAGCATCTTGTTTTTGTTGCGTGTTTATGGGCTGATGTCAGACATGGCCAAATTACATTCCTCTAAGGACAAGTGCAGAACAGTGAGTCTGTAGTACTTTTCCCATGAGATTTTTGAGAACTCCACAGTCCACAGCTCTTCATTAGCAGCAACTTAATTTCCTCTTGGGATTGTCTGGGTTGTCTGTGATTTCTGCAACAAAATACAGTCAAAATGGATTGTGCATATTTAAAAAAATACATAATTCTAGTTAAAAATACTTAAATAGCTTTGCTTTTTTTCTCTCTCTCTCTCTCTGCATTATTCTGTCACGGAAGACAGCCACCCCCTAACACAGATTGCTTAACCCAAAGACACAATTTGAGGCATGATGATAGTAAAGCCATTCATCATAATAAAAATAGCATATTGGAGGATACATACAGTATGCCCTTTAGAAAGTTTTTAAACATTTAAAATACTTACTGATAATGTCCCCGTAGGGCTTTGACCCATTTTTCTCGAATTCAGACAAAACATTGGCCTCAAATGTCAAAGAAGCCACTCTGAAGAACAAATCCTTCACTCCATCTCCTGAAATAGACATTTGAATTCAAAGAGATGAACAGGGAACACTGCATAAATGTAAATGTGATTTGGGCTCTCACCAGACTTGGCAGACACGGCCCAATACTCCGCCTTGATTTCCTCTGAGAGTCTGATGGCTTCTCTCTCAATCTTCTCCAGCTGATCCGGAGACTGGCACAAACAGAATTACTACATAAACAATAGGGTCTATCACTGACTTGTTTTTATATAGATGGTTAGTAGTCAATGCCTTGACTTAGTTAAGACTTTAATCCTTGTTTATAGGGCTGCAATGGCACAATTTCCACAAAATTTGGTCCTTATTTTTAGTATTTTGGTTTACATAATGTTCCTACACCTGTAAAACACTATAATCTATAAATAAATGGGTGGATTGTTTTTAGGTGTTGTTTTTAGGCTAGAGCATCGTGAAATTTGTATAAATAATAAATAAATATTATGGAAGCCTTACTGATATGTAAAAATCAAAATTGTATTGTAAATAGTACAGTAAAATACAGTATATCTTACGCTGAGGTCCTTCTTGGTGCCAACCAGGAACAGTAAAACACTAGAGGGGTCATTTTCCTTCATGGAGTCCTCCAGCCACTGTCTACTCACAAACCCACAGTGTTAATGTACATCTAATATCTTTTTAATGCCCCTGCTGTACTGCAATGAGGTGATCCTTCTTACCTGGCATGTGCTAAAGAGGTAGTGCTGCTCAAGTCAAAAACCACTATAATGGCTGTGAAAGCACACATTAGTTAAGCTACATCTATTTCAATAGGAATACATTTAATAGTAAGCTCTTTACCTTGCGCTCCTCTGTAGTATGTTGAGGCAATGCACTTGAATCTCTCTTGCCCGGCTGTGTCCCATCTACAACAACATTCAATTCAAAGTCCATTGTAAGAATAAGACTATATAGTATTGGGCTGGATTTATTCAATTATGTGTCTGTGGAGTTTGCATGGTCTGATTGCTGCATGGCTAATGAAGTGAGAAACCCACAGAAGAGATAACACATTATATTTATGGGTCTGTAAACACGTTTAGAACAGATTACACTCAAATCCAGTCAATCCAGTTACTCACAGTTGCAAACTGAAGGGGACTCCCAGCACCTCGAATCTCTCCATCTCAAAATCTACTCCAATGGTTGCTTTGTAGTTTTTATCAAACTCGCCTTTACAAAACCTCAAAGCAAAAACAGAGTAACATATATTACTGTAATATCAAAAGTCTCAAAATATTATTGCAAACTTTGTATAACATTTTTAAGAAGAATGAACTGAGTCAAATTTTTGACAATTCTTTTCTGATCTCTAGTAATTATTTATACTTTCACTTCTGATCATCACTTGTCTAATAGAAATAGAATGGGCAGCAGTCACTGTAGCTTGGGCACACATGTATCTTCATAACCAGGTGAGTTAATTGAGACAAATGGCCTCTTACCTGCTGATCAAGCATGTTTTACCGACCGCTACATCACCCACAACTATCACCTTGGCGATGTTAAAACTGTAAAAGTCAAAGTGTTTTTTTAATAGTTATTGTTTTACAATAACTCAACATATAGCAAACAGTGCAATGGATAAACTAAACAATAACAGTACAACATAAGAAACACAGATAAGAATAAAATTGGCCCTTAACTAATTTATACCCCACTCATGTCAGTAGAGTAACATTTATTGAACTTTAACCATTTATTGTTCAAGTTATTTAATACTCTGTGGTTCTTTATCTGTTTTAATAATGAAAGACAACTAGCTAAAAGCTTTACTTTTTATTTCCATTTAAACAATTAGGAGATCAGACTGTGGAAGGTCTGAATAACTTTAATAAAAAGTTGCATGGTCATATGTATTGAGAAAGCTTGCAATAAAAAGCTATACTTGTCTAATCTTTTCTTACCAAACGGCCAAAGCACAGTTTGTTTTTCTTCACCAACAATAGCAATGAAGCTATTAAGATTTCTTACAATAACTTTGTAACAATATCATACCACAAGTCAATCAATCAATACTCAGTGAAGTCTCACCTGATAGATCCAGGTTTCTGCACCTGACACACAGCTCTGACCTGAGGATGGAAACTGTCTTTGGTGTGCAGCGCCGCAGAGGGACTAAAGCACTGAGAGGGAGGGAAAGTTTGGGGATGAATATTCAAATAAATAAATAAAAACTTTTGTTGTACCTTTGGGAGCTGTGTGATGACACGGTTCTTCTTCACTGGAGGTAACATCGTGATGGTGTACACAGTCCCTAATCAGAACACATAGACTGCAGGGGAAAACTATATTTTACTTTGGAGTTGTTGAAGTGTTCAAAATGTGTCCTGTCAGTACTCAGTTGTTAAATTCAAAATAATGCAAGTAAAGTGTATTATGATGACAAAAAAAATAAAAAAAAAAAAAATCATGAAAAACACTAGAGCAAATGTGTCAACTAACCAATAATATGCAGTAGTTAGTAAACTATTATTATAATCATGAAATAAGTTACAATTTACAATAGGCCTATATATTTGCTTTGCTATAGGCCTATATATTACTTTGTTGATATTCACTGTAATAATGGACATAAATGCTGAGAAAGTAGCTGTCTGAAATCTGAGTGAACGCAAAATTAGTAACAGGCACCACTGAATAAAACTGATTAGTCTAACTAGGCCAAATTAAATTATGGTTAGAATGAATAAAACAGGCTTAGAGAAAGAGGACAACTCAAAATATCTTTACCTTGTTTACGTTAAATGGTGGTAAAACACTAGAGATTGTTGCACCTTGCAGCTGTCATCTCCGTAGTTCCGTGTACAAAACTTATCCTGAAAGTTGTGAGACCACCAGAGCCCAAACCAAAGATCCATCCATGGCCCAAACAGACACACCTCTGAGATTCCCCTTTGTATAAGTCAAACAACGCCATCTGCTGGACACTTATAATAACTAGAAGTAATTATAAGTCGTTTAATGCATTCATCAAAAATGTGTTTAACAGTTTCAGATTTTATGTATCTATTCTGTTGTCAGCTTTTTTTGTAATTTTATTTTATTTTTACTTGCTGGAGACGCTCGTCAGTTGAACAGTGACGTCATCAGTCCGCGACTTCAGTATAAAACTACACCGACCACGTTTTATTTCCCTTTTGCTTTCCGGTTTCTTGAAACGTGCGTGTGGAAATGTAAGTGCTATAAAGTATTATCGCGTTTATAATGTAGTATCTATTGCAACTCTGATTTTGTTCTGTTTTTGTTTTGTGCTACAGATTACTAACTACGGGATTGACAATTACTCATTTTAGGGCTTTTCTCAAGGCCGGATCTAAGCACTCTACCCAAGAATTTTGTCTGGTCAGTAGCTAAACACCAGTCACTAGTCACTATATGAATGCCTATGATGAAAACTGTGAATAGGAAGTGCCGTCTTATGCGATATCTGACGATGTTTCTCACTGCTCTGAGCTGCGCTTGATGTGGACCTGTGCTTAAGTGTTGGTAGAATGAATAGTATAGTTGTCTAACGTATTCTGTTCTCCGTAGGCACAACAATGATGACCAGTGATGATCGGTCAAAGACTGCGAAGTTGAAAGGGTGAGGTTTGAACTGTGTTCGTTCTTTAGGTTTTGCAGTAATGACGATATTCAAACTAAATAAGCTGGAATTACCGTCAGATGGCTAAGTGGTGATTTTTGGTTTTCTGAACTGAGTGAAGTCTTATTGATTTATCACATGCATTATACTATTGGTCTGAAACAAGCTGTATTTTTTGCAGGTACTTCTTGAAGCTGAATGATGGTAAAAAGACTCAGAACTTAAAATGGTAAGTGAATGGACTGTATGGAATGAGACCAGCAATACCTTTTCAATGTGTTAACAAATCTGATGTGTTGATTGTACAATATTGACCTAATTGTCTTATTGATGTCTATTAATAAATAACATTAAGAATTTGGCTTTGATTATATTCAGACAATAACTCTGAAACTCTGGAATAGGAAGTATCGTCTGTTCCGACTACTGGCGATGTTTCTAATCCGCTGTCCTGAGCCTTATTTGGGCAAAGTGTGAACCTCAAAATGATACTTTTGTCCTGTCCTAAAGCAAGTGTCTTCACCGGTCAAACTGTGTGGAATTTGGATCCAACCAGAAGTAATTCAGGTATAAACTATTGTCATTTTCTGTAAATTAACATGGCATGCATGTTGTGATGAGACCTAAACTAAATAAGCTGGAATTACCGTCAGATTGCTCAGTGGTGACTTTTGGTTTCCTGAACTCCAGAAATGACATGATGTACTTGACAAACTTTGCACTGTAAATCTGAAATCATTTTCTCTTTGCAGGTCTCTAGACTGAGTTCACAAGTGATGCTTTTGCATCAGCTGGTAAGATGTGTACTATAATCTGTTATTTTAATTGCAATTACTTGTCAACACTGCATCTGTACCACACGTGAGTTTGTTTAGCTAAGTTACGTTCTGTGTTTATTTGAACTTTAGTCATTTTGCCAGTGATGAAAGTCTGGAATAGGAAGTGCCGTCTGATGCGATAAATGACGATGTTTCTAATCCACTGTTCTGAGCCTCTTCTCATTTAACATTTACAACTGAAAAATCTATTGTCATGTCTTTTAAACTGTAGTCTCTTCTACAGATCCAGCATGTTTGGCTTTGGTTGACAAAGCACTTCTTCCATTAAGGTAGAGTATTTTAACTTCTCTTCTTCTTATCTTCTGTTGATTTTGTGATGAGACCTAAACTGAAAAAGCTGGAATTACCGTCAGATAGTTCAGTGGTGATACACGGTTTTCTGAAACATTGGCTATAGCAGTGTTATGTTTACTTAAATGATGGCAATTTGTAAATTTGTAATGCTTCTTTTAGGTTTTCTTGATGTCCTGCTGATAAAATGAGGTAAGAATTGATAACATAAGCACGTCACTTTGTTCTTTGGTCATGTAAAAGACTTTGAAAATAAATACAACTTCATGATTACTTTTGTCTGTTTTTATTATTTATTGTTTGCAAAGAATTTGCTAGGGAATAAATTGCTCAATGGAGAGGGACTTGTATATTTCTCTCAGGGTTCCCATGGCCATGGAAACTGAAAATGTCATTTTCCAGGCCTGGAAAAGTCATGGAATTTTAGTATCATTAACGCAGCTACAACTTTTATGATTATTTCCGAATGTATGTGCCTTTTTGTTTGAGAGACTACAATAAATGCATTAACTGTTCTTTGAATGTTAAACTGTAATACCATAACCATAAGGTGAGCAGAAAGGGTTAACATTTCATATTTAGCTGTAAAATTATACTAAATTCTACACGTTGGGTATCGCAAACTCATGGAAAATTCACTTGAGGTCATGAAAGTTGTGAAGTTTTGAAATTGTCAGTAGGAACTGTCATGGAAAAAATTATCTGTTGAAAATAAAGAATCCATTTGCGAAGCCCGATGAGTTTTTGGAATATAGATTATAGAAGGTTTATTCTTGTTACAGCAGATATGGATGGCCTAGGCCTGTTCTGGCCAAAGCCCAGCAGTATGTTCCTACTACCAGTGTTGGGGAGTAACAGATTACATGTACCGGAGTTACCCAATCAGAGTACAGATTATGAGTAACTATTCGGTTAGTTACTGTTTCAGTGAGTGCAAATGTCCGGGTTTTCAGTACGGTTCATTGGGGGCATTAAACTGAGCGTCTCTTGTAGCGTCTGTGACTCAGAAGGAGCGAGACACAAACAGTCTGTCAGTCTGCAACATACCGAAGCACAAATGCGCATTTAACAATGACTTGTACAAGAAATTCTCCGTTTTCCGTCCCGGTCGGGACAAGTGTGAGTCTATGTGCACAGGTTGTGAGGTGAGTACAGTGTCCATCGTTTATCGCGGGGTTACGTTCTAAAAATAATCCGCAATAGGTGAAATCCGCGAAGTAGTCTGCTTTATATTTTACAATTATTCTATCTGTGTTAAGGCTGTAAAACCCCTCACCACAAACTTTATACACTTTTCTCAGACAGGACAGGTGCAATCCTTTTTACTTCCTTCTTAAAACTTGTTGCTGCTGTCGTCCTTGTGTTATTTTCCTCCTTCTTTATGTAACAAACTGAAGATTCATTTATTCCGTAATGGAGCCCAACAGCACTACTTGCTGATTTACAATTATTTTCATTTCCTCCAGGAGCACACTGTACAAAGGTGTTTCTGGGGACCTCCCTGACCTGTCTGTTCTTTGTGTCGCAGAAGTGTACCAAGACTTCTCTACTGCTGATCGTCCCATGATTTGCAGCATGGGAATAAATGTTGACGTGCCCCTGGTGGACTCAGTTTTTGGCAAGGTGCAATTAGGAAGCCCGCTCTCTTATCAGCAGCCAGCAAAGGGGAAAGCTCAGACTTTCCATGGTGCTCCTTCTCCTCCATCATTGCCACTCCAGGACTACAGACTGCAACCGTCAGATTGCATGTTTGTGTGTTCTAGGAGACAGCAGCTTCATCTACAAAGTCTGGAGGTATCTCTGGATATGGCACATAAGATTGAACATGCAACTCAGGAACAGAGTTCGTCTTCTGAATGGCACAACCTTCAGAGACCACGGGTAACAGCTTCACGTTTTAGAGAAGTGTGCCACGTGGGAGAGGCCTCTGAAGAGTTGCTTGCCGAACGCATCCTAAAAGGTACACACCAGACAGGAGCGATGAAGAGAGGTTTGGAGTTGGAGGCAGATGCTATCTGGGAGTACTGCCAGATAAAGAGACTTGACTATTACAAATGTGGTTTTGTGGTGCACCCCGATGCACCATGGCTTGGTGCATCACCAGATGGCATTGTTTTTGACCCGTCAGAGCAGTTTGGCCTTGTTGAAATCAAATGTCCCAATATAAAGAGCTATGTGGACGCTCCCTACCTAAAGGTCATCTATGGAACGTTGAAGCTCAAGCTATCACACGCCTATTACTGGCAAATTCAGGTCCAACTGTTAATAACAGGCATGGGTTGGTGTGACTTTGTTGTCTCTGCACAGGATGACATGTTCATTCAAAGACTATACAGAGATGAAAGGGTGATGAATACCATAAAATGTAGGGTGGACATGTTTTACTTACATGTCTACATAAACAAATACCTCCAAGTATCATAAATTGTGCAGAGCTGAACGTTATGTGTGACATCACACTTCTGTGGTCCTCTTTATATTGAGTATGGTTTTAGAAGAACAATAGAAGTATTTCACACAGATTTTGAGAATTGTTAAATGTGTCATAATATGTGTTTAGTTATGCTATGCAGATTTTGATAACCTAATGATAATTTTTAAAAGACAATATTTAGACAGTATTGTAATTTTCAATTAATAGTCTTTGTTTACACCATCAGGTCTTGCTTGAATTGAATTTTGAAATTTCAATACTTTTGACAACCTAGACCAGGGGTGTCAAACTCATTTTGGTCCGGGGGCCGTATCCAACCTACTTTGATCCCAAAGGGGCCGGATGAGAAAACTCATGTCATATAAACCCAAAAATAGCAATAAGTTGAAATATTTGTGCAGAGAAACGCAAATCTATTACAGAAATCTTTTTTATTGATGGACTCTTTCTTTTACAAAATATTATAATATCATGAACAACCTGAAACTTTAAGAAAAATGCAATTTCAACACAATATTTTAACAATAACTTGCAGGAAAATAGGAATAAGTCAATTTTTCTGGGAAAATCCTGCACTCGATGTCCACTTTTCTCATTTTTGACATTTTGCTGATGAGGTTGTCACGGTCAACAGTCAAAACGATCGTCCTTTAACTCTTTCCCCCCTGGACGCCTACTAGGAACAACCCATACATATGTTACTAGGGCTACCCATAGAGCATAATTGCATAAAAGAAAACAGACTTCCACGAGTGATTATAAATGATTTTTTACACTCATGAACTTAATTGTAACACAGACATATTTGGTATCTCTGGAAACCTTAGACTCTGAACTATTCATTTATGGATGTTTAAATGTGATTCAACTCATTTATAGGTGTATAACAGCTCACTGAAAATGAGAGTTTACCTGGTCAGGTGCAAGCTCGAAAACAAAAAACTACATTCAGCATCTGATATCTGCATGTTCTGAGTACTATATTCATAAAAAAATAAAAAATATACTTTGTCAAAGTATTTAAACAGATTTCATATCACCAGATACAGTATAGCCAAGTGTACACCTGTTTTTACCTGTTGTTCACCTGTGTGCACCCAATAATTTTTTTTCCATTTAACTTATTCAACTCATTTAGCTTATTCAACTTATTTTATTTATTCAACTCATTTAGCTTATTCAACTAATTTAGCTTATTATAATATAATAATATAATAATAAAACTCTTCCCCGTCAGTGTGTGTCCAGTATTTGTCATCTTGGCTATTTTCTCGTGCGCAGAGCTCCGCATAAGCGTTTTTTTCTGTAGTGATTTTGTTATACATCGCATCTTGGAAAAAAAGACTGAAATATTTTAAAGGACTAGCCTGGGCAACATCCAGATTTCAGGGCAATTTTGGTTCATAATCGAGTATAAAGCTCAGATAGTTTGTTCGGATATCGCAGGACTCCACACAGACGCATCAGCGGCATTCTCACCTTCTCCCCCGAAAGTCCGTCGCTATCGCTGTTTTCCACTTTATAATCAACTTCAACATCATCACTTTGAAATCTATAAAAGTCACTTTCTCTAAACTTATCCATAAAATACGTCCGCTCCTCATTATTTCTAAAACTGTGCGCCGCAGCGCCGCGATCTTTCCATTGCACGTGTTTCGTGTTGTGTTTTTTCCGGAAGCTACCATCGTCACTATTTCGATTAACTTCGGAAAAAATCGGCGAAAACATACCCTTGAATCCTATTGGTCAGTCTAGTGTCGGTTGTAGTGGCCCCCACCTATCGCAGTCTCTGTTTAAATGTGAAAAACCGAGCCATTTCTAAAGGTCGTCAAATCTCGTCTTTAGTGATACAGCGGAGGTGTCAAAAGTCGTCATTAAGGAAACAGGGGGTCGTCAAATGTCGTCTTCATGGGGGAAAGAGTTAAGAGCGTTTGGAAAGAGACAAGTCTTCATTTGTGCTGCTCTGGTGGGAGGGGCCACGTACAGAGACGCTGGAGATGCTGCTACGCTAAGCAGAGCAGAAAATTAACAAGATTTTAATAGAAAATATAATTAAAATATTTTAGTAGAAAATCAGCCGAGGGCCAGATTAAAGGTCTTGGAGGGCCGGATCGGGCCCCTGGGCCTTATGTTTGACACCTGTGCTCTAGCAAGTTAAAAACAGAAAAATCACATCTGACATATGAACAACTTCTGGCTGCATTTTTTAAAGGTAAATCAGTTTTTTCAACATATTACATCATCTAACACGTTACTTAACAGAATTATGTCACTTGATGCAACAGAAAAACATTTTATAAGGGTCAAATAATTTTTTAAAAACATGCTTGACCAAACGGCTGAGATGTCACTCTATGGTAAAACTTGGCATGGAGTGACATCTCAACCATATGGTAACAGTTTGGTGAATTTATGCTAATTTCATAAAATGTTACTATTTTTGATGGAATTAAAACACTTCTGTTCATGCATTGTTGTTAATATGTTACAATTACAGTGTTATTATACTGAAATCATTATTAATAATTATATTCAATATGTGTAATAGCGGGATCCTGATTATCTGCCCAAACAAGTAGAGGTGATCGGCGACCTTTCCACTGAATTTATGGCTGAAGAGGAGATGCCCTCTGCAAGCACATCTGCTAAGAAGAAGGAAAAAAAAAAGGGAAAAACACCTTAAAAAAAAGTAATGGAAGAGCTGGATGAGGCCCCTGTGTCACCCCCATGCACAAAGAAGAAAAAAAATGGCTGAAAAGAAAGAAAAAGAATCCAGGAGAATCTGGAAGCATGTAGATATTGACGAATTCCAGGTTCCTGATTCAAGTTTCTGGGGTACAAGACCCTAGCCAAATAACAATGCTGGTACTTCCCCCTGTTTGAATACGCCCTTGACCTGTGCATTTCCAATTCTTGGTTTGTCTACAAGAGAGACTGTGACCTACTGAGTGAAAAAACAAAGCCTCTCAAAATGTTTCACCTGGCTGTGGCCCACAGTTTGAAATAAGTCAACAAGCCAGCACCGAGAGTTGGTCAGCCATCATCTGCTAGTCCACCACAAATGTCCTGTAAGAAGAAGTGCCTCCCCCCAAGACCCCCACGGCCACAACCAGACATACGCTACGACAACTATGGACATTGGCCACTTCACACTGACAACCAGGGACGGTGCAGCCTCTGCCCAAAGGATGTGTTAAGATGGAAATGTGAGAAGTGCAATGTTTTCCTGTGCTTGATCGGAGTGGGGGAATGCTTTGTAGCGTATCATCAAAAATAATGTGCCGAGGGTTACCATTGGTTACCATTATTTTGTTGGAGAGATTTGAATCCTTTTTGAATTTGTTCAATGCAAGAAAAGAAGTTTGAAGATTTTACACAGCACAACTGAGAAGTTGGACAGGTCCTCAGGAGTCCTTTTTTATTATTTTAAGACAAGGGAAATACATAAATGCCCCATATGTTTTTGAAAGTACTACTGTCACATACATGTTGGAATTTTATGTAGAAAATGGGAGAGAAGTTCGTTTGTTGGAATGAAATTTATTTGACATGAATTGTTTTCTGATATTTTTACATTTTCTACTTTCTTTTTTGTATTTGTAGGTATTAAATAATAATTTAATTGCTAATATACATTAATAATTATGTATCAGATACTTTTACCATAAAGCACCATCTCGACCATTTGGTAGACGCATATATTTTTAAAACTGGGGGGTCTATATATTTTTTTATTTTTTGTTATTAGTGACTCAATAACTTAAAAAGAAAAAAAATTTTACATTGTTTTTTTCTTGGAGTGAACATTAAAGGGTTAAGATCAGGCTAAAAGAGGCAGGTTTTACGCCGAAGCAACCCTCTCCATTTATCCAGGCTGGGGACTGGCACAGAGGGACACACACACAGCGCCCTCTGTGGCTGGATTAGACCCACCGCCCGTGTTCGAGTTAGTGTGTTAGTAAGTGCATGCAGACATACTCACTGTAAACAGCAGCCTTTGGACCTGTAAAGACTAGTTTAAAAGTTTAGTAAAACAGTTTAGAGCTGCAATGAGAAGAGGCAGAAGAGTTAAGGTTAGAATTGTCATTTCACAAGACAAGACCGAAACAATTTTACAACACGCACAATGGAAATATTAAGAAGAGATTTAAACTTTAACCCTGTAAACTTAATACAATGTTTAAACAGAAATGTCAACATATTTCAAACTGGTTAAAACAAACAGATCCTGTGCAAACCTGTGGAAGATTTAGATTAGGACACGACGACTAGACTTTCAGTTTAGTGTCAAGGTTAGGATCAGAGCCATCAAACTCCAAACCAGTCCAAATTTGGCCCATGTTTAGACCAGTTCAGAACAAACCAAATATAAAACATACACACAACCCAAAGATCAAGTCAGTTTTCAGACCTTTTTAACTCCAAATGAAACTGTTGAAAGGTTAGTTTACAATAAATAATTTCAGTTTCACCCAACCATAACATGTTTTACCAGCCTGTTTAAATCTGGCCCATATTTAGACCAGTTGAGGCACACACTAAAAACACACAAGGGCCCAAGCCCAAATGAAACCTGTGGAAATGATGATGTAAACATTGAATCTGGCCCACTCCACATTTAGACCAGATAAGACCAAGAGAGACCAGCAGTCTCTATAAAAGTGAGCCAACATTTAAATATGGCCCACTTTCAGACCAATTTAGGCCTAAAACTAAAGCCTTGGACTGTAACAAGGTCCTCAGCATATTCAGGCCTTGTTTTGAGATGATGATTCACACAGAAATGTCACGTACGTGAGTTAAAGTCACCTACCTGAGTTAAAGTCTGCATGAACAGACCAATGAATCCAGTGAAACCTGCAGCAGGGAAAGATCCCTGTAAGATTATGTCAGTCACGAATCAAACGTCAAAGCGTCAGAACTGTTACATTAAGACCACAAAAAAGTGACAGAACACAAGGGCCTCAGCCCTTGGACCAAGACTCAAGTCAAGATGAGTGGCTGAGCACTCAATCACAGCAAGAAGGTTCCTTTGTGTGCAGAATCTGCACGTGTATGGCAGTTGTTGCAGATGATTTTCATGCCTCACAGTTGCAAGACATGAAGTAGATTTAGCTTAGATTAACTATGAACTAATTAACAATGATAATAATAAACTGATACCTGCAGAAGAGTTAGAGGACACCACCCAAACCTGCAAACACAAAGGAAAATTAGAAACAAAATTACAAACTACATTTAGGGGAATACGTTTTAAAAGTAACTTTCCCAACACTGCCTACTACATCTCCCACCGTATCGCCCCCTATCTCCCATCTCTCCCCATCTCTCCCAATCTCTCCCAATGTTACAAAGCACCAAATTTATATAGCCTGAGATGACTAGAAGACATACATTTCAATGTGAGAAGGTGATGACTCCTACTGAGGTGTGGTCAGATGTGCTTGATCTGATTTGCTCCATATTCACCTGCATTTGTCACTTCCTGACAAGATTAGCAAGCAAAAGGGAACAGAAGTATTTACATTGAAGGGTCTTTCTAATAAGCCAAATGGGTTTTAGTTATAAGACCAAATGTGTTTCTAAAAGATAAACTAATCACTATTTTAATGTAAATCAATCATAATCAATATTTTCCTGTGGGGGTCTGGTCTCAGGTAGAAATCGCATTCATTTACACAAAGACAGAATGAGAGAAATCTTTCCACAATCTAAATTTCTATCACAGAACCCTGTTCTATAGTGTTCTCTCTTAAAAACTGAGTAGAAAGTGTCAACTGTGTTTGTACAAAACTACAGAATAAGTTTAAGGTGGATGTAGCTTGCATTAGTCACTGAAAGCTCTTATGGAATTGTGCCATGTTTTTGCTTACTATAATACTTCATAGGCAGGCCTGTTAATGTAATGTCAAAAATGACTGCACATAAGTGATAATACTTAAATGGAATTAGGTATCTTGTAAAATGTGTTCCAATTAAACTTAAATACAGGATGTGTCAGGATGATGCATGACATTGTCTTGTCTAAAGATACTAGACACTAATGTAACTTTAATAAAAGACAAGTGTTTATGTAACATTCTTTCATAAAAACAAGTGTTTTGTCAGAGAGATGGCACTAAATCCTGTTATGTAACATTTTCTCCGTGATTTCCCTACACTGAACATCTCCTGTTTGTGTCTGTGTCCCCCAGGCATCTACTTATAATTATTTGTCCAAACACGTTTAAGAATGCAGTGCTCTTACCCAACACCAACTTTAAGCTCATGATTTATGTCATTCTGCAGCCTCCTTACATATTTTAAGTGACCCATGAACTCATATTTGCATATTAACAGCTGAATCAATAAGTAGTTTATTTTTTATATTGTTTCAACTGAAAAGATTTGAACCTGTGTTTTTCTGTTTTATTTTCCTTAACTGGGAAAGATTTCAGGGAATAACAAAATATCTCAAAATGTGTACCAACTATCCATCCATCCATCCATTTTTGTCCGCTTATCCGGGGCCGGGTCGCGGGGGCAGCAGCCTAAGCAGGGACTCCCAGACTTCCTTCACCCCAGACACGTCCTCCAGCTCCTCCGGGGGGACCCCGAGGCGTTCCCAGGCCAGCCGAGAGACATAGTCCCTCCAGCATGTCCTGGGTCTTCCCCAGGGCCTCCTCCCGGTGGGACATGCCCGGAACACCTTCCGAGGGAGGCACCCAGGAGGCATCCGAAACAGATGCCCGAGCCACCTCAACTGGCTCCTCTCGACGTGGAGGAGCAGCGGCTCTACTCCGAGCTCCTCCCGTGTGACTAAGCTCCTCACCCTATCTCTAAGGGAGCGCCCAGCCACCCTGCGGAGGAAACCCATTTCAAGCGCTTGTATCCGCGATCTCGTCCTTTCGGTCACTACCCAGAGCTCATGACCATAGGTGAGAGTAGGAACGAAGACTGACCGGTAAATCGAGAGCTTCGCCTTTCGGCTCAGCTCCCTCTTCACCACAACGGTCCGATACAGCGACCACATCACTGCCGAAGCTGCACCGATCCGCCTGTCAATCTCACGTTCCGTCCTTCCCTCGCTCGTGAACAAGAGCCCGAGATACTTGAACTCCTCCACTTGAGGCAAAGACTCCCCACCCACCCGGAGAGGGCAAGCCACCTTTTTCCAGTCGAGAACCATGGCCTCAGACTTAGAAGAGCTGATCTTCATCCCAGCCGCTTCACACTCGGCTGCAAACCGCCCCAGTGCACATTGCAGGTCCTGGTTCGATGAAGCCAACAGGACAACATCATCCGCAAACAGCAGAGATGAGATCCTGTGGTCCCCAAACCGGACCCCCTTCGGCCCCTGACTGCGCCTAGAAATTCTGTCCATAAACACAATGAATAGAACCGGTGACAAAGGGCAGCCCTGGTGGAGTCCAACATGCACCGGGAACAGGTCTGACTTACTGCCGGCAATGCGAACACAGCTCCTGCTCCGGTCATACAGGGACCAGACAGCCCTTAGCAAAGGGCCCCGAACCCCATACTCCCAGAGCACCCCCCACAGGACACCACGAGGGACACGGTCGAATGCCTTCTCCAAGTCCACAAAGCACATGTGGACTGGTTGGGCAAACTCCCATGAACCCTCGAGCACCCGATGGAGAGTGTAGAGCTGGTCCAGTGTTCCACGGCCAGGACGAAAACCACACTGCCCTTCCTGGATCTGAGGTTCGACTATCAGCCGGATTCTCCTCTCCAGTACCCTGGCATAGACCTTACCGGGAAGGCTGAGGAGTGTGATCCCCCTATAGTTGGAGCACACCCTCCGGTCCCCCTTCTTATACAGAGGGACCACCACCCCGGTTTGCCAGTCCAGAGGTACTGTCCCCGACCGCGTGTCTTGGACACTCGGGTGAAGAGAGGGGCTGAGCTGTCAACTGATCACCACCTGGTTGTGAGTTGGGTTCACTGGCGGAGGAGGAAGCCGGAAAGACCTGGCAGGCCCAAGCGTGTAGTGAGGGTCTGTTGGGAACGTCTGGCGGAGCCCTCTGTCAGAGGGACTTTCAACTCGCACCTCCGGGAGGACTTCTCCCAGATTCAGGGGGAGGCTGGAGATATGGAGTCCGAGTGGGCTTCATTCTCGGCCTCTATTGTCGATGCGGCTGCTCGGAGCAACTATTTGATGTTAATTATCTTTTATGATTAAGTACATGCACATCACTAAAGTAATGGTAATTTTCTTCTTAAAATACATTCTTTAAAAATTAGATCGCACATGTGTTGTGTTGTGAAAAAACTGCACTGCTTACATATTTTCTTGCTCATATTTTCTAACAGCAAAAGCACTTCAAGCTTATTTATAAGGTGCGTGACATTCTTTCAGAACTATGTTTTCAAAACTATAAAATGTAATTTCAGGACTGGGTTTACAAGCACTTTTTTTTTTTTTCTTTAAACTTCAGAAAGTAAATAACTGCAACAGTCCTTTCATATGTGTAATCATTACATTACAGATGGAGTTGAAAAGTGAATCTTTCAACAAAGTCTATTTTAAGGGGATTATTTTCACATCCTGTAGATTGAGTTATTGGCAGTAAATGGGAGTATGCAAAGTAAGTTTTATTTGTAGAGCACAGTTTGTATATGGTGCAATTTAAAGTGCTTTACTAAACAAACAAACAAAAAAATCCCAAGTCATGCAAACAAAGACATAAATTCTAAATTTAACTTTAAAAGTGAAGAGTACATCTGCATTCATTCAGTGGTATGCACAATAGATTTGAACATAGTCTGATGGAAGTCATTCTCACATCTTTGGGGAGATCACTCCAGATTTTATGTACATCAGATTGAACTGCATATTTTCAATGTTATGCCTTTGTTTGGTATTGTTTGTAGTAGATGTGAGCCTTTTTACTATAGACCATCAAAAAAATGTATATGAAAAAGTTCAATATTCCTGGACACTCATTTCAGAAAGTTAAACTCATATATTATATAGACACATAGAGTGAAGCTTTTGAGCCTTTACGTCTTGGCATTTTGATGATTATGGCTTGTAGATACTGAAAACTCAAAATTCTCTGTTTCAGAAAATTAGAACAGTGTCAAAAAGTTCAGTGAAGTCATGGTGTCACACCCAAATCAGCTAATTGTCTGAAAACACCTGCAAAGGTTTTCTCAGTCTTTAAATGGTCTCTGTCTGGCTCAGTGGGCTACTCAATCATTGGGAAGGCTGCTGACAGGACAGATGTCCAGAAGACAGTCATTTACCCCCTCCACAAGGAGAAAGACTCAAAGGGACATTGCTAAAGAAGCTGGTTGTTCGGAGTGCTGTATCCAAGCATATTCATAAAAACTTGAGTGGAAGAAAAACATGCAGTAGGAAAAGGTGCACCTGGAAAAGGGATGACCACAACCTTGAGAGCATTATCAAGCAACATCCATTCAAGAATTTGGGGGAGCTATACACGGAGGCTGGAGTCAGTGCATTAAGCGCCATTATGCACAGGCGAAGCCTATATGGGGCATGAGTCAATGTCAGAGTCTTACCTGGGCTGTAGAGAAAAATAAGTTCAAAGCCCTCTTTTCAAATGAAAGTACATTTTAATTTTTTTTGGAAATCAAGGTCCCAGAGTCTGGAGGAAGAGTGGAGAGGCACAGAATCCATGTTGCTTGAAGTGCAGTGTGAAGTTTCCACAGTCAGTAATGATTTGGGCTGCCATGTTTGCTAGCATTGGTCCTCTGTGTTTTCTAAAGTCCACAGTCAACTCAGCCATACCATTTACCAGGACATTTTAGAGCACTTCATGCTTCCACCTGCTGACAAGCTTTATTGAGATGCTGATTTCATTTTCTAGCAGGACTTGGCACTTGATTGATCTGTAAACTCACCTGACCTGAACCCCATAGAGAATCTATGGGGTGTTGTTGATTAATTTTTTGAGATGGTCTGTATATTGAAATTTATATTTATTGGATGCTATTATTTAAATTTAAAATAACTGAAATCACTAGCTTTTCCTTCCCCTGTTCACATGTGCGCAGTCAGTAAGTCACAGTCACTCTGTAGATACTATATTCAGAACTTTTAGTCTGTGTACAAAAATGTATGCACAAAATGTGTATACCTTTTTACATGAACCTTTGCAGCAAGTTCAAACTTATGCAAACTTACATAAGTTTAGACTTAAGAGAAATGCCTCAAGCCAGTCCTACATCCTTGAGGCATATCTCACAGTAAAGTAGTGATTTACATTCTTCCTGTCACCCAGAGAAAGCTGTCTGTTTTGGAGGAGGGGTCTACCTGACTCTTCAAATAAAAGACTGTGCTTTGGACTGTTGCTTTGCTCCAGGTGAGTTTGGCAACAACCTCAAACCAACAGGTCAGAATTACCACTATTTTTTATTAGTTTGTATTTTGATACCGGGTGTAGTGCTTTGTGCTCTATATTGCGGTTGAGATGTAATTTTTGTCTTTAGTCTTTAAATGTTCATGGTTATTACTTTGTATTGTACAAGGCACGTATTGTTCATAGCTATCATTTACAAGAGACAGGTGTTAACATTGCAATTGCAAATATGTAGTTTACTCTACTCTACATTACTGTAACTCAGAAGTTCAGTGTCACGTCTCATGAGTGAAAAGTGACATTGACAGGGTTCAGTAAGGATACTCCTTACTGAACCCTGTGTGTTTTGTATTGTAGCATGTCTTCCCAGTGCACTTCTATTGTTAACCTGCGGTACCCCCCTGGAAGTGTGGGGAGTGCGTCTAACCCAGAGAAGTTCAATAGAAACCAGGACTATGAATCCCTCAAAAACTTCTATGTGAAACAGAAGAAGATGTTTGTTGACAAAACCTTTCCACCCAACAACATCTCACTGGGGAACCTTGAGGATTTTACATCTTCACAAGAAGCACAAGTCAGATGGTGCAGACCAAAAGTATGTATTCACAATGTTACCCTTGCACAGTGTTTCTCAAGCTGAGGTACATGTACTGCTGGTCACACATGGGGGCCCTCTGCAGTTTTGAGTATATTATTCTAATTTTAGACCTATTTTAGCCCTAATTTAGGCTTGAACAAGCCCAAGCTTAGAACTGGTGTATTTGAAGAGCTAATAGTTATTTTAGGTGGTACTTGATGTGAAAAGTACAGTATAGTTTTGGGGAATGTTTAGATTAATTTGAGATCATTTAAGATAATTTATACCTGAAACAATTGACATTTGCATTTATTTTTAGGAAATTATGGAGTTGCTCAGAATAAGTGGTGATCCAGTCTTCAGCAGCAATGGGAAATCTAGGTTTGACTTTGGCCAGGGCGTTGTGGGTAATGATGCAACTATAATGGAAGTAACTTAAGTATTTCAACTGTCATTCATAATATCTTAAATACATTTTGACTTTCTGTTGCAGGTAATTGTTGGTTTTTGGCTGCTATTTCTTCCCTTACTCTGAATAAAAAATTGATGGTGCAAGTTGTACCAAAGCAGTCCTTTGATGACTACGCTGGGATCTTTCACTTCAGGGTACATGTGTTAGTGTGTACATATATATATATATATATATATATATATATATATATATATATATATATATATATATATATATATATATATATATATATATATATATATATATATATATATATATATATATATATATATATATATATAAATGCTTTTTGTCCAATCCAGTCTGCTGGGGCTGTACTGAAGTATTGCATTATTTTCCAGTTCTGGAGGTTCGGTAAATGGGTTGATGTTGTCATTGATGATTATTTGCCCACCTATCAAAACCAATTCCTCTCTGTGCACTCAAAATCAACAAATGAGTTCTGGGTCCCTCTGATGGAGAAAGCCTACGCCAAGTGAGTACAAACTAATTTTAATCACCTTTTGATTTGTATAACATGACAACTGCAAGTGCAATGTTCATTGAGGCCTGGCGCTGAAGTCCTGGGTTGTCTGGAGTATATGATACAGCAGCCATAATAACTCTGAACAAACAAAAATGGTCTGTGGATTTGAAACAGTCTTTGTCTGGTTTCTTTTCCTCCTTTTTGCTGCTGTTTCTGCTTGCACTTGAGTGCAAAACAAATAAAGAGGACAAAACTAGACCATAAGAATTGTTGTGACAAGTATAAGATCTCTTGAAAATATTAAAGAAACTACTATAATTTTGTGTTGTTCTGTTTTCCAAAAAGTGTGACGCGTTTAATTATCAGTAGTGTTGTATCAAAATTGGTATTGAGTATTGAGTCGCGTTTTTAGTATCAAAATGGAGTATGATATTGTATATATTGTTTGATTGATATTGTAACAAAACTAATATGAACACTGCTCGTGTCCCTTGAATTGCAGAGTGTGTGGGTCGTATGCAGACATGACTGCTGGATATACCAGTGAGGCCTGTAAGGACATGACAGGGGGCTTAAGTCTGGACTTCCCACTTCAACAAGTGCATGATAATGACCACGATGCTCAGCTGTGGACCTCCCTGTTCCATGGCTCTGGGTGCAAATCCATGATGTGCTGCGGGACGCCCTCAGTAAACAATGTAAACATTCATGCACTTTAGTAAAAGCAACATTTCTTGAGTTATCCACTAACAGATGCTGTTGATGTTGATAAAGTAATTTGTATTCCCTTCAGGAGAAACATACACAAAAAAGGAGATATAAATAGGTAAAGAATGTTTGATGACTTAGGAGAAGTTAGAATTTGTAGAACAATGCAAAGATGAGGAGATGGATAGGCTGAGGTTGGACATGGGAGTCTTTGTCATGAATAATTATTAAAGCATTATGCTGCAAAAGCACACTACTTCTAGTCCATATGCACTTCCTATACAGAGCATTTACTGTGTTTCTTTTTCAGGGAAATATTGTCAACAGCATAAGGGCCAATGGTTTGGTCAACGCACATGCCTATTCTGTCACTAAAGTCACTGAGGTAACTACACTACAAAACACAAACAAAATCTAAATGCTAAGAAAAAATATTGATAAAATTATTATTATTATTATTATTATTATTATTATTTTATTTTAAACTGGAAAACAAAAATCTTGTCTCTACACATTGCTTTAACTTTATCCATAGAAAATACTTGTTATCAGTTATATTTAACGTGCCATTTATGCATACAGGTTTATCACAGGGGCTCCAAAGTTAAGCTGGTTCGTGTATTGAACCCTTGGGGCCAACAGGAGTGGAACGGAGACTGGAGTGACAAGTGAAATAAAAAATATATATACTCACAAATGTTTTTTCGACTTACAAATGACAATGCCTAACTCACTAACAAATAATACTACATTATTTTCTTATGACAACAGTTCTCCTCTGTGGAACCAAGTGAGTCGTGAGGATCGGGCCAAATGTGAAAAGGATGACAATGGAGAGTTCTGGTTTGTAGACATCAAAATAATATTAAGCAGTATCCTGTTCTTTTCAAAGCATCACTCTGGCAATAAATATCAAACTCTCAAACTCACTCTTTGTAACAACATTCTTTATGTCCAGGATTGAACTGGAGCAATTCTGCCATAACTTCAATGTTCTGACAATCTGTTGTGAGAACCCAAACTTCATGGACGGGGACCTGAGCTGTCAGTGGCAGCTGATGATACACGAGGGGGTCTGGGATACAGCTGGAGGCAACAAGGATTATAGTGAGTGTAATGAGCAATTAATAAATACATTAAATCAAAACTATTTTAGCTCTGCAACAATTACAACATTACAACAACATTATTATGAACTTAAACTTGTTTAAACTGTGTCGCATAATGAACCAGCCTCATCTTCCCTGTAGCTACCTTCTACACAAACCCTCAGTTTCGTATCCAGGTGGACATAAGGAATGAGGAAGAACAGTTTGACATGAACTGTTTTATTACTCTGATGCAAAAACCAGAGGAGAGAAACCGCAATAAGGCTCGGTACTTCCCAATCGGAGTAGACACATTCAAGGTTGGCATGAAGAACTAACTTTCCTGCTCTTACAATGACATTTTTTGTGACATGACTTGTGTTTGAAATTCATTCATTATCAATATAACATTTACACATGTAAATCACATATATAGAATTGGTTGTCTCATGTAGTATAATCTTATGTTTTCTTTTTCCTTGTCTAACAGATACCACCTGGGGTAAGTAAAAAAAAAAAAAAGTCAATTTCTACAATACAAACAATTAAATAATATAAGCTAAGTTAACTCACATGGATTCCAAAATCTTGTCAAAATGAGAAGACTTCCTTTTAAAGTTTTGTTATTATGTCCATGGGATCAATTCTTCCAGGAAATAATAGTTATAATTAATAATAATTAGACTTTAAATTTATGAGACAAATTCATAGCCTTCTACGTACTTCCCAGTCAGCTGGGCCAACATCCAGAGAACAGAGCAACACATGTGTTGATATAGTCCCTCATTTATCCACATGGTCAGTTTTCTCATTCTTTAATTCTGAAGGAAACCTGATCTAAAAGCTGGTTTTGGAGAGGGGACCAAAGCTGAACTTATCATTAAACTCGCTGACTTACTCACCTCAAGCCTCTGTCAACAGAGCACTTTGGAAACTATAATAATACATTTGCACTGACTGACTGTGTAAATAGTGTGTTAGTTTCTTGTTTTAATTGAACCAGTGTGATGCTTTCTGGAAATACATTTATTGGGTACTAGAAAAACTAGAATCTTACTCTTAACTAAACTACAACCCCAATAGTCAAATGATAAATAGAGGTGAATTTCAAGTTTACCCCTCCTTTTGTGACAGTATAAAACCCTTTTGCTAGAACAGCCTTTCCTTCAGAAATAATTAACACTAAAGAGTCAAAACATGGTGCTTAAAAACTGTGCTTGTAACACTTGGCAGTATTTTAATTGTTTGCAAAAACATAATTTTAGACCAGACCAGGACGCCTTGATAAGACTTTCTTCAGGCGAAACAGACCAATAGGACAGATACAATACAATACTCGAAGGGAGATCACCAACTGGTACAGCCTGAGTCCTGGAGAATATGTCCTCGTCCCGTCCACACTGAACCAGTACATGAAGACTGAGTTTGTCCTCTCCATCTTTACCAAGACCAACATGGAAATACAGTAAGAGATCCTGTTGATACCAGGCAATGTTGTTAGTTAAAGGTGCACTTTGTATCTTTTCTGGTGGTTGTGTATCTCCATGGAGTTGTTATATATGTCACACATAATGGCATGAAAATCATCTATTTCCATGGAGACAAGCAAGTAATGCCACCTTGCAAATTAAAGGTAAACCTGTAATTTAATAAATGTGTGATAGTGAGATAGTGTTGTAGTTTAATGCCATTAAGTAGTTTAATGCCATTCAGTGGAGTATTTCAGGCTGTAACATTTCCCTGGAGAAAAACAGATGGCAGAGGCCTTACAGAAAGTTACACAGTGTACCTTTTAAATGCCCAAATACAAGCACTTGACACACAAGTTTAGGTAAAGTCTTTTGCTCATGTTTAACTTCACTAGCCTCCCCTATACAAACACTAACACTTCATATACTAGCAATATCACATCCACAAAAATTTATTTAATCACTGCACTATATCCTCAATGTAGTATAAATACTTCTAAATGAAGAAACGTTTCCTCCATATGAATAAGTAAATTAAACATTATGTACTCTCAGCCCATTTGAAGGTGAGGATGAAGATGAGCATGACCATGACCATAACCATAATGGTGAGACAGAGGAGGATCACCAAATAGAGGAGGAGGGCGACGAGGAAGAGGAAGAAATAAATGAAGAGGATAATCTAATTCTTCCAGAGGTATAATCTATTTCTTAAATAATTTTGGTCTTTATGCTGCTATATCATACAGTCTATGTGCTATATGCTGCACCCTAAACTAGGCCTGTCACAATCATTTTTATATGTCTTTGAATATATAATCCATGAACAATAAATATATTTGGCTCAATATAACAACATTGCACAAATATACGGTATGTGTTTTTGTATTATATTTTTTGGAATTATTTCCTTAACTGCAGCTCATGTGTTACTTAAAATATGCAGTCATTTAACACTTAAAATATCACAAGGTCGCAGTTGTTTATTTATGGGTTTAAACTTCATTTATAGATGACATTTGAGAGCTTTTGACCAAATATAAATATATATATTTTATTTTGGATTGTTAATTGATATGGCAACTGTCGCAGGATTTTATCTGAAACTTATGAATAACTGTAGCGCAGTATGAATAGACAAGAATGTGACTGTATGGACATGTACAGATTAAAAGTGGTATGAAAAATGAAACTCAAATCAATGAAAATTATATTATTTCTTCAGATTCCCACTGTGGATGAAATCAGTGGAAGTGACATATTTTTCACATATGCTGACTGGGTTTGTCCACTTTCTATTATGAAATCCTTTGTAATTGTGGAACTTTATAGTTCTAAGATTGTTGTATTTCTGTTGTTGGACAGAGAGGAGAGCTCAATGCCCGGAAGCTCCAGAAACTCCTGAATGACCACTTTTCCCATGGCAAGTTGATAATATGAGAAAAAAAGAAAAAAGGCATAAATACTTATATATAACTGCTTTTGTTTAAGGAATACGGGAAAGGTTCAGCCGTGACACCTGCATGAACTTCATTGTACTTATGAATGTATCCAACACTACATTTATGCACTTTATAGTCTGCTTTATAGTTTTATTTATCATTTGTTTATATAGTTGACAAGTTTTATAAGTTGTTTGATTAATTTCTTGCAAAGACTGACCATCGAATGAGGATGATGAACTTTGAAGAATTCTCAGCACTATGGGAAAAGTTAACAAAATACAAGGTAATTCTGGACAATATATTAATAAATAAGAATAAAAGTCAAGTTAAATACATGCACTGAGGAGAATGTTGTTGAAAAATAAGTTTTAATAAATTCACTGATGAAATGCACTTTTTACAGCAAATCTTTTTGGATGCTGACGCTAATCACAATGGAGTCCTGAGTCAGGCTGAAGTCAACAAGGCGGCTCAAGCTGCAGGTGGGCGTATCAAAACTTACATTACATTTACACTTATGTTTATTGCCATAATTTTAAAAGACGTAACTTGTCAACGTTTATTTTGTGAACCAGGTGTGCACTTCAGTGATGGATGGGGAGATAAGGCAATGTTTCGTTTCAGCTTTGGCAGCTCCTCGATAGATCTGCAGAGTTTTTTAACTCTAATGATACGCATGGAGCATATGACAAGTTAGTTACGCACACACAAATCACTCTGTGTTGTCAAAAATAATGACATTCGGTTCTGGAGATTGCTCATAAGAGTTATTTTACATATCTGTAAATAAAGCATATATTTGTGTGATGTTCCAATTTTCTGATTAGTTTGTTTAAAATTGAATGTCCCGATCCTCAAAAAGTGCTCAAGAGTTATAAATTGTCTTTTTCCAGGTTTCTTCAACAGCCATGCCTCAGAGGACTCTCTTGTTATGACCATGGACGATGTAAGCACATGAAAGGTCTTTATCTGTTGATGACTTACTTCTACATAACTTATTTCTTTTTTTTTTTTTTTAGTGGTTCGAGAGTGCTATATTTTTTTGAACCTGATCAATCATCAGGGGACCAGGAAGAGTTCAAATGTATTGTCTTAAATAAACAGCCCAGACTTGCTTTTGATTCTTCTTGGATTCTTGTGAGATGAATTATTGTACATCAATAGAACATTTCCTGAACCACCATTTGACTTTAAATCATAGCTAAAAATAGGCAATTTATGGAAATGTAAAATAACATATCTGATAGAAATAAACTTTTTGCTTCACACTGGTCACTTTGTTTTGCCTCTACAGTACTCTAAATGGTAACTCTCTGATTATGGAAATCAACCCATGTCTTTTTCGCAACACTACACTAAAGGAAATGGGCTAGGGTAGCCTTATGTTCAATTTATATATGAAATACAAGTTTACAGTGAGGCTATATTTCTGGGAATATAACAAAATACATACCAGATTACATTTGTATTTATTTGCCACATATTTTTTTAATATAAAATACATTTACACATATTTACAAAATCAATTACATCCAAACTGCAAATTTTTTAAACAACCAAAAAAGGTTCAACAGATTTCTGGAGAAATTAGAAACTTGAAGAGATATTTCTGCACTTATAGGTTTCATTTTACAGTCCATTCATTTTCAAGAAATTTGCAGGCATGCTTTAGCCCAGTTTTGTATTGGAAAATATAAATTGCCCATCCCTCACTACAGTACAGTTCTACTTGTCTTTGCCATCACTAATTCATTACCTTTTTTCTCCTTCAACCCCTTTTGATAAATATGGAGCACTGTAGACCTAGGAACACTCATTCTACTTCAAGGCCAAATGTTTATTGTCTCTAATACAATATCCCACTTCCAGATACGAAGATGATCTGTCAGTGGTCATTTTGTTATGCAAGATCAGTTTACTCATGTCCGATAAGACCTGTTTCAGTCTTCCTCCTTCTCAATGTAGCTCTTACAGCCGGCCCGTGCCATTTGTCTCGCCAGATACCGCTCTCTTGCTGATCCCACACTTTGATCTGTGCTGCGTTTTGCAAACTTACTTTCCTTTTCCACCCCTTCACCCTCTTTTTCATCCTTCCTTTCATCCTTTTCTTTAAGGTTTTCCCTTGTTTCTTGATTGTTTGGGGAACTTTTTGATTCAGTTTGTTGACTGTTTTGGGGGCTTTTTGGTTCTATGTCTTGTCTCTTTTTTGGTTCAGTTTTAGCAGGCGTTTCTTTTTCTGTATCCTTCTTGTCCTTTTTATTGTCCCGATCTTTATCTTTTTGTTTGTCATTGTCCAAGTGCCTTCTCTTTTCCTTCTCTTCATTCTTATGGTGGTCTCGGGCTTTTGGACTTGTTTCTCTTTTATTGTGCTTATCCTCCCTCTCTCGCCCCCTGTCTCTCTCCTTCTCCCTGTCTCTCTCCCTGTCTCGCTCCCTCTCTCGCCCTCTGTCTCTTTCTTTATCCCTCTCCCTATCCCTTTCTTTGTCTCGCTCCCGATCTCTCTCTCTGTCCTTCTCTCTTTTCCTCTCTCGGTCTTTTCGTCTATCAGATTCATCACTGCGTCCTCCATGCCTGTCTCGCTCCCTTTCTCTATGCCTCTCCTCTCTCTCCTTCTCCCGGTGCCTATCCCTCTCTCTATCCCTTCCTTTATCTTGATCTCGGTGACTTTTTTTCCGCCTGTCGTCCTTGTCCTGGTTCCGGTCGTCTCCACTGCCCGACGAAGGGGACCTCTGTCTGTACTGGCGTTTTGAATGTGGCTTGTTAAACCCAAATTTCTGCTCTTGAATCTCTTCACTGTCACTGTCACTTTTGTCTTTGGGTGAAGGTGACCGGGCAGGCGATGTCATTTCAGTGTCTTCTGCAGGTTTGGAACTTTCGTTTCTAAAAAGGAAAATAAGACATTATGCTTACTTCCAGCAGATCCCTCGGAATACTGTGTAGATTGCAAGTGTTACAGTTTTACTGTAATGTTATTTACAGTGTTATCTAATTTACAGAAAGTTAGATTTACTTTTGTGCTAAATGATCCGGGACAGTCTCTTCTCCCACAGTTTGATTCAAAAGGTGCCGGTAGAAACCACTGAGGTCCTGCTGCTTCTTAACATCTAATGCCGCTGTAGAAACATTGGAACTGCATTGTTATAGTATAGGAGAGATAGATGTCATAAGGTTGTTTAAGGTCATTCAATTAAAACAAAAAATGCACTACTAATAAAAATACTTAGGTGATAAATATTGGTATATTTTGCACTATTGTTTGTTGGTGTATTTCTATTGATGGAGAAAAATCCAGTCTTTACAGGCAATTTTAAAAATATGCAATACAATACATAAAATTGGAATTAAAAAGTTTTATACCTCTACAAATTACACAAAAACACAAAATAAACATTAGTAACTAAGTATATTCATACCTTCTAGAGCTGCCTCTCTTTTCTCTCTCTCCTCCTCCTCTTTCCTCTCCAGAAGTTTTTGTTTGTATGCCGAGGTGACATACGCCTCTTTATCAGCAAACTGCTCCCCCTCTGCCTCACGTTCCTTCTGGATCTTCCTCTCCTCTCTCCGTTCTTGTTCTTTTTTTCGCTCTTCCACTGCTTTCATCAACTGGTGGATATATTTTGGCTGCAACAGAGGCAAAGGAAGAAGCAGACATGTTAAATGTTAGAAATGTGAACAGTCAAAAGAAGCGTCAAGTGTGTTAACAGTATGAGAAAAGCATGTTGATGTGACAGTGGAAGAAGCTGTAATAGATATGTCTTACTCTTTTATCTGTTCCTCCAAGTATTTTCTTATTACTTTCTTGTCTTTGTTTTTGAAGGTCATCATACACAGCATCATAATCATATACTGTACTGTCCTGATCTAGGGCCTTCTGCATCTCCAACCTTGTCTTCAGAAACACAACCACAACATTAAATGAAAAACTACATTGGTATAGGACATATTATACTGTATTTGAATTAAATATACATAGTTCAACTTACCTGCTTCATCATCTTCTTCTTCACTGCCTCTTTCTGTAATGTTTCACCAACTGATGTCTGTAACAAGCAAAAAGAGTGAATAAACCATTTTCAAACCCTGAAATTAAGATTTTACCCATGACACACACCTCATCATCAGAGTCATCTCCAAACACCGAGGGTCTGGGAAGTGCTGCGGTCTTGGACAATCCTTTCTTTTGAGGCAGGATAAGCCCATACCTGAGACAAGATGACATCTGTTTCCTTATATTATTTTTAGATTCGTTTGCTCTGTTTTTATTGCGTTTTGTCATTGCCAAAAATGTAAACACAGAATGAATGAATATGGTATGCGTTTGTTTTTATAAACATTTCACAATAATCCATAAGACTTTCACATTATTCCAGAGTATTTAAGAGGAAATACACACTTCCGTGGACTTTTGCAGAGGGTTTTGAATCAATACCAAAAAAATAAAAATAAAAAAAGAGAATGTTTTGCTGCGATAGCATGTCATTAGCACATCGCTACCATCCAAGCTAACATTACAGTATAGTTTTATGTAAAAGTTGTACTTTGGTACCTTACGAAATGCCAAAAACTTTTACAGATCATGCACCGCCATATATTCACTTAAATATATATGTAATGCGTCGATTAATGAGCTTATCCTACTGAAAACACGCAACTTGTTAGCCACTTACTGCTTTGAGGGTGCCGCCATCTTGCTTTTTGACTATGCTCAGACCACTCACTGCAGCAGATTCGGCACATCTATTTTTCAGTTTATATTTTGATATGGTTGATGTCCACAACTAAAGAAATTACACTGAGTAGGCATATAAAATGGAAAACTAACCATGGACTTTTGGTGTAATTCTAAATTAGTAAATAATAATACATGGCATAATAAGACAGCAGGTGGCGCTGTTTGTATTGCACACGTCTGTGGTTCCACAGTAATAAACGCTGTATTGCTTCAGTCAGTCCTTACCTAAACATGCCTGCAAATGTCTTGGTTGAGGAAAATTGCACCGAAAGTGAAAAGAAATTCAGAAATTATATTATCAAATACACTTATTTGAACAATTATGCTGAAATTTTTATTCAGCTCTTTTTGCAACCTAAAACACTTTTATAGGCAATATATACAGAATTATTCTGCACATCTCAGATTTTTGTGATAGTACAACATATGACACTTCGGTTTTTTAGAGTCTGCATAATTATGCCATGGTGATGACACCACATACAGGTGACATGAGCACCGGGATATTCTTGTACAGTCAAAAATTGCCCATTAAAAAGATCAATTAAAAACACATATGTTGTTGATCCTCAGTGGTGAATGCAAATGATGACTGCTCCCAAATACAGGTCTTAATGTGTCATAGCAAACAAAGGCATAATAAGCTACATAACCTTGAGAATGGAGCTCTGAAGCTAAGCACAGGTGGACCTGGTAAGAACTCTGATGGGAGACCGCTGAGAATACCAGATTTGTTAAAGGGGTCGCAGTGGCCCAAGAAGACAGCTCATTGTGACCTTAGGCAAGACACTTTGCCTACCTTACCTATGAATGTGATCTGTATGTGATTGGTGGTCAAATGGGACAATGGTGCAGACTGGCTGTCACTGGCCACTACTGAGTATGGAGGGAATAAGTAATGCTTGAAAGGTGATGTATTATTAACCCCATGCACAGGGACCCTTCAGTAGATCTGAGTCAGGATCCTGGTCAGGATTCAGGATATAAAGGTCTGCTTTATTTTACCTTAAGGAAAACTGGCCCTCTGTATTTGACAAATGTTTTAATGTCACTGGGGCAACCTGTCAAGAGTAGAGACCCAAGGCAGAGCTCAGGTCAGAACTACCTAGCTGGAGTCATACTGTGCATATTTTAGCTAGCTGGAGAATTTGACCCATAGTGTACTTTTAGACTGATGGGGAAACCAAAGCACCAAATGAAACCCAAGACAAGAATGAATAAGCCATGAAAATAAGTTAATACCAGAATTCAAGACCCTTTTTGTGAGAAAGTGCATTCAGATTTCACCCCTATGCAGTTACTGTAAAAGTCCCATGTTAAAATATACCAAACTTAATATATGTTTAGTTATTACCTTCTTAAAAAAAACTCAAAATACATAACATGAAGTACGCTTTGAGTAGTGAATGACTCGAAACAAAACAGAAAACAGGTCCTTTTGTAGAGGCTTATATTATATTATATTTGAATGATGCTAAAATGAAATCTCTTCTTCAGGAGCCTCTTCAACAGCGAACTTTAGGCTGGAGTAGTTGGCCATATTAGGAAGGTCGTGCACGATGCAGCAGCTCAGAGCAGAGCGGGACACTCTCATATCATCAATAATGGACCATACACCTGTCCTAATATCAAATCTCTCTACGCAAGGGATGGTCGTTAAGCCATTAAAGCCACCGATCACATAGAGCTCATTGTCCAGCACTGCGATCCCAAAGTTATAGCGTGGGTTAATCATGGACGGCAGGGGGTGCCACTGATGGGTCTCTGGGTTATAGGCCTCCACTGTGTTCAGGCAGGCATCCCCAGTGAAACCACCAACCTGCAGAGGAATGACACTATTAGTCATTTCAATCAATTTGTTATTTTTTATATTATTGTATCTCCTTTTAGATTACTTCATCCAACTGGCTGTTAGGATGCTGAACTATCTCTTCTACCCACCAGCGGCCAGGGAACTAGGTCTGCGTCTCCCCAAGAACAGAATCTCCCCAAAGAACACTAGGACTCAGACCCCCAAAAAGACTGTCTTGTGCCTTGCACTATATGCCTTTCGCACTTTTGCACTATTTACCATTTATTATTTATTTCTTACGAATGAGATAGTGAGAAACATCATTTCTATTCTTTGTATGATTTTATATGAAGAATTGACAATAAACTTCGAACTTGTACTTATTACTACAGTACTTGCAAATTAAAAGAAGTGAATTTACCCACAGATAATTACCCTGACTTATGTCAAAATATATTTGCAAATGTTCATAGTCTATGTACATACTCACAGCAAGGATATTCCCTGCATATGCAATGACACTGACACCTCTGCGTCGACTCCTCATGTCAGGGATCAAGGTCCACTGGTTGCTTCTAGGGTTGTAGCACTCAGCTGTGAACAGACACTCGGTCCCATTGAAGCCTCCACAAATGTAGATCTGCAGAGAGAAGACACGTGTGATATACGTTTTTATACTTACTTCATATATTTGATGTCTTCAGTATGTGTTTATGTAGAAATTTTTGACTGGTGCAAAAAGTGTGGGCGATAAATGTTCATGGTCTTCACCTTTCCATGTAGGGTGGCACTGCTTGCATTAGTCCTCTGATTGTGCATGGAAGCAATCATTGTCCACTGGTTAGTCTCGGGACTGTATCTTTCAGCTGTTTCCAGTCTCTCAGTCCCATCAAAACCTCCTATGGCATAAATAAACCCATCTAGCAACACCACACTCACATAACAGCGTCTTGAATGCATGGAGCCAACCTCCTGCCAGGACTCATGGGCCAGGTCATACTTGTGCACTGTGCAAAGCTGTTCAAAACCATCAAATCCCCCAATGACGTAGACACACCCATTTAGAAAGACCGTTCCGTGATATGCACGTGGAGTCTCATCCCTATTGATGTTAAAGATCCAGGCTTCAGAATAGCTGTCATAGATTTCAATGGCGTTTGTGGGACGGCTCATATTCCAGCCCCCCACGGCCATGAGCACTGCCTGGGGTACTCTGGGGCGCGTGTGGCAGTACAGGGATGAAGAGGGTCCGATGGGTAAGCAATGTCTTTTCATGGCCTGAATTTGTTGCATGGTTCTGATCAGGTACATTTTGCATTCACGACTTTGCCAGACAATCTCATTATCAATGACGTGGTCACTGAAGTACTCAGCCTCCATATAAGCCAAACGGATCTAAACAAGACAGGTTAATTACAAGCAGTACAAGTCAAGTACAAGCCAATATGTAGGAAGTTGAACCTATTTTAATAGCTCACTTTACAATGTTGTTACATGTCACTCACAAAAATTGACTACTTACTCCTAAAACTAAAGCTAAAAATAAATAGAAAAAAAAAAAAATCAACATACTTTTGGCAGGAGATCTTTCATGTGCGCCTGCCTGTCCTGTGGCGAGTGGTTGATCCAGAGCAGGATGGCCTCAAACACAGCCATCTCATGTCGCATATTCAGAAGGTCGTTTTCAATGAAACTCATCAGATCCTCCACTGAGAGCTGCAGGAAGCCGGAACAAGTCACCACCTCCCGGAAATGTGTCAGGATGTAGGAGAAGACCTTCTGTTTCAGCTCGGGATAGTAGTAGGTATTAGTTATGGACCAAGTGTTGAAGCAGGTCTGAGGGCTAAGGGACTCCTCTAGTGATTTACAGCAAGCCTGAGTGATCCCAGCCACACTGAAGAAATTGGCAGCGATGAAAAGGTCCTCAAAGTTGTTTTTGGTTATTCTGACAGCCCCAGTGTAGGCAAACTCTATTAAAGCTTGCATTATATTAGCTGACGTATTAGGGAAGTTGTAAATATTGATTGAATTGGACCCGGTGGTGAATAAAGATCTGAGGATCATAAGACAATTCAGGTTAAAAATATAAAGCACATGCACATATCAGTTATATTACATTACAAATGTTTGTCCAGCATTGAAGGCCAAGGCCATTGGCATAATGGAAACACCACACACAGTTTTGGAGATGTTTGGACCATCACCTATTCTCAAATTTTAATACTTGCTAAAATGGTCACTGTTGGTCATTTAATGCCAGTTTTACACATTTTGTTAAACAACTGTGAAAACCAGGCAAGAATACAATATTAGACAACAGGTTTAGAGCTTTCATTTTGTCCATCATCCCTAAGATATAATCAACACAGAAGCCAGGGTCATGTACTAAAATCGGTGAAGTAGCTTTTTTATTGTCAGACATTGACTACTCTGCTCTTTCTTATACCAGCATTTGAGAAAAAACTCCAAATATGCATTGTGTTAATAGCAGTTTGCACCATTTCTCTTAATCATAAGAGAATTAATGTTTCATGTCTTTCAACAAATGTATACTCACTTGAAGAAAGGGCTGCAGCCACACATGACCAGTTTGTGCACTTTAAATAGTGAGCCCTCCACCTGGATCACAGCATCACACAGGAGCTGATCCTGACGCAACTCCTCCATCACCATCATCTGGTCCGACATTGTAGAGTTTTGGGTTAGAAGTTGTATTTTTTGTATAGAGGTCATTTTTAACATGAGACCTGAATCTACAGTACACGATAAGAGTAAACAGCTTCCCATTAGACCTTCTTAATGAGTGCAACATCTGATGATATTTTTGTCACAGGAAATAACATTTGTCTCATAGATATTTTCATTGAAATCTCTTGAGGAAGTCCTGGTAAGTTTGCCTGTGAGCAGATGCGGCTGGAACAAAATGTCCGCCGGGGTGGGTCAGTATTTGAGGGTCTGAAAACGGGGAGGAAATCTTTACTCATGTGGTCTGGGATGACTCTGTCCTCCTGCCCAAAAACATGTAGGGATGGGATCTGAAGAGGGCTCTCGTAAAACCTCTCATGCTCCGTACAGGCACTGCGGAAACCAGCGACCAGGATGGCAAATCTGAAGTGAAAATCCGGCTCTAGGTTTTGTTTCTGGAGGGAGCAAAGCATGGCCACATACGCTGCTCCCTGACTGAAGCCCAGGATGTCATCGAAGGGTCCTTGGGTCTTTACAGCATCCCTCACAGTGGTCACGCTCTGGTCCAGCCCCAAACTCACCTTGCAGGTCTGCTGTGCACTGAAGCTATGTGCCGCCACATCAGAGAACCACCATCCTCTCTGCTCTATGCTCTCCACAAGAGGGCCTGGGCTGGTCTCTTTGTTTGTGGACACCAAAGAGAAACAATAACAAATGTTAAGAGGCATCAGGTCAAATAATTACATCGTTTTGATTTTACACGCTAAATTCTGAATCTTCAAAACTAGCTCTGAATTAATAAACTTGATTTAAATAGACAGAGAACAAGGAAACCACACTAATAAATGAATGAAGTTCATAAAACGCCAACAGTGTATTTTTTAAGTGTACAAATGCGTATCCTCCGTTGCACTGACCGTTGCCCGTGGCCGGGCTCTGCACGCTGAGCGGCGCCTCCATGAACACCAGCTCCTCGCTTTTCTTCAGCAGTTTCCGCAGGGCTCCGGTTTTCTCTCGGAAAGAGCCGCTGTTCTGCCGGTAACCGTGAATGCACAAATTACTACGATGATCAGGTCTGGTGAAGTTGTTGCTTTCAAACATCAATAGAATACTGTAGCGACCTACAAACTGTCGCAATGCTTTATGGGATTGTTTTTATTTGGGGCTATTGACAGGCAGTCATTTTCGGGGGGGAGCGTTCAGACCATGAGTTAGGCAGGAGTGTTTGAAATTTAAACCTGCTCTGTTGCTATTTTGCCGGTGTAATTAAAGCTGAAATGCAAGCTAACCTGTTCTCACGTTTTCATTTCGTAACCGCCGTTACAACACTTTAAATAACGATAATCAATTAAATATAATACAAATACATAAAAATATAGCCTCAAGCTATGTCATTTATTTTTATTTTTTTGTTTTTTTATTTATTTTTTTTAAGGCAAATGCTGCACTCTAGTGGTGAAAGGAAGGAGCTTGACGAGACCTTATTTTAATTAAAATTAGTTGCGAGCTCCTACAGTGTTTTCAAACAGCAGACCTAATAGTTAAACATTTGTATTTTAGCTGTGTGCCACTTGGCGTCTTGTTTTTACTTTTCACTAAACTTTCATGACGATTTTCCATTAAGTCTCATTATTTGATGCACCTTAAATTAGGGCGCAACTGTAGACCCGGCAAGTTGGTAAAATGTTATACCCAAGAACAAAACGTATGACCTGGGATCTGCTCACAGCTGGGATTGTTATTTTAAAATAAACTAAGACATAATTAAGGAATGGTGCATATTATTGTTTTCTTGACAAACCATGCCCTACGTTTTACAAATAAGCTTTATGGGGCAGACAAATGCTCTGTCTGGCCTGTAATATTGAATCATTTGTAAACCATCAGAATTGTTGACCTCCGGCACACACACAGTTAATCGGGATTGACCTGCTCGTAGTAACTACGCATGCGCAACAGACGTGACCAGAGGAAACAGCCGGGGAGTAGTCAAACAGACTGGAGCGACCAGAAAGGAGGAGGAAAACGCCGACAAAGACACACAGCCCGGAGTCGGTTGGAGTTTCTCCTCCACGGGACCAGTATGCTCGTCTCTGTGCCGTGGCTTGCTCTCAGGTGTCCGCTTCCCGGTCGATGAATGGCGCTGGTTACCGTGCAGCGTTCACCGACCCCCAGCACCAGCTCCAGCCCCTGTGTTTCGGTCAGTATCCACTTTATCAGCGCTCTATAAACCAGACCTCAATCCCAACATTGCACTGATATTTGGCTGATGTACACAATCGTTAAAATTTTGGTCTTTGCAGCGTTTTTAATCGGTGACTGGGTATCATAAAGTGCCTTGCTTTGTGGTCCTGCGCATGCGTGAATTGTGGCCGACTTTTTATTTGTAGTAAAATCAAACTATTTTAGTGGTAAAGGTTTGATTTCGTCCTTAATTGGTTAAGTATCCTGCAGTCTTCTGGGCTATTCTGTGCTTTGCTGCTGTAGAAGATTTCAGTTTGAAATTTTCCAAAATATCGTTGTGCTGTTTCCATAATGTTCATATTGCTGTATTTAGATTTTTTTTCCCCCCACTAAGATACCTAATTTCTGTTTTATTTAACTACTGCGACTTCATACATCATTCGTGTCAAACAAATAGCTATAAGTACTTCCGCTGTTAATAATCACCTTGTAACAGACATGAATGTGACTTCTCCTGTGTTATGTACGTAGTCTGGACATGCAAACATCCCAGTGAACGTGTGTTGTCTGTGACAGATTGTGCATAATGTTGAATACCAGTAATATCTGGTTTACGTGTCGATGTTTTTGCAAAAGGAAGCCGTGAAGGAGCTCATGCAAAACACTGGCAGGTGGTTTCCTGTTGCGGCTCTGTCTCTGCTGTTTTTCGTCTTTGTTTTTTTCAAATGGGAACTCCATCAGTGAGAGTCATAGGCTTACCCATTTAATGCATGTAGAAATATACACTGTGTTTCAGTTCAGCAAGTTTTGGATTTTGTTATTAGGACATTTTGGGATGTTTAAATAACTTGATAAAATCAATGATAGATATTTTCTTATAGACTTTCAGCAACACAAACAATTGGGCGATAAACTGAAAAAGATTTATAACATTGCTTTTGTTGTTATCTTATCTTAATGGAATATTTTGTTTTCAGAGTCATCTGAAATGTGGATATATGATCAGTTTAGCGCAAATTGAGGAACTGATCCGTCATGAAACAATTTTAACACCTTAATGATTATTTTTGCCATTTTAGCAACATTTCATATGTTTTACTCACACTTGCAGTGCCACTGTATTTGCTGCCTTTAATTAAACCAACATAAAATAAGCCAGTTTTCAATAGGCCTACCAGTGTCAGATGCAATACATTTTGAAGTACAAGAAAGACGCTTGAGCTCCTATTATATTAATTTGAATACAATGCAAATACACAGGGCAGTTCACTATAGTTTTCATAGTCAAAGCAATCATGGAGTGGGGAGATGTTTTGTATTTCTTCCAAATGATTTTTCCATTCGTTAAGCTCTCCTCTTTCCATCCTGCTTTTAAAGGTGTGCCTCAGTGCAGCAAGTGGTAATGACATTTCCCTCTTGTCTGTAAATAGAACTACCTCCATGTAAATTGTTGTTACAAGTATCAGTGTAATAATGACAATAATCATCTAATTCAGTGGCTGTGATTGTTAGTCTCCTTTTATAATGCCAGGTTTAGTTTAGTCAATTTAATCCTAACCTTAATAAAAGAGGAATATATCGGTGGACTGCAGTTTGGTTTAATTTAGCTTTCCAATGTATCCTGTTTTGTATTTGCTGAGTAATGTAATTCCTTCAAAGATGTTTTATATTTATTATATTTTATCTGAGGTGGCATTCCATGTAAAAACAAAGACGCTGTGAAATGAAACTGTACTGATCGAACCATGATTAATTATGACTCATTTCAGTTCAACAGTTTGCTTATGTAGGTGTTTTTTTGCCTTGTCACAGAAATCACAGAAAAAACTTTTCACACCAAAACCAAGTCTCGGGATGAACCAAGATTGTATTATATTTTTGAACCCCTAAACTCTTACACAGATCCAAACTGCAGTGTCATCAGAATAATCCATTATTATCCCTGCTATCTGTCCCACAATTTGGTTTGGGTCTGAGTGGTTGACCTTGTGTCCATAAGCACATTGTATAGATGGAGGAGAACCAGAACACAGTGGTAATCATAGAGAAGCTATAGAAGATATGTGGCTGGGTGAGGTGGCATGCCCAAAGATTTAATGTTTTCTTGTTAAACTGCAACCGTGTACATCTGCCACAGTGATGATAAGAGAGACGCAAGTCTGTTTCCTGGTTTTGGGGTCATATGATACTTCAAAATGTGCTTGTTCACTGACTCTGCCTCAAAGCCTCCCCAGTAAGGCTATAGTTTGACATTACATGCTAAATTATTTTATTAATATGGTCATTTTATACTGTAAAGTGAAAAACAATCATTGCGGCATCAGTCTCTTAATAGTCTCTCTATTAGTATCACAAGACTGAATTTTTGTTGATATTTTTGAGGGTCACTATTTGATTCTCAGTGAGAAGCTAATTGTTAATACCTATTACATTTGATTCACATTATTGGTTTATATATCCTAATGCTGCAAAAAAAATTATTTAATACAGTTTTAATTTGGTGCCATTTTCCATAGTGATTAAACTTAAATGTTTAAAAGTGTATACCTATCACAATAAAACATTTTGAAACACAATATATTGCTACAGAGATATACGATAAACAATAATTTAAAAACTATTTTATGCCATTGACACAATAATCAATAAATTTAAACTTTTGTTTAAATGGACAGTATCATTAAATTACATGAGCAGCATGAATAAATCACCAATTGAAGCAATGCTTAGCCATAGAAGTTACTTTTTCAATTCTCGGTAGCTCAAATCTTATTGTATTACAACAAAAATCTCCCCATTATTGCAAAGAAAATGTACACACGGTAAGTATTCAGCTCCAAAATGTATTGATCCAGCTTTCATATATTGAACAATAAGTCAGTAGTAGTTATTACCATGACAGGCACACTTAAATGCATCAAAATTTTTGAGCAACCCAACTCTTGAGTCTTGACCGAAACTTGTGAATGAAACTGCAGACATTCTCTGTTTAGTCTCTGGCACTCATAATTTTCATAGTCTTTGGAAACCACCTCTGATCTTTTCATATATGCAAAACACTTTGTCTGTGTAAAACATGATTGTAGTCGTATGCCAGACTGCAGTCAACATGTGTACGGCTTTGTGTATGAACTGGAAACAAAAAGGCCATTACAGAATTGGGGGCTGGTGTGCATTACTGATGTACTTAAAGATCCTATTTTGGAGCCAGTATGAGGGCCTGCATCTAATATTATCATGCCCTGTGACAGGATATCCCCCCTAGATATGCTGGTTAATGCAATAATTTAACATGTCACTGGATATATTTCTTTCTATAGAACTGCACAAAAACCTTACTTGTTTTCAAATACTAATCGATATTGAATAGGACATATGCTAATTCATAAAAAAAGTGAGTGATGATTTCATGAATGCTTGTGTTTAAAATGATATTTCACTTTAGAAGTATGACCATTATGCTCGTCAACCATTTCACATTGTATTTTGTTTTGTTTTTTAGGAGTCTGGCAGTGGGGAGGATGACCGTCGTTCACAGCCAAGAAGGTAAGGCAAAAGACCCCCTTATATTGTTCACTCACAGATTTTATGTTTTTTTATTTTTTCTTGTCCCATGCTTGTCGATTTACCTGGAGCTACATACTGTGCTTGTAATATATTATGTATATAGTGATGTTATAGACTGTTCGTGGTGTCCTGTGCCTGAGGTGCTGAGGTGGGGGCTGGAATCTGGCCCGTCTTGTTAGTTGGACCTTCTGTTACAACTCTTTCTGTACCTCAGTTCTCATCAACACTTCAGTTGTACTTCCTGCTGGGTTTCTTTTCTCTGCACCCAAACCAGCTTAGATCTTAAAAGGGACATGTCATGCAAAATGGGCTTTTGTGACCTTTAAGATATGGTTTAATGCTGTTACCTCATCATAAATATACCCAGAGTTCTGTTTTGTTTCATTCACACACGTTTGAGTAACCCTTTATTATTATTATTGTTAATGTATTATTGTTTACATCTCCCAAGCCCAAAATGCTCTGTTCCACCTTTATGATGTCATGAGTTTTTGAGTTAAGTTACCTTTTACCTTTTGTTCATTAGGGGCTGAAATCATCCACATGATTCTAGTGAAGGTGTATGAAGTTTAAAAACACAGTGGAGCACTTCTTGTATTGCCACATGACATCACAAGGTTGAGGTGGAGTGTTTTCTGTTTGAGAGAGGATGCCTATATATGCAGGGTTTATGTGAATGAAACAAAATGCATGTCCGGGTATGTTTGTGATGAGGAAGCAGCTTTGTAACAGATACAAAAATAGTGTATAGGCCCTTTAAACTTGTATCTGGTTGCTCTTGATGTAGCAGTATGAGAAAGCTCTGCGAAGCATATTCTGTCAGTTTTGTTGGTTGGTCAGTAGAGGGCGCCACACTACCTGCTTCACAAGATTAGTTGTACCTGAGGTGGAAAGATAGACATATCTTTGACCTACCTAAAAACTAAAAATAGTGTCCCTGTTTATCCCTTTTTAACTATTATAAAGTTATGAAGACATTTTGAAGTACATTCTTAAAAGTCTAAATATGACGGAACACATTAAAAACGGTAGTTAAATAGCTGTGTTACAAGACTGTGTACTGTATAAATTAACTATACAAGACTAGCTCATGCATTTGTTGAAGCATTGTCAGTTGTAGTTTAAAGTGCAGGCTTGGGGTGAGGGTTGGGCAGTGCTGGTCCCAGGACAGTCCTGAACCCCTCCTAAACCCGGTCCGTCTGGCCCTCAGAACTGTATGAACCCTGAGCCTGTCTGTATTTGTGCAGCTGGTATCAAAGCCCATATTCACACACTGAGGCTGGGAGCGTGTGGACTCAATGATAACAACTGAATTAGGGACTGTTTTGATTGATGGTAATATTATTGTACTGCTGAATTTAATAGAAGGTAAGATTGGGTCATTGTTTATTCATAATGTCTTTATTACATTAGAATCACCGTTTTTCAATTGCCTTTTCCCGTATACAGCAGTTTATATCTTATAATCATAAGATTGTAATGCAATTCTTATTTTTTCATTCAGAATTTAGGTTTTTATGTAATGTTTATTTCTACGTAGGTTGGTTTTAATAATCCAGTTCAGCAGATGGATTAATGGTTCAGAAGGGCCCTTTCACAATTAAATGTGTTGTATTGCAGAAACTTTTTAATATAACAACGCAATACTGAAAATCCAGTTACATGATAATCAAATTGATCATCAATCCATCAAATCAACTGTGAAAATCCAAATTTTTAAAAAACTGTCCAAAGGAGATATGCAGATTGTCATACTGGTTGGACTTGAAGTTACTGTAAAAATCCTATCTTGGTTCTCTTAGAGGTTACAATCACTATTCATTTTTGGAGCATAGAACATCATAGAAAAGCACTGATTCACAAAACGGTCATCATCACAGAATCAGACCACAGTTTTACACCCACCCCTTCAGTGCAGACATAGTTCTGTGTAACTTTAGCAGATCCTGACTCTTGGTTATGTAATTTTGATGATGCAGAGTTGTTTTTTCATTGTTGTTTGTTGCTTGTTTGACCTAATGGAAATGCGTCAGGAGTCTCAACCGTCACAGCGCTAACGTCACTCTCAGACACAGGTGGTGGTTCGAAGAGATGCCTAAGTCTCCTCCGCTGCTGATTAAAGACTATGTATGCAGACGTCACTGACACACAGTGAGGGGATCTGATAATGCTTTTGTTTTATAATGCACACAGTTAAGCTCCTCTGTTATTTATAGGTGGTCCTGGCAGATCAGATTTGACTTCTTTTGTGTATGAATATGCTCATAATGGAATAACAGACGATGATCAAATTAGTGCATGCTGTTGTAAATAAAGATGCAATTTCAAAACGTTATGAAATGGGTCAATTAATATGTGGTGGTGTTGTCCAAAAATCCAAAGATACTACATCAATAGAATTAATAAAACACACTGTCCAAAAATTGGTACATACAGTCCCTGACAAAAGTCTTGTCGCTTATCCATTTTGTAGAAACAAAAGCTTATAAACTGACTTTAAATTAATCGATTGGTTTTAGAAATGTCTCATATGAAAGCTAAAACCCTCCCAAATTATGCTCAATATACTAAAATAAATTTGCTTCACTGAAGAAAGATTGATCATTTAATGAACACAGAAAGGTCAGATTTTGGCAAGACAAAAGTTTTGTCGCCTACAGAAAATTGAACAAATAATTTACTTCAAATACAAAAATATGTTGCATAACGTCAGTGAATTAAGTAGTGGTGCTGTGAGATCCATATTTAATATCTTGTATGACTTCCATGAGCTTGAAGGACTGCATCCATGCGGTTCGACAATGATTCATACAATTTGTTGATGAAGTCATCAGGAATAGCAAAGAAAGCGTCTTACATGCCTCCCAGAGTTCATCAAGATTCTTTGGTTTTGCCTTCCATGCTTCCTCTTTCATTCTACCCCAGACTTGCTCAATGATGTTCATGTCTGGTGACTGGGCTGGCCAGTCCTGGAGCACCTTGATCTTCTTCACCTTGAGAAACTTTGATGTAGAGATAGAAATATGCGATGGAGCACCATCCTGCTGCAAAATTTGACCCCTTTTATGGTTGGGAATGTAAGAGGTAGCTAATACTTCTTGATATTTTAGGCTATTGATATTGCCTTCCAGTCTGCAAATGTCTCACACACCCCCATACTGGATGGAACCCCAGACCAGGATTTTTCCACCACCAAACTGGGTGAATCTTGGATCCATGCGGGCTCCAGTAGGTCTCCTGCAATATTTGCGGTGGCTGTGATGTAATTCAACCGAGGATTCATCTGAAAAATCCACCTTCTGCCACTTTTCCAGTGTCCATCCTTTTAGCAGGCTGTGGGCCTTGGGAAATGCCACACGTTTTTTTAATTGCCTTTTGTTTAGTGCTGGTTTCTGTGCACTGATTCGACCAGGGAGGCCATTTCGAGACAGAATTCTACAAACTGTTCTGGTTGACAGAGGGACTTGAGGTGACCAGGCCTGGTGGAGTCTGCTGCAGTGGAAAAGGGGCCTTGGATTTTCGAATCAACAAACGGTCCTCCCGAGCAGTTGTCTTGTGGGGTCTGCCGGATCTGGGCTTGTCAAAAATATCTCCAGTCATTTCAGATCTTTTTCTTATTCTTTGTACTTGACGCTGAGACACATTGAAGGTGTCAGCCACCTCAGCAGTGGATCCAGTCTTCAGCCTCTTGATAATTTACGCTTTGGTCTCAGGGTGGATCTTAGGCATGTTGTCAGAGGTCAAGTTGCAGTTGATGTGAAGGTCTGGTGTGCTGGGGTTCTTTTTATACACACCCACTAATTGATTGATCAGTAACTGATCACAGGTGAGGCTGTAATCTAGGATTGGGTGCATCATATGACAAGGCGACAAGACTTTTGTCTTGCCAAAATCTGACCTTTCTGTGTTCATTAAATGATCAATCTTTCTTCAGTGAAGCAAATTTATTTTAGTATATTGAGCATAATTTGGGAGGGTTTTAGCTTTCATATGAGACATTTCTAAAACCAATCGATTAATTTAAAGTCAGGTTATAAGCTTTTGTTTCTACAAAATGGATAAGCGACAAGACTTTTGTCAGGGACTGTAGTCATACAAGTGCAAGTATCTACTTTGATCTCTGCTGAAAGAAAATCACATAAACTAACAAAACTGGACCTTTCTTAAAAGGTCTCATTCAATATCTGCTATGACATTGTAAAATAAACATTTTATTATTATTATTATTATTTTAATAATTTAATATCCTTATTGTCATTCATAGTGAGTGCAGCTCTTTTAATGTAACAGATATAGTGCCTAAACCTGGATTCCGAAGCTCAAGAGTGAACATTAGAGTATTTGTTCAATTTGTTAGCTATAAGGCCTGTAACAAACATGTTGAATTTTTAGCCATGTTAAACTGATTTCATCTATGTTGGCTGCAATCCAAGGTGTGCCATTATTTTAGTAGCTAAGACATTTTATGCATAAACACATGTAGATCTATGCAGAGGTATGTGCTGAGTCCTACAGCGAGTTTTAAATTCCTCAAATGCCTTGTATTCATCTGTGTGCATGGCTGTCTCTCTAATGCCACTGTCTGTCTGTATTATAAATCCATTATAGTGGTTATGAAGTGGGTCCAGTAAAAACAGTGTGTAAACCTTGAGCTTTAGGTCAGGTTTGTTTGCATTTAATCAAGATTGAACTATATGCTGCGGTGAAATTTCACGGCTATATTAAACTGGAATGAACATACTTTGCTCACTATAGTAAACTTTTTCGTAGAGTTGCCTCATGTCTCGATTACCAATGACGAAGTAAACCAGCATAAAATTCTGAATAAAAAACTACAGAAGTCAAAGTCACCTTAACATTAGCACCGGTAGATACTACTTGACTGAACTATCCACACCTGGAAATAAGGTCTATATTTCAGCCTTTCTGCTATCAGGTTGTTTGTAAATAATGAAATGGCTCAATAAATGTAATAAATGTGTAGTAATGCCTACAGTAGCAGATAAACACCTCATTGTTTGTTATGATTTAGCATGACACTCTGGCCGGATCTTTACCTCTTTAAAATCAAACCCATAAACAGGAACCAGGAGGCCCCTCCCAGCAGCAGTCTGCCTTTTGATTTCACAACCTTTTTTCCGTTGTTGTGTTGTTGTTGTTGTTGTTGCTCAGTGTTACTGGCAGAAGAGCTAAATTAGGTGTCAGGTGTCTGTGTGGAGCACCGAGAAATTTCCCAGAAGGCCATGTTTCTGTGGCTGCCCCATACACACGTGATTCGAGTGTGCATGACCTCAGCTCGTAGTACAGGTACTCCTCTGTGGAGCTGCTGGGGTGAAATAAAGACTTATTACTACTTTTACCATGAGGGACTTTAGGCTACTGATAAATAAATGACAAACAATACAATCTTCTTAGTATGAACTGACCATAAGAACAACATTTGATAATTAAGGAAATTCTTGTTATTATTGTATCTTTGTTGTACTTTTTTAAACATGATCAAGGGATTCAATGGCTTGGGTTTCAAGCTACAGCAGCCATCTCTGTGGTCATAGAAATTAAGCAATTCAGATCAAAACATTACATCTTTTGAATGAGGAAAGGTCCTCTATTGGTTCTTATAAATCCTTGAAATCAATCAATGGAATTGATTGTCAGACAATCAATGGAATTGATTGTCTGAAACCCAGGTATATGCCATTGCAACATGTTGAAGTTTAACCTTTAACTTCTTAGGCTGCCATTTATAGGCTCTAGCTATAGCCATACAAATCCAGTCCTCTACAGTTTTAATACAAAATCTTGTTTCAGTTAAAGTGTCAGAACATCCTTAGAGGAAACCATGATCAGGTTGGTTTTGCAAGAGAAAAAATTGCAATAATTATTCCTTATTTCCTATTCTCACTTCCAAATATGATATGTGTTCCTATTTAAGGAAGGTACTTTCCCAGTAGGAGAGAGGGCAACTATGAGTCTGTCTTGAAAGAGAGTTGTGCAAACCGAGGGTCAAACAGTCAAGATGTTCTTTAAAACATGCAGCATGACAGTGACTGTAACATAACCAGTGGTCATACTTCTGCTGGATCAAAAATTTGATTTAATACAAGTATTAGGTCAAATATGGCCATTATCTATGGCAGGTCTGAAACTTGTTTAAATATTGTCCCTTATTTTCCCTTTTTGAGTGGTCTTCCTCTTGATTATAATGATTTGTGTAGGACTATTGTTCTTATGGCAGCACCTGTTGCCAAAAATGTCCTCCATTATCTATTTATCCACACCTGGACCAGATGTACAATTTGTAGAAGACTATTTTGTAATTTAGTTCATGGGTTGTTTAACAGATCGTTGGCACAAGTTGAAATCTTAAGCATTCAAAACTGCTAAATCAAACAAGATACCACTTTAGTGATTTCAAATAAGCCTTAATTTCAACTAAGCCCTGATGGAGACTAGTCATGGTTGAAACATGTTGGTTTTGGCCATCTAAATAAAGGCCTTTTAACTATACTTTTCCTTGTGCGATTTTTACTTCTTTGGAGTGCCTGGATTTTGTTGTGGCTTAAAGCCTTAATTAGCAGTTGACGTTGACGTTGCCATTGTTGTAATGATTGATGACTTGATGTCACTCCAAAGAATGGAGCAGTCCAGCTTTTTCATTTCTGATACTGATTGCAATCCTATGCTTTAAGTATCAATGTGAACATTATGAGACTTTTAGGGCCAACTACGACCAGTAAATAGTCACTATGGTCACTATAGCACTTTATGTCCATCCATCAGCTGAATTGATATTTGGAAACCAATACCTGCTCCAGGAATATTTTCTGGATATCAAAAACATTGCTCTACTTTATTATTCAAGATGTGAAGAATCTGGTTTTGATCATTTAGGTCCTAGGTTGACTATAAATAGTGTAATTGACAATTGGCCTACAAACTGTAATTATCATATTTAGGCTCAGACGAACTTTATTGATCCTCAAGGGTAATTACACAAGTTACAATGTGAGAACTGTTGTTAGTGGCAACCTGCAAAAAGAATGGCAATACAGTTCTAATAAAACTAATAAATAATAGGCTCTGTAGCAGAATATAATCCAATATAACCCTTACTTTGAAGTTGAAGTTAACCAGTTGCGGTTTGTTTATTAAGTTACATTTGCTGTCAGTGTTTAGAAGTTGACCCAGAGAGTTGTTTTCTTGTTGTCATGCGTCTGGCCCATTGGCACGTTGCCCATTGGACCTCGTGTGCGCTTGGCCCGCCCCCAGCGCAGTGCTTTTTGTGGATGAGACGCAACGCTCTGCAGAGAAATGGGACACAAGTCTGGACGCACCTGCCTCGTGTCGCACTTAACTGTAGCCCGAACATTTTCTTTCATTAGCTTTTGTGTGTGAAAAATTAGATTTACGTTTATAGAAAATTCTGGGCCTAAAGTGATGCTTTCTCTGGCTAAAATTTTGAAAGTTATAGCTTTAGTCTGCTATAACGAGCTCCATCCTTTTGGCTCCAGTGCAGCGATGCCTCCCGGTGTCGTGCCCGTCTCTCGGAGCGCTTCAGCCGGATGTTTCTGCGTCTCCTGCGGGGTTGGGAAGATGCCGTATTTTACCGACAACTCCGTATTTTCACAAGGGGAGATATACGAGCTGTAAGTTAATTGAGCGCGGTTGATCAAAACTGCGGATATAATAACATTTGTCAAGTGAAATTGCGGATATGCCATTTAAGCATTCCTTTGAGCATGTTTTTGTTTACCGACATCTCTTGTCTTCGCGCTGGTCGTTTGGTTGATGAGTTACACTGATGGCATCTAGTTTCCCATGATGATGCTTACGGATGTGAGTGACAGAACTGGCATGCACTTTTAGTAAGATGTTTCCACATTAAATGCTTTTATGTGCATCCGTTGTCTCTTTGTCATGTCTGAGAAGTTGGCACGCTGGTACACACTGTCCCCCTAAGTGGATTTGGTTGAGTCAGACTAAAGCTTTTGATTGGCCAAAACATTATGATCCACTGAGGAAGGAAGTGAAAACCTATTATTTTATTAACATTACTCACGTTAATAAGGACACAAAGAGCAACAAGTGACCAGTTGTTGCTCAAAGTTTACGTTAGATGCTGGAAAAAACTGTAAAGCTTTTTGTTACTTAGGAGGCATCTCTTAAGCTGCAGTCCTTCTGATGAACACTGCAGAATGGAGACATGTGTTACTCTAAGGGAAGAAAAGTGGCAAAAGAATAATACTTTTGAATATTTAAAAAGATTCAGTTCTGTCCCTACCAGTGTTTACAGGGAAGCCTAAATTCTGCAGCTCAAAGTTCTTTCGCCATGAACTCGGGCAGTTTTCAAAGCTGATCAAGTAAAACGTCAACATGGCACAAAAATTGAAGAAATGCTTTATGCATAGTCCAAGTTCATTATGTAACTATTGTTCTGAGCAGTCCATCCAAGCTGCTTTGTGCATGTCGCCCAATTGTAACGGGACAATGGCATAGTTTTCTACAATTAACACTTTACAATAAACTATTAAATTAATACATTCTCCATTACATGGAATGAGCAAAATGCATAGTGAAATTGTTATACTGCTGTTATTTCATAACTATGTCCAGTACAGTTAAGCCAGATGCATTATTGGACCTGGTTGGCTACCTCCAGCTTATAAGTGATGTAATTACTGTTTGCTTAAGAAGTTTGTCTTGGTTGTTGCTTTATGGATTAAGGAGCAATGGAAAAAGATTAGAGCTCCTTTATGAAGACCAAATCCTTTAGTTTATGTTGTGGTTTATCACTGTAGAACAGGCCACATGTTACATAGCCAGTGACTAGTAAAGGTATATAATATTTTCCCTTCTATTTTTTTCTGTTTAGCATCAGTGAAAGTTTCCTGACAGTCAAAGGAGCTGCTCTCTTCTTACCTCGAGGAAATGGCTCCTCTCCTTCAGCAGGCTCACGCTTTACACAACTCCGCAGCAAACATGCAGGTGAGCCATCTGGTCATATCAATTCAAATGGCAATATGGTCCTTATTATCAAAACACCCCACATTGTTATAACAAAGAAATGTTGTAGTAATCAATGTGAAATCTTCCATCTTTGTCAGTGTCACAGTCATAATAGGTCTTGTAACAACACATTTTATAACAACATGCAAATATCTTTCAAATCCACATCTCCAGCTCTAGACTTGTTGCTAAAATATTTGTACTTCGATATGATTATTTACAGTAGCATAGTGTTTAGTGTTTTCTATGACTTTCTGCTCATCGTTTTGTTTTTTTGTGTTTTTAACAGGAGACATTCAGCAGCATCTTCAAACTATGTTTACCCTCCTCAGACCAGAGGACAACATCAAACTGGTATTCAAACTTGCATTCACTAATTATGTCCAGTGCTTGGAGTTAAGAGGTTTATATTTTCCTGTTTGTTAGGCTGTCAGGTTGGAGAGTGTGCACCATCAGATCACTCGGTACATGGTTGTTGTGTCCACAAACGGACGCCAGGACACAGAGGAGAGTGTTGTGCTAGGGATGGACTTCAGCCCCATCGACAGGTGAGGAACCACTTACTTGGGCAGTGTTTCAAAACCAAAACTAAACATTGCTATTGCGATAAAGATATTGTGTTATTTTGATTTATACTGTTTCAGTTGAGCTGATAATCATAGACTGTATATATAAATGGACATAGTATGTTATTTTATATTTTGTTAATTTTTATATTGATCTAAAACATTTCAGCATTGTAGAGTCTGATATGAGTACTGGAGAGGGGAGTCATATTGTCATATTGCCGTTGTGTGTACCATGCTTATATACTTACATACATTAAACATGACTAAAAGTATGCATATTGTTTTGGTTTTAACCATTTACATTTTCATCTCTTTTCAGCTCATGCTCTGTAGGAATGGTGTTGCCTTTGTGGAGTGACACATTGATTCATCTGGATGGAGATGGGTAAGATGATATCAAATGTGTTTATTCAGCAATGGTAAAACTCTTGTAACATGTATAACCTTAGTCATGGCCCTCTTTGTGTCTTTTTGCTCACAGTGGTTTCAGTGTCTCGACTGATAACAAAATCCACGTCTTCAAACCTGTGTCAGTGCAGGCGATGTGGTGAGTCAGCTATTAAATGACCTACAGCTATTCTTATAATATTCATGGACTTTCACACTGATGCCTCATGTACTGAACAGTATGGCACAGTATAATATAGCACAAACGTAATAAGTAATATGGCCCATCACAATGACATAGGGAACTGCTTGTACTGGGAAATGTAATCTGTAGCAGTGAGACGTGTCAAAAATAAATGCTATTGTAATCCATTGTGTGACAAGTTTTGGGCTTGTTTACTACAGAAGTCTTTGATAAAGATTTATAACTGGGGTAAATTTAAAATTTTACTTGACTCAAATATACTTAGATGACTGTAATTTAGCAGTGCTTCAGAATTGGTTTAGTCCTGAGAAATTTGATGACATGGAAGAAGAAACACACTAATTAAAAATAGGTTTGTATTACGTATGATTGAATTAAATTCTCTGTAGCAATTTTGAAAATATAAGATTTTTAGATGAACCAGAAAGCTACATAGCTGAGCATGTTTGAAAATATTTTCGTTGTTTCTTTCATCTGTCTAATCAGTTATTCAATTTTAATCCAGGTCCGCTCTGCAATCCCTCCACAAAGCCTGTGAGGTGGCCCGCTGCCACAATTACTTCCCGGGCAGCCTGTTTCTCACATGGGTCAGCTATTACCAGAGCCGGGTGTCCTCTGATCAGGCGCGCATCAATGAGTGGAACGCCATGCAGGACGTCGAGTCTCACCGTGCCGATTCGCCTGTCCTCTTCTCAGATGTGTAAGATGTTGCTTTGTCTGGAATATTCTTAGTACGCCATTAAGCGTATTAATCTTGCATTCATTCAATTAAACTAGTTTTTCTTGCTCAAAAATACCTTGAAATACGTGCGTTCTTGCTGTGAGTGAGGTCACCTCTTCATATATCTGTAACTTAGCTTGGTGGTGTCACATGCTTATTTTTATGGAAATGCTGAATACCATATTGTGGCACATTCCATCCAAAGTGGTAACATCTCCATGGAGACAAGTAGCTTGTGGACCTTCCACCAGAAAGGTTACACTGCACCTTTTAATGCCATTTCATTCATCATATCAAAGCTATGATTTGATATAAATCATTCAGATTATGACGCAGATAAATTTAAGCTATAGTATATTTATAGTAAATTTAAGGGACATTTTAAGCTATAATTTTATCCCATTTTGAGAAGAACTTAAATATAAAATTTGCTCCCTAGCCTTAAAATCTGTATTAATTACTTTCTCTTACTTTCAAAATCAAATTGCTACATTGTTTGTTTCACATATACCCCCCCACACAATGTGCAATACTAATAATCTTAGTAATAATAGTACTTAATTTTGAAAAATGTATTTATTTATTGCTTTTTTGGCAGACCAACTGAACGAGAGCGGACAGAACGACAAATTAAGACCAGTTTGAGGGAAATCATGATGCAAAAGGATCTGGAAAATGTCACCAGCAAAGAGGTCAGATATGAAAACATACTCAATGTCAAATACAAAACATAAAGCTATCTATAAAGCCTCTATAATTTTGATACATGTTTTTACATTGTGTTTGAATTTGGTCTTTGTTTTTTGTTTGATTTAGATCCGAACAGAACTGGAAATGAGCATGACATGCAACCTCCGTGAGTTTAAGGAGTTCATCGACAATGAGATGATTATAATCCTGAGACAAATGGACAGTCCAACAGAAATATTTGACCATGTTTTCTTGGTGAGTTCAAATTTGTTAAGACACTAAATCTTGGGTGCAGGGTTTATTTGTTGAAAAGAGTTGAGTCAAATTGTTGTATGTTTCTACAGGGATCAGAGTGGAATGCATCCAATTTGGAGGAGTTGCAGAACAGTGGGTAAGTACAAAAACAATTCAGCCACAGTTACTAGCTTGTAAAATAAATGGGCTTTTCCTTAAATAGTTGACATGGTTCTCTGTATATTTTCTGACAGAGTTCAGTACATCCTGAATGTAACAAGAGAGATTGACAACTTCTTCCCCGGCTTGTTTGAATACCACAACATCCGTGTTTATGATGAGGAGGCCACTGACCTTCTGGCTTATTGGAATGACACATACAAGTTTATCGCAAGGGCCAAGTGAGTTTTTCATCTTTTAGTTTTTTTTTATTCTTCTTTCCAAGATTTCTAGTTCTTAAGTTGTTGAGTAGGATATAAGCATCAGATCTGTTTCCCAAATGTATTGGTTCTTTAAAACTGTGTTACTCCAGTATTCATCCAAATAACTTTTGATTGTAAAAAAATTTCTTTATGTAGAAAACTAAATCTAAACATTCCATGCCAGTGTTTTCATCAGTAAAATTATTCTTCAAGGTCATTTTTACTTTTTTCTAGTATCTAGTGGTAAAACTACCCTATGTAGTGCAATTAATCTGAAAATTTTCCTGTGGTCAAATACTAATGGTTTTCTAATGTCCTTGTTGCTGCCCCCTACAGGAAAGCTGGCTCCAAATGTCTGGTGCACTGTAAAATGGGGATAAGTCGCTCTGCTGCCACCGTGATCGCATATGCCATGAAAGAGTACGGCTGGGACCTGAGCAAGGCTTTTGATTATGTCAAAGAGCGACGAACTGTGACCAAACCCAATCCTTCGTTCATGAGGCAGCTAGAGGAGTATCAGGGCATTCTCGTGGCCAGGTAAGCATACACATGTAAACAAACATTACAAAATGATATATTCTTGTTAAAATAACTTGAATTCAGAAAAAGAATCTTGACTGGACTAAACTTGTATATATATTCTCCAAACTTCATTGTTTGCTAATAGAGACAAAACACAATACTGATAAATAATTAAAGTGAATGAAAAGTGTAGCCTCATGCTGAATTGAAATAACTGGATATAATGTAAATTAAATGTTTTCTGATTCCTTTATTGCAGCAAACAAAGGCACAACAAACTTTGGCGTTCTCACTCCGACAGTGACCTCTCTGAGCACCATGAACCTTTAGCCAAGTCTTTAGCTCAGCCCAACAGCCTGGGTCGCTCTGACCCCCATAACCAGACCCCCTCCTCCGGGCCGTCCGTCAAAGAGCTGCTGGAGTCTCTGGGAGCTCCACCCAACACTGTTAAACCTTCCTCCAGCCAGAAAGACCCCAAGTCCAAGCAGAGCTCCTCCTCTGCTGAAGGACTCCCCACTTTATCAACGCAATGCCTCCAAGTCCAGTCTCAGGCATCCCAAATGAGGCAGTCCTCCCCCTGCACCTCTCCATGTCCCCTATCTCCTCCCCTGTCCAATGGCATATGTGGTGGTGATGAGTGCCCGTCATCGCCTCCTCTGTCCCAGCCTAGAGCGGCCACAGTCATGCCCCCCTCCACAGGTGTATCCATGGTAGCTCAGTGTGTCCCTTTAGGCCAACCTCAGCCCCCTCCCCTGCTGCACAACTTGCCGCCCTCTCCCGCCCCGTCCCCCACCCTGCTCTGTGAAGAAGAGTTGGTCAAGGGGCAGGTGGTGTTGTGTCCCATGGTCAAACCGTTGCCAGTGTCAGTGCCTCAGCCTTTCGCCATTCGAACCCCCACCTCACAACTAGGACCCAACTGTGTGTCCGCGGCAGTGCCTGTCGAAAACACAGACTGTGAGCAACACTTGTGTGCGTTGTCTTTGGCGGCACACTCACCCCCCTCCAGTTTTATCAGTTTCCCCAGTGCCATTCCTCAGGACAACGAAGCGTTGTTCGTCCACAGTGGCGATCACATCAACTTCTTCAGTGCCAGAGAAAAGTTCAAGGGCATGACTAAAGATGGCAAGACTGCTGTGAAAAAAGAGGAACTGTCTGTGCCTCCGGATGTCGCAAGTAATGAAGACAAAGATGAAGTTAAGAAAAAGGTGAAATTTCTTCTTAACTTTCATTTTTAATTACACTTGCACAGTCCCTAGTGACGTCTGAACATGACATTTCTTAATGAGTCTTATCAATTGTTTAACATGCTTTTGCTTTTTCTAATACTTTTTAGGAAATGACTGTTCCTGTGCAGGCCACAGGACCAAAATCTGACCTGGATGTGAGCAGGTTGAAGCATGAAGATATTTTATCTCAAGAGGAAGCAGGTAATCCAAAAGAGGAAGTGAAACACAAAGAGGAGGAGGAGGCTGCCCCGCAGCTCTACAGTGACTGGACAAGAGGGTCTGTTAGGCGTGTTACACGGCAGCTCGAGCAGCGAATGAGACAGGAGCAAGAGGTGCCCTCCCCCTCCTCCTCCCCTCCCTCTCTTTCTGGAGGCTGGACCCAGCGGCGCATGGCCAGTGTCCCATCTGTGATGGGGTCAAGTGCGCAGGACACCTCTCTCTGTCCTGAGGTGACAGTGGTCAGCCCAGTGCAGGAGGAGCAGGAGGAGCAGGATGAGGAGGACACTGAGATGCACAGACTGGGTCAAAACGATAAAAGCACAAAAGGAGCCAAGGTCCTGCCTGCTGAGAGGTCTCTGTCTACCTCCAGTCACTACACTGCCCATTCACCCTTCTCCTCCGTGAACTTCCTGTGTCTGGAAGGCGTCACTGAGTTTGAGTCAGCCACAGACTGGGACTGTCCCGCTCTAGGAGGGGACATTATAATGAGGGAGACGTGGGAGACGCTTTGTGAGCTTGGGGCCTTTCTGCAGCAGGTGAGTGTGGGAGAGGCTTGTAAAGTACGACAAGCAGCTCAGGCTCGAAGCAGCAGCATCCAGAGGAGAGTCAGAGAGGTGGAGGCCAGGATACGACAGGCGGGACTGACCCCTCCCTCTCTCATGAAGCGCTCTGCCTCTTTGGCCAAGCTGGGCTGTCTGGAGCTACTGGCCAATGAACTGAGTGAATGGGAGCTGACCCGCTCCTGTGTGGCCCCTTCCTCCTGCACAGAGCCCACTGGCCACACAGTGGTCAGTGATGAATCCAAAAAACAGCGCGTTCACCACTCGCCCTCCTTATTCAGCCAGCACACTCCACCCCTTGAGACACGTGACACCCCTCCTGAATCTTCCCCCTCCACTAGCCTACCTGTGCCCTCTGAACAGGACACTCCAGGACCAAACCTCACCACAGCAAGGCAGCAGTACGGACGGACTCACCCCCTACGAAGGCTCAAAAAACGAACTGGCACCCTTTACCACACCATGTAAAACCTCTATGTCAAAATGTCTATGTGAGAGAATGGAGTGCAAAGTCACTGCAAAATAATAATATCTACATGAGTTAAACTACTGGAATTCAAAATATTGAATTTGTTTGAGTAGTTTAGGGGGAAGTAGAGTAAAGAAAATTGCACATGGAAGTTTTTATTCAGAAATTATATATATATATATATATATATATATATATATATATATATATATATATATATATATATATATATATATATATATATATATATATATATATATATATATATATAAAATTTTAACTAGTCCAAAAAAAAAAAAAAAGAATATTCTGAATTCAAGTCTGTTCAGCGCATTTAGTAATACATTTATTTTACAGTGCTGGCGTTGATCCGCAAAACTAACAAATGCCTCTTGCCTTAAGTTTGTTTGTCCCAGCAAATCTGCCAAGAGCCTCTGTGATGAATAATATCTATGTGGGTTAAGTGAATAGCATTAAAACACTGTGTACCATCTTTACCTGCAACAATCATTTTACATCTAGACATTTTTGGCCATTTTGGCAGAGGTCCAATTTTTATACTAATGCTGGTTTATCACTTAGTTGCTGTTATGTTTATTAGAATGTAGCCACTGTTTCATCTCTTCTTTTAAAGCAAAGTTGTAAAGTCACCCTGGACCCAATATTGCATTATAAGCAGCATATGAGCTATCTTTAAGAATGACATAACTGGACCATCAAATTTGGATTGTTTTTTTGTATGTGAGAAGTTGGGTAGCGAAGCATGCTGTTTGTCTTATATTTTTTGCTTTGACTGCACATTACCTCATAGTCTAAAAACCAAATCATGCCCACGCATTAGGTCTTGATTTCTGGAATGTCCATCTCAATCTGAAATATCTCTTCTCTTGGATGCCACTGAATCTATAAAATTGTATGTATTGCTGTTTGTGTGAGGGTGAGGGGAGTGAATTTATCGTATGTTTTGAGGATGTAAAGAGCTATATTGTGACATTTTAGGAGCTGTACGTTTTTTATATCTAGCCAGTGTCTGTGAGTGACTGTAGCACAACTTCTACCACGTGGGTGTAGTTTCTGTTTCTCTTTGTACACATTGGGGTGTGTGCCTCTGGCTGGTGAAGCTTCAGAGTTTTCTGTCATACATGCACTTTACTCCTTTTTTATGTTATTGTGGATTTTTATGTATGGTTGCTACTTTTGGGAGCATGCTTGGGTAGTAGCAAATGTTGGGTGTGTGTTTTAAACTATCATACTTGTAAATATTCTTTTATATCATGTGTCTCAACTGTGACCATTAAATAATGGAAATGATTGAACATAGGTTTTCTGTGTCTTATTGTGTGGCAAGAATGTTTCGCTAGATGGCATAGAAACCCACAGAAAGTTCAATGAAATATTTGAAAGCATATGTTATAGATGTACATCTGATACGTGGGTCTTACTAACCTCTATATGCCCAATTTAGCCAGCCAGTGCTAATTGTATTCTCCATTTTGGCGCACTTACCTTTGTGTACCTGTTCTACCGCCATAGGCCTTTCTGTTGAGCTCTTTAGGGTCATGACTGACCCCAGGGGCGCACGAGGGCCGTGTCACAGCGGTCCGCGTCACGTTTCCCTGCCCTGACCAAGCCTGTTCCAAAATAGCCCTCCTCCTTGCACCCTCCCATCCACACCCCCTCTGTCCCCCACTGTCCCGGGCCTCAAGCCTCTCTTTCCCTTCCGTGGAGCAGTGGTCCAGTGCGTCTCCTCTGTGCGTCTTGCACCAAATAATCGTTTAAAACGCTCTTCCAAATTGGGATTTACGCAAAGGAGTTTCGCAGACAGTTGAGCAGTGGTCTACGGTAGACCCATATACAGACGTCCAGGGAAGAGGGGGCTCCCCAAAAACCTGAGGTGAGATTTATGGTTCCTAACTTTTTGTCTGGTGCATTAAGGAGTGAGCTGCGTAACTTTACTGCAGTGCGATAGTCACCTCGAGCGCTAGGTAGGCCTAATATGATTCAGATGCGGCATACACACCGCAGACGGCATAGCAGATCTTGAGGCATGAGTGACAGCTGTGTTCCACTTTAGGGATCACGTACCGTTCTGCTCCATTCGTATTGCCCTCAGCTGTTGTTCTTTGTAATTTAAAAGCGAGGTTGTGTTGGCCATGGACATTGGCGCTGAAATATACAGTGCTTTCATTATTGCTACAGTGAGAGACTTGGCTGTATTTAGGAGCAGGCCGCCGGGTGGGAGGGGTCCTGGACGCTCAGGACAGCAGCGCACTTTGTCATGTCTATATTAGGAAAGTGGCAGTGTTATTCTAATGCGCTTCGTTCTCCAAAGCCCTGGCATAGATTCGAACGTAATACCTGCACATTGTTGTGCTTCGAGCAAGTTAATAATTTAACTGAATCATAACTTTATTAATAGTAAGTATTGCCATGATAACATAGTCTGCATTGTCTATAGCCAAGCCTTTACCAAACTAAACGAATAAGCGTAAAAATACGCTACACCGTTTATGGAGGCCTAGTGTTAAAACTGAGACGGCTGGCATCATATCAGAGATCATGTCCGGGATCTTGTCCAGCTTTGTCATTCCTGACCTGACTTTATTTTTTCCCCCAAATGCTACAACCATTACAATTAAATAAAAAAGGCCTAGATTATATTTTTCTCATGGTAAGTAAACTGCATGTTTATTTGGGGCTATTCTATGAGTTATAATTTGTCAATCTCCAAAAAACATCAAGTAGAACTATAGAGCCTCTACCGTAATTCTAAGTGGTTACTGCTTCCATATTATCATGTAGGCCTCACGACATGTACAAGACTTGAGGAAGCTTAGCTTTAGTTGGGAAAAACACGACTGACAGAGAAACAAATAGTAACTTATTTTACGCAAAATCATGTCCAAATTTTAACATTTAATTTGCCTATATTAATCTATGACGATTACCATGCTATGTAAACCAATGACGTTTGAAGTCCAAAACTCTTTAATCCAGTTTATGTTTTGCTTTTTCCTTTTGGCACCCAACAATCAAACAAAGCCTTGTATTTGTTGCAGCTTAATAGTGGACAGATATTTATGATGCTCACCCTGAATGCCCCACAGATTGGCTGCTCTAAAGCGTTGCTATGTGACATGACATAGGGCTTCCAGGAAAGTTCTTTCTTAATGTGAATAATTCATATAGACTATAAACCCTATAGAGAAATATAGGTTGTGTAGTCAGCAGGGGCAATATTTTAAAGTTATGATCATCCATGAGGTTTACCACATATTCAGTTTTTTAATTTTTTTCTATTCAATTTCTAATTATGTCAGTATTATTACATAATGTAATATCTACCAGTAACTATAGTTGATTTGATAGAATATTCAGTGCCAAAAGTGATGCTGCAAATGACTTATTTTACAGTCAGATTTATAACCAAAAATTTCTTTACTATTATGTAAACATATGGCTACATTGAGGTCCTTACAGCTGTCTGTTGTGTTGTGGGTCATATACAATGTATTTTATCAGCTGTGTCTCTTTGTGCCAGTAACTAAAGTTTGGCTTTCTCAAAGAGGGACAATCATCTATTAATATCCCTGTGTGAGACTTGTTCCAGCACTGGGCCTGTGTTTGGGGGATTAGAGTCTCTTTGGGCACTGCCTCGGACAGCAACGGGCAGCAACATGTGTAAACACTGTGCACCCTAGGCCCTGGCTAAAACTGATTTAGTTTAGTTTAGAACTGAAGATAGTAGATGTACTTAAAAGCAGCTCGTGGGCCTGGTAAAGTTTGCCACAACTTTGTTCTTTTGTAAAACACAAGTAATCCTCCAAAATAGAAAAAAAAGAAAACAAAACATGTCAGTGGTGTGAACTTCTGAAACAAAATATTTTCAGATATGGGTTTTGACATGTATTTGTTTTGAAAATCATACCATCCAAAAGGTACACATTTAAATAGTAGTCTATAAATCCGTTGTACAAGCAAAGTTGAGTGTTTTTCATTTCTTTCCTTTAGACTAAAAATCTTCATATAATTAAGGTGTATATAAAGGGGATAGGTAAGATTTACTTTATTGACCCATGCGTCCCTTGACAGTGCTGGGTAACCTTATTGCCTAGTGTGCATGTTTTATCTATCTCTACCAAGACCCTATCACAAAAAAGTACCCACTGGTGTTTTAGTTGTGAATTATAGGCCAATAGTGCAAATTTTGGTTTCTAGTCCTATCCTCTGCATCTAAGATCCAACAGGTTTAATCATACTGACATATATGCTCCATTTCCTTTCTGCAGCCATGAGTCGCAGCATTGTGCGGCAGAGTAAGTTTCGCCACGTCTTCGGGCAAGCGGTGAAGGCAGAGCAGGGCTTCGATGACATCAGAGTGTCAAAGGTCACATGGGACAGTTCGTTCTGTGCTGTCAACCCAAAGTTCCTGGCGGTGATCGTGGAGTCCAGCGGAGGAGGAGCCTTTCTGGTACTGCCTCTGTCCAAGGTAATAATGAAAGATAGGTCTTCTGTGGTCTGAATATTTTAAATTTTTTGATGAATATTTAGTTAGTATAATTCAGTTCTTTGATGTTGACTTTATAATATGTTATAATTGAGAATTTATGTTAAAATAATGATTATTTTGTCTCTTCAAAAAAACCTTATTGATCCACAAGGGACATTACACAGTCAATAATGCATTCCAATGTATGTATGTATGTATGTATGTATGTATGTATGTATGTATGTATGTATGTATGTATGTATGTAATGTAAAAAAAAAAAATCTAAATCAGAATTACTTTTATTTATCTTTAAGTAGAAATTATTTCTATTTAGCAGAACAATAGCATTATCAAAATAAAGTTAAGAACATTTTAATATTAGTAACATAAAAAGAATAAAAACAATAAGCCTTTGTGTACTAAACCCTCAGTAAGATAAAATACAGTCACGTTTTAACTTAAATTTTTAAAATATAACCTCATAACATATTTACATCTTTATAACAGATTTACAACAGGTATGAACACAATATAGCAAAAGGAGTTTAGTGAGACTTTTAAGTTCAGCACTTTGTTGAATAAGTTGTATTGAAATAGGAAAGGACTTGTCAAATAATGTACAAATATAGAAATTTGTATACAAGTAGAATAAAATAAGTGAATAAAAAGAGATAAAATGAGAAATGTCCTGCCTTCTTCTGTTCTCTGCATCATAATTTGATTTGGCACAAAGATATAACCCTTCCAAAGTCTTATAAGTTTACATAATTGCTTATATGCATACATACTATGTATTACATGTACATAGTATTTCAGACAGCTGCTTGTATTGGGTGTACTGGGTGACCTCGCTCTGATGACCTCTCCAGCATGGCCACTACATAGATGCATTCCAGGAACAAATTACTTATGACTGACACTTGTTTATGGTGTTTTTACTGTCTATTGCCTTTGTAATGTTAGTGTCACATTTTTCTACTTTACTACGAGTATTTACCATGAATAGTTGAGGTAACATTGAGACGCATTGGTAAAACTTGCTCTAGATTTCTGACTAAGCACTCCTTGTATTTGCAGGCAGCTGAACATTCTGTAGTGGTGGCTATAAGTAGCTATAGCACTGGGGAAGATGCAGTGACACTCTTAAGCCTTTCGACTGACTAGTTTCAAATACTGTATGAATTGTGTTTCCATTAACAGTGATAAGCTTCATCTGATGTTGATTTACTTGATACTTGCTTGTTACTATGATCATATCTCAATTGTTGTTTGGGAGTTATGAAAAAATAGTGTATCATTCACATAAAGATGCACTATGTAACTTTTCTGGTGCAGGATTCATTTCGATGGATGTCACTGCTCAGGAATGTTCCACAGTATGGCATTATAAACAGCTTTACCATACATTCATTCAATTACAAATGGTTTTATAGCTTAAAGATACCCAGAAAAACAGGCATTCTCATGGTGAGCAGCGTCGCCTCTTCACAGATCTGACCTGTAACTTGGTCTGGTTTGGTCTCCACGAAGATAGAAAGGTTTTATGCCATACGGTGAACATTCCAGACAAAGCAATAACATCTCCATGGAGAAAAGTATTTGCCTGATGCATCTTTAACAAACAAAAAAAAAGTAGTAGTAAATAAATAGTAAACAAAATAAAATAGTGTTATATTTCAAAATAGGATATAGAATTTGTGGACTACAGGCACAACACATTCCTGATTTTGTTAGTGCTGTTCAATATTTTTTTTTTCCCATCACTGTCAACTTGAAAAAGGAGTGATTCATTAGATATACATTTTCTATAAGTATTCTAGCCCTGGGTTACGTTTAGCTGATTGTATGTCAGGAGAGTCCTGCCCATAATGACTGAACCAGATGCGGTCACAGTGTCAGTTAAAGCAGGCAGTGGATTTAGATCAGACAGGCCCAAAGCTGTGAAGTCCCTCCAGCAAGTCAATGATGACATCTCCTTAAAATAAATGATGGACACTGTAAGACAACTCTAACCTGGTGACAACATTTTAATGTACAGCACGATTGCATTTAGCCTGACACTTTATCATGTTATCAAAGGCAGCACTGGTGACACGGCCTAATGGGATTGACAGAAGAGAGGTGGATTATATGAGGCCATCAAAAAGTCACTGTTTAGTCTGGATTTGATTTATTATTGATTTTCAATTGATTGGCTGTTATGGTGTTACCAGTAGGCACGCACCAATACCGAAGCTGAAAAATTTGCTGGATCGGGTATCGCTTCATGATATCGGTTAAGAGGATATCTCGGCCGGGCCTTTAATTAGATGTAATAAGACTATTTACAGACTGATTTTGGCCTAGAATGACTCATAATGTTTAATTTTTGTTTCATATGAAGCTGTTCACTAATTATTTGAAGGTTAAAAAACAGTTGCATAATACAGTTGGAGTTATTGTGTAGTCAGTTAACTATGTTGTAAGGAAATAAGTGGCATTTTCTCTCCCTACACTGGTATCGGTTAATGTCGGATATCGGCAGATCCTTAAAGTCATGGTCAAGGGTGCATTCCTAGTTGCCAGTATCACTCTGTCACCAGACTTTGTTGAAGGACATGTGGGCTCTTGGTCTCTGTGTGAGTGGTGTTTTGTATATTTTATTACCATAGAGTTCATTCTGGATGCCTTTCCTCTTCAACCCTTGCCATGATAATAAATAGTTTATTGGTATATTTGTTGGTAATTATGTTTATTTAGTCAGCATTTTTAGCTCTGCCTTATACACATGTACACATATATACATGTATTATTAGAAATTTAACCACATACGTTATTATAAACCTGTCTTTTAATCTGTACTGTAATGTTTAAATTTTTTACACAAAACTGACTCTTGTGAGCCATGTTAGAATGTTGTTTTCTCATCAAAAACATACCTGGAGTTGGTCCCAGTTTATTAGTCTGTCTACATCTTCAAAGCTCAAAATGCTCTGTTGCACCTTGTGATGTCAAGTAGTGGTAGTTTTTAAGTTAACAGCTACCTTTTACATTTTGATGAGTAGAGATTGGTAATACATGGCTGAAATTATCCAAATGATTCTAGTGAAGGTGTATGGAGTTTAAAAACACAGTGGAGCACTTCCTGTATTACCACATGACACAGTCAACAGTGTTTTCTGTTTGAGAGAAGAACTTGTGCAGGATCTGTGTGTTAAACATGTGTGAATGAAACAAAACACAACTCCAGGTATGTTTTTGATGAGGAAACAACGTTATAACATACATCAGAAAATGCTGTCATATAGGCCCTGTAAAGAGATGGAAAACAAACAAATACATCACTTTCTAGTTTTCATAAGCCACATTATCACAAAAATAAAACAGCCTTCGTACCATTGTGTTCATTGTTCCAGCTCCTTGTTATGACAGTGGTGAGTCATCTGTCTCACTGGGTTGGTAATTACTGAGTGCACTTTAGCAGCGTTTCTCTGTTCACTGGGAAAGGGACGTGATTCGACGAAGATGGTGGACAAACTATAAATACCCCCCATCCCCCGCGGCCCCCCCAGGACGTCCCGAAAAACTACCCTTTCAACGCCTCGTCACTCTGCTATTAATACACCTGCGAGTTTGGGACAGGGTCATAGCTCATGTCCGTCTGATGCAAACCTGAAAAAGAATAAATCAGTGTACATACAGTATTACAAGAAGTATATTTTTAAACACAGAAGAGTTCAATTGCAAAAACAGATATCTTCGTTTTGAAAACTGTCAAAAAGTATTTTTCTTTTTGTTATCATCTTCTACAGTTATTATCAATTCCATAAGGTTCTGCGACTTTTATCAAGGAGGGATGGAATAATATTTATATTGTGGTAAAATAAATTTAGATTTTGATAAACATTTCTATACAAAGAGAAAACTGTAAGCCTGCAATCACTTTTTAAAATGTAGACAATCTGTTTTTTGCATATGAAATCTTCAATATTATAACCTTCCCCTATAGATATATACCTGGATGTACTGTATGTATAGTATTGGGATTGTATTGTCTACTAACACTGTAGAAAAAATATTGGCTTCACTAAACTGCCATTACCAAAGTATTAAAATATCTTGTTTCTTGGGACAGGTATGTTGGAGAGAGAGTGCTATACCATTTGGTCTATTGTGTTCCCAGGCTGAAATATGTTTTGTATTATCTGTTGTTAAAGGTCCTATATCACGTAAAATTGACTCTTCTGAGATTTAAGTCATGTTTTAATGTTGTTGCCTCATCAAAAACATACCTGGATTTGTGTTTTTATTTCATTCATACATGTTTGAGTGACCCTTTGTTATTAGTCTGGCTACATCTCCAAAGTTTAGAATGCTCTGTTCCACACTGTGATGTCATGAAGCACTAGTTTTCAAGTTAACAGCTCCTTTTAGTTCAGTACAGAATGGCAATTCTAGGGCTGATATTATCCAGATGATTCTAGTAAAGCTGTATGGAGTTTTAAAACACAGTGGAGCACTTGCTATATTACCACAAGGTGTTTTCCATTTAAACAAAGAACTTACATAACGTGTTAAACATGAGTGAATGAAACAAAACATGACTCTGGGTATAATTAATGTGTGAACAACATTATCACATAGATGATGCTGGTCACAGGAGCCATGCTGATCTTTTAATAAAGGTGGGAAAAAAACAAACAAACTTCCTTTAATCCATAAATAAACAAGAAAAATAAATGTTTTGGAAATAAACTCTATAAACTGCAACCTCTGCCTTTGTTTTTCAGACAGGACGTGTGGATAAGAACTACCCCCTGGTCATCGGTCACTCTGGGCCTGTCCTGGACATTGACTGGTGTCCCCATGACGACAACATCCTGGCCAGCGGCTCTGAGGACTGCACTGCCATGGTAACACCAATCAGAAAGTGTGGTGATTCATAGGGCACAGTTTTGGGGGAACAATATCTGTCTGAGGGAATGAGTCAGTGGTTAAAGCTGTCTTCTATGTGTTTTTAATAGAATAGCTGTTCTATTTGCGTAATCTCTAAATGTTGCTAAATTAACTATATACCTTTTTTAGTGTTTGCTGTTTCCTGGAGTTGAGGTTGTTTCATGCATGTAGTCCTGCATATTTTGGCTGTGTGCTTGTCAAAAGGTGAGGTAATCCAGATAGTTCTGCACATTATAGTAGTTTAGTAGTTGTGATTGTCTGAATAAATCTAAGAAGGTACTTTGGCTTTAAAGTAATAGTGTTGCACCTTATATATATATTGTTGGCTTTAATTCTTTAATTGTATTTAACATTTTAGTTGATTTTGTTTAACCTGCTCAACATGGAAATTTGAATACTCTAGCAATACAACATGATAAACCAAGTTGCCCAATATATATTAAAAAATATATAGAAGCTGATGCTGCTGAAAAAATAGAAAAGGGTGGATGATTAGAGCATTTCCAAAACTGCAGCTCTTGTCATAAAAGATTAGTTAGATGTGTCATTACATGTTACTTATTTATTTCAATGCACAATTCATCATATTTTATTTGCATATAGTTATAAAATGTATCACATATCCACAGATCAGATTCAAACAACTTATACTTAAACGTGTATATACTTCAGTAGTTCTCAAACTGTCAATTTAGTCTACATTTCTGTCATCCTTTGCTTTAGACCTAGTTTGGAACGACTATATATAGCATGTGTAGTCCTTTTAGTCCTGCTTTAGCCCCAGTTTAGACCTATAATACTTCTTTTTTAGACCTGGTTTAGATCTGGTGGTACTTGGTTGTTGAAAAGTTTGAGAACCATTGAGAACCATTTGATATACATAAATATGCAGGAGTTTGTCGTACAGATTTAGTTTTGATGAACACTATACATGCGTACATACATTTGCTCCAGTGCCTTTAAGTGCAGCTGAAAGTATGCGGAGCTGAGCACAGGGCACGTATGAGCAGTATGACAATGCATAGTTCACACATTAGTCTCTCGGTGGGAGGGTGGACTGGGTACTGTAAGTTACAAATACTGTCACCAACACGAAGTCAAACGTGTCATTTCTGTTTTTGAATACTTCTGCAGTTTTAATTTGCACCTCTACATGCCGTGTGGCCATGGCCGTCTGTCAGAGTACAAATTATGAGTAACTCTGTTCAGTTACAGTTACTGTTTCAATGAGAGGTAATTGGATTACAATTACTTTGCTGAAATAAATGGATTACACAGCGGTATTTTCCTGTTTTCACATTTCGGGCTATGTCTCTTTTTTTTCTTTTTTTTTCTTGGTAATTCCACTCATTGCCGGACACTAAACCAGGTCTAACCAGGTCTAAAACCAGGTCTAAACTAGGTCTAAACCAGGACTAAGCCAGGACTTAACCAGGACTAAACAAGGACTAAACCAGGACAAAACAAGGACTAAACCAGGACTAAAACCAGGACTAAACCAGGACTAAAACCAGGTCTAAACCAGGACTAAACCAGGCCTAAAACCAGGTCTAAACCAGGACTAAGCAAGGACTAAACCAGGACTAAAACCAGGTCTAAACCAGGACTAAAGAAGGACTAAGCCAGACCAAGCCTCCTCTTCTATCAATAATATTTTATTTTTTTTACCAAACAAAACATCTCATGTGAAGATATCCTAGTCTTTGCTACTCTACAACAAATCAAGTAATCCAAAGTATTCAGATTACGTTACTCACCTTAAGTAACTTAATGGACTCTGTTACAAACTACATTTTGGGTTATGTATTCTGTAATCTGTAGGGGAATAGATTTTACATGGCCATACAGTTCTACAGTATTCCATCAAAGTAATCCATTTTGCATTTACTCTTTTACAGTCACTGTATTTCTCAAACATGTCTCTAAAAACACCGCTGTGAGCAGGGTTGCCACTTCACAGATCTTACATGTAACTTGGCCAGGTAGTGTAATACTTGTCTCCATGGGATTGGATAAATTTAATGCCATACTGTGGAACATTCCAGGCAAAGCAATAACATCTTCATGGAAATAAGAAGGTGGTGGATCCTCCCCCCGAAAAGTTATGTAATGCATCTTTAACGCAACAAAACAGAGACCTTCAGATTATCAGAGTACAAAAGTCAATAGCTAAAAAACAAATAAACAAAATGTGTATGTATGCATGTATTTACAAGCAATACTTGACCTGTGAACATCCACTATGCTGCCTAAACTATGAAATGCTATGGCAGATTTTGATCAGCAGAGGTCAGTGTTTGGCTAAAAGGTGATAACTATTCAGTAATTTTTGGCACAACTGTAAACATAAAATGTACAACAGTCTACAAGGCATTTAGAATATGTTAATGATGTTAATGACATTTGTGCCTTTTATCTGTAGTGTGCTGTCGTACTGTTCTGGTCCTTATTCTAAATGTCTGTCACATGTTTATCAGCTCAACACTATAACATATCTGCTGTATATGCCAAGGGCAGCTTTCACACTTCTTCAGAGGAGTCAGAGTGAGACGGGGAGATAGAAATGCTGCGTCTCTCGTGGCAACAGCTGCTGATGGTGTAATGTTTTGCTTATGAGGGTTTGGGCAACCACATGGAGGGCACTGGCAGCTGTCTATTCCAGAGCAGTTCCATGATGTCATAGTTTTATTCTGCTAAAATGTTGCATTATTACAAGCTGTTTATTTTGTGTTCTCTGGAATGGCAGTAGTTCAATTAGTAGTCAGTTGTCCAATGATCTGAAAGTTGGTTGTTAAAATCCCACTCTTGACATAAAACATCATTGGTTGAGCAGTGTCTGCATACACAGGTGTATGAATGTTTGTGTGAATGAGTAAGTGGTTCCTTGATGTAAAGTGCTTTGAGACTCGAAGGTGCTATATAAAATTTATGTATTACCATTTACCATAAATCTATATATACAGTGGAGCAAATAAGTATTTCATCCCTTTCTGATTTTGTAGGTTTATAAAAATTATATTAATTGATTAGCATTTCATTGTGTGAAATAAGTATTTGATCCCCTACCAACCATTAAGAGTTCTGGCTCCCACAGACCAGTTAGACACTCCTAATCAACTCGTCAAATGAATTAGACACCTTTTTAACTAGTCACCTCAAAAAAAAGACACCTGCCCACAGAATCAGTCACTCAATCAGACCCCAAACTCTCCAACATGGGAAACACCAAAGAGTTGTCAAAGGATGTCAGGGACAAGACTGTATACCTGCACAAGGCTGGAATGGACTACAAAACCATAAGCAAGAAGCTGGTGTTAAGGAGACAACTGTTGGTGCAATTGTTCGAAAATTTAAGAAATACAAAATAATCATCAGTTGACCTCGGTCTGGGGCTCCACACAAGATCTCACCTCATGGAGTTCACGAGAACAGTAAGAAATCAGCTTAAAACTACAATTAGCTCAAGGCAGACCACATTCACTAACAAAACCATTGGTAACACTTTACACCGCAGTGGATTAAAATCCTGCAGTGCTTGCAAAGTCCTCCTGCTTAAGAAGAATGCCTGAAGTTTGCCAGTGAACACCTGAATGATTTAGAGTGTGAGTGGGAGAAGGTGCTATGGTCAGATGAGACCAAAATTGAACTCTTTGGCCTTAACTCAACTTGCCGTGTTTGGAGGAAGAGAAATGCTGCCTATGACCCCAAGAACACCATCCCCACCATCAAGCATGGAGGTGGAAACAATATGCTTGGGGATGTTTTTCTGCCAAGAGCACAGAACAACTTCACTGCGTCAACAGGAGGGTGGATGGAGCCATGTACCGTTAAAATCTTCCTTCCTTTTGCCAGGAAACTGAAAATGCTTTGTGGATATATCTTCCAACAATACAATGACCCAAAACATACAGTCAAGGCAACGAAGGAGTGGCTCAAGAAGAAGCACATTAAGGTCATGGAGTGGCCCAGTCCGGTCTTAATCCTATAGAACCGATGGAGGAAGCTGAAGCTCCGAGTTGCCAAGCAACAGTCACAAAACCTTAATGATATGGAGATGATCTGCAAAGAAGAGTGAACCCAAATTCCTTCTTATATGTGCACAAACCTGGTCATCAGCTACAAAAAATATATATAAAATATAAATTTCACTTTATATATTTTCTTTAAGGGTATTTTCTGCATTTTCTTTTTGATATTCTATCTCTTAATGTTAATAAGTCTACTATTCAAATTATAGACTGTTCATAGGCAAACCTACAAAATCAGCAAGGGATCAAATACTTATTTCCTCCATCGTAGCTCCATATGTACTAACTGACAGAGTCCTGACTAGTGTTGATTGACAAAATGGTGTCATAGTTCACATGTAGGTGCAGTCGTTTCTCACTCTGGTTACAAGCTAAGAGAGATGTCCAAACTTCTATACATTTATCTATTAAATCAAGTCATTGACAATGGGTTGTCTTATCTTTGAGGGTGAACAATGAGCTGTATACCTATAAGAGCAGATATATAGAGTACAAAGTATCTACAAGTATATGCATAACATAGGCGTAATGTGTACTTCCACTTTTGGCTCTTCCTCTCCTCCAACTGCCGTGACACATGATCTGCTAACCCTATCAGACCATTCCTATCTCTCTATTTATCTATCATACACATAATCAGATACTAATAAGTCCTGCATATGTGAGTGCCGAAGTTCTTGTGGTAATTAATTTCACAAACTAATAACTTTTTTTTTTTTTTTTAAGTAATAAATGTTTCCTCTCTGTACTTCAGGTGTGGCAAATTCCAGATCATGCTCTGACCCGTCCCCTCTCAGAGCCTGTAGTGGTGCTGGAGGGTCATTCAAAACGTGTCGGGATTGTCACATGGCACCCAACAGCACGCAACATCCTTCTAACAGCAGGTAAAGTGTAAAAGTCTTGCATTTGTTCAATTACAGAAATCAGATCTGACCTGTAACTTCACATGTGGCATTACCTGCTTGTGTCCATGAACATAGATCAGTTTAAAGCCATACTATGGAGCATTCAAGGCAAAGCAATAACACCCCCATGGGGATAAGCAGAAAAGTTACACAGTTAAACACAATTTGTCGGCGATCTTTCAACTCTGTGTCTCGGCATCCCTCACAGGTAGTGACAACCTGATTATCATTTGGAATGTGGGCACTGGAGAGCCCCTCATCTCCATGGACGACCACCCAGACCTCATTTACAGCATCAGCTGGAACCGAAACGGCAGCTTGTTTTGTACGACCTGCAAAGACCGACGTCTCCGAGTGTGTGACCCACGCAAGAGAGAGGTGGTGGCGGTGAGTCAGGATTACATATAGGGGCAGAATATGTGTAGTATATATTACAGTTCAAATGTAGACTCTAGTTACACCTGTCAGTTCACTTCAGTCATTTTCTATGTAAACTTTGGTGTTTAAATCCTCCAGTAGATTGTTACTGTTACTACTTACTACTTATGCTGTAGCGTTGTCTGACATAAATGTGTTTAAAGTTACATTCAAATGTTTTTCTCACAAGGTTTGTCTATGTGCCTATGTGTATGTATATTCTGACATTCCTTGCACTTAATATTATTAGCACATATAAAACGGAAGCATTTTATACTACTTTTGTTGGCTGATCTTTAGGAACGTCTTGCTCCACATGAAGGCATCAGGCCGATGAGAGCCATTTTTACCAAAGACGGAAACATCTTCACAACAGGCTTCACCCGCATGAGTCAGAGGGAGCTGGGCCTCTGGGACCCGGTGAGAGTTTAATGGGAGGATCCATCAAAATATTTACATAAAAAAATACTTAACTATAGTTTTCATTGTGTTTCCCATTTTCAGACAAACTTTGAGGAGCCTATTGCACTATTGGAGCTGGACACAAGTAATGGTGTGTTGTTACCCTACTATGACCCGGACGCAAACATGGTCTACCTCTGTGGAAAGGTACAAATCAATACTTAATAATATACATACAATAAACATGGCAAATAATATTATCAATGTATATTTATTATATTATGTATATATTGTGCTCAGGGAGACAGCAGTATCCGTTACTTTGAGATCACAGAGGAGCCTCCGTATGTGCACTACCTCAACACCTTTAGCAGTAAAGAGCCACAGAGGGGTATGGGCTTCATGCCCAAGAGGGGGGTTGACGTTACCAAGTGTGAGATCGCCAGGTACAACACTGTAAACTGTTATGTTGCTATAATGTCACAAAACAGTAATTGTACTGTGATCATACCTTGATGGAGACATTTTCAGTCTCTGTCCCATTAGGAAATTTATAAACTGTAAAATTTTATCTTGCCAAATTTGCTGAATCACAGCCTAATTTTACAAATCTTTATTCTAAATGCCGTTCCAGGTTATTCAAGCTTCTTGATAAGAAGTGCGAGCCCATCACAATGACAGTGCCTAGAAAAGTAAGACTCCACTCTCCGCTTCTGTGTTTCTACATTGTGCACACATTCATTGTCTTACCTGTGTTTGCCTTGGGATAGTCTGACCTCTTCCAGGACGACCTGTACCCAGACACAGCGGGCCCAGAGCCTGCCATGGAGCCTGAGGAGTGGCTGGACGGGCGTGATGAGGATCCCATCCTGGTGTCTTTAAGGGAGGGCTACATCCCACCCAAAAGTCGAGAGCTCAAGGTGTCCAAGAAGAACGTGCTGGACTCTAGACCCACCACCAGGCGCAGCATGTCCACCTGTGACACCAACAGCCTGCCGGTAACTCTTTGACCTTTGACCTATAATTTCAATGTGACCTCTGCATGACCTCACTTAAACTCTTGCTTCAGTTGTACACATTTTCCTAGCTATGATCACAGATTTGTGATTGAAAAGTGAATGAAATACCAATGTAGTGCAAATGTTGATTCTACTATCTCATAGTTGCTCTCATACTCAACAAATAACATAATGAATATTGTACATAAACAAGTGCTATCCTGCAGCCCAACATGGTCTAAATTAATGTTTTAAAAGCACCATGCTTTGTTTGACTTATTATATAGAATGTACACAAAAAGAGAATGGATAATTCACTCAGAAATTAAATATGTAAAAAAGGATGTGGATTTTTATTTTAGGCACATAAATATAAAAAGGCACATGATATGCATAAACATATGTTTACATGTCTCAAAACAAAAGCAACCAAAAAGGTGTGTGCTGAAGCTACTCATATGTTTATTTACTTTTCAGTGTCACAACTTTTTTGAACTGCTTTCACTTCTGTCATCTTTACTGTTCTGTATCACACTGTTCTTGACCTATTCCTTCTTCCTCTTGTTGTTTCCTCTTCCTCCTTTCCCTCGCTCTCCTCTCTTTCTTTCCTCTGATGGTCCAGCCTCAGTTGCTCGAGCGATTGCTGGAGGAGCTACAAAACCTGAAGGCCACGGTTTTGTCTCAGGAAAAGAGAATCTGTGATCTGGAGAATAAGCTCTCGCAGTATACCAACGGCACAGCTTAGTGTGCACAACTGCTGTGAAAAACTATTTGGACTCTCTAAATGTTTATATTTTGGAAGTTGAGTTTTAATGTTTTCTATCAACAAACCATATTTTGATATTAAAGATGACTCAAGTAAATATACAGATTTAAATGATTATTGCATGGCCCACTGTGCATCCGAACCAATAACTAGTGAACAAGACAAAGCAGTGTGGCTCTCACCTCACAACAAGGAGGTTTAAATCCAAAACTGGGGCCTTTCTGTGTGGAGTTTGTATGTTCTGCCTGTGTCTTCATTTTCCTCCATTAACCTGTAACATGCACCATAAGCATTTCCAACAGCTTGGAAGTTCTGTCCAAGCCAAGCATAACATTAGATGGGTTCCAGACACTGCAACCTGACTGGTAGCAACTGTGGCATAGGTTAGGCTAAAAAAAATTGCTTACAGAGACAAAATACACTATAAAGTGTCTTGTACCGGTATTCCTAAACCACTAGTACACAAATCTCTATACATATTCTTATCTTTCTATATAGTATGCCTAGGTTGCTTTAAAACAATCATTATGAAGTTGTATTTTGTTTTTACTTGGGTTATATAATAAATAATAAGTTTGTTGATGCAAAAATGTTGAAGCACAACAAATATGCAAAAATATGAGAACTCACAAAGAGAACAAATACTTTTCCTCAGCACTGTGATACATAGTTGGAACTGGTCTGAATTCAGATTATTGTAGACACATATCACCCTTGCATAGACAAGGAACTCCTGATCTTCTGCACTGAAAGGTAAAGTATGTCTAAGAATGCTAAAAGTGGAACATTTTAAGATCATTTTATGTCTATGATGTTTTATATTGAGCATTTGTATCATCTTAATGTGCCTTTGATGCTGTGGGAATTGATCACATTTACAGTGTATTTATGAGCAAGTGAAGAGTGGGATGTGAGAGGAAAGAGGTGTCGCACATTTGAAGGATTTGTGTATGTTGGATTAAAGTCTACACTAACTTTTTATACATTTAAATAAAATGACAATGACAGAAAAATAGAAAAATGAAATTCCAAAAAGATTAACCATATTAAATAAAATATATGCTTTATTTCAGAAAGGAAGACCCAAGTTTTCAAAATGTAAATAGTTATGAAGGATTCAGGACAATTTTTAATCATGTCATTTGTTTTGTGTTCTGTACAATAGACACATTGACCACAATAAAGCAGTGTTTTTTAAACTCCTTTGCAATCTGATTATTGTATTTAGCAAATAACTCTTATGCTTTAGTTATATAAAAAAAATCTAATCTAAGAATACATTAAGTTTATTCTCATTCTGTAATTACTGTATTACAGTTTTTATATAAATTCATGTTATGGCATACATTTGTATCACAATTTATTTTTTTAGAAATATCCATTTTGGCACAACAATATACAAAAACAATAAGGCACACATACTTGTATTAGTAATGCTACGTTTTTTCTGTGTTTTTCAAACAGCAAGTGCAAAGGTTTGCAAAGTAAGAGTGCAGAGTAATACCAACAAACAATACATATTGTATTCCATCTTTATGAGAAAAAAAAGTTCAATTTAAAATTAATTTACAGTTAAAAAACATACTTTAATGGGACAATATTTCACAATGTATAAGGTATTTACTTATGTGGTTTTGTGCTCCGCTTTTTAAGGAATCAGCTTCATTTATTTTGGCTTTTTATTTTGTCACAGAAAAAAACAAAAGAATGAAGGTGGTGATAAAGAGTACAAAGGTTGTCGGAGTACTTTTGGTGGCCAAAGATGATGGAGAGGTTACAATGCTATTATAGGAAAAGGTACAAGTGTCAACATTCCCCACTCTGTCCACTACCAGTAACTGCATGGAGGGCGAGCAGCAGGAGGCACTGTAGGACACTTTGATGATGTTTGCATTTTGAGGGTCTGGACTCGTAGTGAGGGTCCCATTGCCCTCTTTCAGACTGACCCTCTCCACACCTGTCCCATCGGCGCCATCACTGACCTGTGCTGAGAATGACCACTGGTAAGAGCTGCAGTTTACAGAGCAGTTGGAGCTAATACTCAAGAGTTCACACACAGGAGCTGTGAAGTCTGTCACCTGGTGGAGCACAAGGACACAAACATGAGGCAAATTCTATTAGTGTTGCAGCAATAATTTACAATACAAGACTCATCAAAGGGGAACTTTTCTGGTAGAGGTGGTGTCATTTGGCCTGGTTGCTTCACATTCTTGTGGCGATAGATAAGTTCTAGACAAAGTGATAACATCTCCAGGGAGACGAGCAAATAGAATAAGGAAGATTACATCGTACTCCTTTGACATGTTATTATGGTCCTTATTCCTACAATTGTATTCAACTCATTAAAATAATATACAAACAAATCTTGTGTATGATTAACTGGTTGCTTTCAGACATGAGAATAAGGGGATGTCATTTTCAACATATTATAAAAATATCCACAATCCACAAAGGTTGGACCTAATCATTCCAGTCCTTCTTTTTGTAGGTCATCAGAATGTTTCAAGATATTCATCAAGGTGTGGAACAAAAACAATTGATTGGTTTCTGTCTGTTGTCATATTTTGAAACAAGTTTTCCTAGATATTTTCATGTAGCATGTAATTTTCCATCTTACAAAGGACTGTATTGTTTTTGTCATTCAACAACAGAAGTCTAAACCTACTGCAGTTGAGCTTAATAAAATAATATTCTACAGCACAGTTAACAGCAGTCTACGTTTACGCATTATGCACATAGCATTGATCAATTTTTTTACCTCTAGAATGCAGCGACTAACTTAATGTAAAATACATAAATTGCTAAGATTTTAGATTTTTACAAATGGTATTACAATTTTATTACAGTAGCTGTGGTATTAAACAAGCAGGGGCTTTGTGTTATGCAGATTTAACACAGATGAACTACGGATCTGCATTGTGCATTAAAAAACATAATGCATGGCTCCTAAATGTGCTTACATAATAAACCTTCTCATAGTGAATATCATTTCAGCGGATTATTGGTATCTTACTGTGTTGAAGACAGAGAAGCGCAGCACCACATAGTTATCGTCGCCTTTGGGGGTCTCGGCCTCTATGGTCAGCGTCACGTCACTGCCGGACGGGGTGTTGAGAGGAGCGGAGAGCGTCACTGTCCCATTTGTGCTGTTTCCACTCTCTATCACTAAAGTGCTCGGGTAAGTTGATGTAAAGCCCCGATTATTGGTAGCTCTGATGGTGATGTTGACCCCAACTTCACTAGTTGATATTGTAAAAGGCACAACAAAGGGGGTCCCTGGGGTCAAAAGGTCATTTGGAGTGGCCTAAAATAATGAAGCAAATGAAACAATAAATAATCTTTCCAAGTACCATTTTACAGACACAGAATATGAAAAAAATCTTTCAATATTCTTTATTATCCTGATAACAAAAATCTGCTTTTTTCAGTCCATCAGAAACATGCTTAAATGTGCCAGTAAATGATTTTGTTGAGGGTCAAATACAATATATCTCATATGATGCTATACGAATGGACTGCAGCCACAAAAGTGCAGAAGTATACTTGTATGTCCTTTTTAAGGGAGTAAATAGTCTCTTGTAAATTGTTATCAGTTTTGCATATAAATGATATATTCAACATGCTAATTTTGAATAGCTTGTTAAGCTGATGCTATGTCACCCACCTCTATGATGAACCATGTCTAGATCAAATCTTATATATGAAGCTGGAACAGGTATCGTAAGTCTACCCAAGGCTAAAAAAACTGTTAGTACAACCTGCACCTCAGATTGAGAACCACTATAATAAAATACCTACCGTAATGGTGAGATTGGAGGATGTGAAGCTGGTTGGTGACTGGCGTTGAAAAACAGAGGGGCCGTCTTTCCCTTTGACCTGCACTACAAACTGTCCTGATGGGATTGTGGCAAACCTGACGAGGAATGTCCCCTCTACAGCCTGTACCACTCCAGGGATTATGTTTGACCCCTGTGCCTCCACTAATACCACCTCTGTCACTGTCGCAGAGTCACTTCCAGTTAGGGTCACCACAAGGTAGCCCTCAACACCTAAACACAGTAAAATTACAATATATAAATAGGTCTGAACCAAAACATAATTTTGCTAGGCAATGTCTAGAATGGAACAGGATTATTAAAGCAAAAACATTTAGTTGTACATACCAGCTTTTGGGCGTGTCTCAAGGGTGTCATATCCACCAAAAAGTCCTTGGGAAGCTTGCACAAAGTCAACCAGGATGTCAATTGGGCTTTTACCTGACAGTATAAAGTTAGTTAGACAGATTAGTTATGGACTTTTTTCTTTCAACAAAATCTGTCAATTACCTGGGAACTCGCCAGTGGAACATTTTGTACTGTGCTATGAGCAGTTGTTCCGTTTCATTAAACACAATAAACAACATTCATGGGTTTCAGTTCTTTATAGACGCTAACTACTAGTACATTTGACCAGTGGCGGCTGGTCAAAGTGCAGGTTGTAGCTCAGGGTGAACAAAAATCAAGTGATTGGTCTTCATAAAAGTTTATCACACACCTGACCTATTGTGATTCAGCCTCTTGGCTCACTCCCACCTATAGCAGCAACTGAGGGCATGTTACTACTGTAGGCCAATGACTTTAAATGAAAGTGCATCTGAGGAACAGTTTTTCGGATGTAATCTGTCTTCCCTTCAGCGGGACCCTTCTGCCATGCAAGAAAAAGAAGCATTAAGTGTGTGCATATGGCTGCGGTGTATATCATATGACTCTTATTTTGATTCACACACTGGCTAATCGTGGCTACTTACTTTCACCTAAACTTCCACACAGGAGAGCGCGAGAAGAGACACCGCTCATCAGACCCAGAGTAGCAGACACACAGATGCAGAACCACTCGCGGGGCTGGAGCACATGCTTGCTGCTCTATCAGCCTTTATCAGGGCTACCTGGTCTACCTGGTGCCCTAATCCTAATATGGACTAGCCGTAACTTTCAGATTTAAGTGGGAAGTAGGATTAAGGCTAGTTTTATGACCAGCTGGTGCACTTGGTTCCTGGACCTCGCATCACAGACTTGATTGGACTGGGACTTGGACCAGGTTCATCTCTTTAGATAATATACTTTTGGAGACAGAGCCAATGGGACAGCAGATAGAGGATACACTCTGCTTCAGTCCTCTGGAAATCTGGGGATGGAGCCTAACAGAGCCTATATGAGTTTGTGAATGAGATGGAGCTGTGTTCTGCCGTGTGAGTCATAGGAGTGGCGCTGATGCTATGTGTTCGTGTTGTGACTGTAGCCTCTTACTGTACTTTTGCTAACGTTGGGGCTGGTTATGAGGGGTGGATCAGTTTGTGTTGTTGGTGCTGATTGTTGGGACTGGTTGTGAGTGGTGTGTCAGGTTATGTCATTGAGAATAGCTGTGAGCGGTGGATCAAGTTGTGCTGCTGCGTAAACATTGTGTTTGGGTGTGTGTTGTGTTCTAATTGTGATAACCAAACACTGTCAGCGTAGGACAGGTGGCTGATGAAATATAAGACAAATTATTTATATTCATTCAAGATGTGGTTCAGCCAATAGTGACCAAAATGACTGTCTGTTTCTGGCATTTGATATAATACTATATAGCCTATATATAATACATATATTTATAATATATATTTATAATTTTGGTCTAGGCGCCCTCCCCCAAAAAAATATACCACCAGCCGCCACTACTTTTGACCAATTATATTCCGATAAGAATGCAGGGGATATACAACTCTATAGGAGATCTATTGTTTTTAAAGAAATATCCAAATTACTATCCACAAATTCTACCATACAAGTCTAACCTGTCCTCCAGCTTTTAAACTGCAACTGAATGCAACCTTTTATAATAAATATACAACACCCCATGGTTAGCAGGTTTTGATATCATATGAAATTTTGAGTGCTGACCTATGACCTTCAGGGTGTAGGGGTTAGTTGAGGAAAGTTTGAGTTTCCATTCTCCTGTCTGCACTGTGAGCCTCAGCGTCTGGAAGTTTCCCACTGACTCTGAGGAAGTGACCAGGGACCCGGATGTGCCGATCTGGTTGAGGCCTAGAAATTTTAAGTATAAACAAAAAACACATGTGATAAGACTAGGTCAGATTTTAAAAACATGAATATCTCATTTAAATATTTGAATTAGGTTTTTTGGCATTTTACTTTTGCATTTGAAATAGATTTCTGGAATTCTACAAATGTTTTATACTGGACTAAAATTGTTAATGACAAATAAACAAATTGCAATTCTGTTAAAAATCCCATATGACACTTTGGATTATAGTAATTGAACACTAACTGAGGTGTGCTACTCACCTGACGGGCTTGTTAAAGTGTAGCTGATGCTGCTGCCTGTGGTGTAAACTATAACATTGGTCATGGTTTCATCCACAGTGAAAAGGAAGGTCTCTGTGACTCCAGGGCTACGGGCTGTTTGTAGGAGAGTCACCTGAAACAGACGAACTGATGAAAACAGGAAGATTTTGTAGTCACAAAGACTATAACAGTTTTCAAATGATTCCACAGAGACAACAAACAACAAAAATTAATAAAAAGTACTATTAATTAATTTAATCTTGCTAGTCCTATATAACTGGTCCAATTAAATAAAAACAAGACTAGAAATATAAAAAGTCAATCTTTTTATTATTTGGTCCCAATTATTTTGAGATTTCTAAGGTTGTGCCATCTATTTTATGCAAAAAATATATTCACTAAATTGATAATAGTTTAATAATAGGTTATTTTACATTAAATAGTGAGAACAAAGACGCATTTTTGTCCATAAAGGTGTTTAAACAAAGATTTCCTGCTTATTCAGATACATCCCAAAGTAAATTATTTTTATTTCTTTTTTTCTCTCACCACAGAGCTGATGGATGCCTCAGTGATGATGCTGGAGGCTGTTGAGAGGTCACTTTTGGAGACCTCTATGGCCAGCCCTCCTGAGGCCTGGGCCAAATCTTTGTACAACTGTGAGTCCATGGGTGCGAGCCGAGGGATGGGGCTGCGCCTGCGCCGATTGGTGGAGATGGAGTCTGTGATCAGGAAGTTCACCTAAACACCAATAATAATAAAAATAACATGATGAACAAAAACAAAGTCTTTGTTAAGAAGCACTGATCTGCACAAAAATGGCATGTGTTACAAAATGGTACTATACAAAATATGAAATGTATTGTGTATAATAATAGTGTAATTCTGTACGTATCATGTTAATAGTTTTTCATTTAAATAGTTTTAAATTAATACATTTTGAATAAATAATCTACATTATGCTTGTAATCAGCATAAAATAACCATACTTTACAAATAAAAAAAAAACAGCCTCATTAAACAACCTACCAACCTACCACAGTCTGGGTCCTCTCTATAAGTGCAATCACAGTGCTTTTTAAGTAAGTGTCTTTGGCTCCAGCGTCAGTGAAAAGGAATATTTCTGAGTTAAAGGGGGCTGTGGTTAAAGCCAGCTGCACAGAGAAAATAAGGATAAATTCAATATTATTTCAGTTAAATTCCAAGAATTTTGTTACCACGGCACCTGTAGTCCTGACAAACTCAGCTCTGGCTCATCTCCCCCTCCACTTGGCGACAAATCATTGATCACGCGCTTGAAAACTTGGGGATCAGTAGTTTTTGTCAGAGGTCCCACATCTAAAATGAAACCACAATATCAACAACCACATACTAACATAATGCATACAACAGATGGCACTAATCTTCAGTGTCAATGCATCTAACAGACGTGCATCAAGTTCAAATGTGAAAATAAGTGAACAATTAATAAGAGCTTTGAATCATGATTAAACTGTATTAAGTGATTAGGAAAAGCAGTTAAACCAGTACAACAGGGAGTCTGTTCCTTATGCTGATTAATGCTTTGCTTTCATAAGGTTGATAATCTTGTATTTAGAGCATGACTTATACATCAGTATATCGTATCGAATACATGCTCTAAGATTAGTTTGAAATAGATTTGTTAGGTTTTCAATCCAGATGTTTCTCTGACCATAACTCACTACATTCCCAACAATGCATTTTAGTAGGTTATAATATATGAATCATTATGCTTTTTCAATACAAAATTAATCTGAGCTGGAATAATGTCCATGCTTACTTTGTATTTGGAGTGCGCCACCTAGCAGGTTAGCTATGTCCATTTATATATACAGTGTATGGTTGCAGGGTTCAAGAGCAGGTAAATAGAAATATTTGTATTGACTTGCTGATGATTATTATATCATATATAACATTTGTGTACCTGGGTCACTGAATGGCACGAGGATGTACACTGAGGGCTCATTGTCCGTGCCCACTTCAGTGTTGATGATAGTGTTAGTAACCACCTTCACTGCCTCAATGTCATCACTCATACTTTTGGTTATGTCAATCACAAAACACAGAGCTTTACTGGACCCTTTGGAGATGCCCATCAACCTGAAACATGCAAAAGTACAGGTACACAAGACCTATTATGATTTTGTCTGCTACATAGTTATAATCAATGTCATGATTCATGTAATATAATAATTTATATTAAAATTGCAAGACTGATCTAAAACAAGTTAATAAAAGAAACAATTTCATTAACTTCTGCATTTGAAAACTATGGTGCCCAATGGGAGCAGACTTTGCCATAAACATCATTACAACAAACATTTGGCATCTCTGATGGATAGTTGCAGATCACCCTGGTGAGCAGCAGATTTCTTTCACTTGTACCAAAATGACTATCTGAAACAAATCCTACTTGTATCACTGGTTAAGAAAATACAATTAGAGAACAAAGTAAGTCCAGAAAATGGGCATATACCAGAAAGAGTGAAAATGCAAAGTGTTCTGCAACATGGCTTCTTGAAAAGAACTAATTGCTCAAACATACAACATACGACTTTGAGTGTAAATGGTGAGAGAAAACAACTATAATAGGGTTAGAGCTCTAAAAAGTAAATTTGACATAATAATTTTTGTGTTAAGTCTTTCTTTGGCTGGAATATTCCACAGTGTTATCTATTTTACATTTATTCAATTACTGATGCTTACCACCTGCTTGTCTCGGTAATCCCCACTAGAATGTGAATTGAATAGAATTGCACAATAGTTATGATTAGACAAACAAAAATAGATGACAACAGCATTTAATGTGTCAGAAAAATTTGTTAATTGCTCATAAATTGTCCCTTCATTTTGAATGGAATTTTCAGTGTTGATGACGTAGGTAGAGGTTTTATAACTCTATTACTACTTCCTGTTTTTGTACTTTTCTTCTCAACTTTTTTTTTCACAAACTGCTAATTGACTGAAGCTATGATAAATGTCTATGACCGGGACATCTCACCAAAACAAGTAATAAACAGAAAACACAAAAACCTGCACTCAAAAGGGTTAACATTAGGATCAGTCTCTGAGAAATAAATGTGTGTGTGTTTGAAGTATTACTGAAGAAATTCTTTGTCCCCTGCGGCCCCTCTGATGTCCTCGAGCAGTTGGCTGGTTGCAGCAATGGCCAGGTTAGCTGCCTGAGTGTGGAGGTGACCATGACTGGACCCAAATGTGTCTTTGTTAATTCCACCTTTTGGCTCAATCTTACTGGTTTGATCCACACTTCCTCCATGACTGCATTTACCTAAAACATATGACTACAAATTAAATTCTATTTTTATCAGGCCTGAACTGCTGCCAAACATGTCACATGATGTTACTAAATTGTAAATTCTGTTTAAATTCTCTTCTACCACAGTGTCTTTGCTGCAGTAACACTTCTATACTAACAGACTGCATTTGTTTAAAAAAAAGAGAGAGAGAGAGAAAGAAAACATTATTTTACCAAACATTTTAAAGCATATATAATTTTTGAGTGACATTAGAAAACACTAGAGCCTATACTGTCTGTTTGCCTGTCAGACAGTTCTGTGTTTGCACTATCAACAGCTGACACGGGGTAATAATAACTCATATGAGCGATGTGTGTCTGTCAGAGAGTGAAAAATGTATCCAAAAAAGACCTGAAACTGTAGCCCTCAGTTAAGAAGTAGGCCAAACGTTTTACATTGCATGTAGACACAGTGGAAATAAAAAATGCTCCCTGTCTCTGGATTAAATGCCAACACCCACAGGTCAGATTACATTTTTGCATTGCTGCAACCAGGAAATGCATGCAAAACAAGAGTTGGCAAGCAACATTTTAGATTCAAGGTACTATAGACTTATTTGCTATTGCCCCAGTAATCCAAAGATCAAGGATACATGCTTAGTATAACCTTGTATAACCCCATTTATGGTCATTGCTGTGCAAACGTCTGTTTCTATGTTTCAAATGGACATTCAGATCTGTTTGGCCCTATTGTGTTTTTGTCTTCTCCTCCCTGAGAGCCTCTTGTTCAAGCCCCATCCAAGTAAACAAAATTACAACAGTAATTTAGATTGAATTTTGAAGCAGCTGAATGGAAAAATAAACAGCATATAATCTTGGGCAGTTTAAAGAAAAGCTACACATAAAATATATGATTAGTTTGTAATTAAATGTAAAACACAATCCTCAGTATTTTTACAAACTATCATTAAATATGTAAAAAGCATTTCCCTTTTCACAACAAAAGCAGAATCCACTTCTCCCACATTACAGTAATATCTATTCATACATATGTGTAAGAATAATTTATACTACTTGAACAAGGCACTGACCTGGTGGTTTTGTTGAGACTATGGGTACGACACCAAAGTATCCAGATGTAAGAACTTTCTCTTCAATGATGTCCTCCAAAATGTTGTTCTTACAATCATCCCCATTACAGTTACGGCAGGTCGCTCTGGTAGGTGCTAAATAGAAAACACAAAACATTTTAAGTATTTTGATAGAGATCTGTCTTAGTTAAATATTGTCAAGAGAGTACGAGTGGATTTAAATGAACAGTATTTGTTTGAGCTGAGTAAATTTTTAATGAAGCTTTCTCATCTTACCTGCAATGTTTCCGATGCTGGTGTCTAACCTGATCAGATTCGCATTGGGGGCCGTGTTTCCTATTTCCACCCAGTTACTGTGACTGTAGAAGTCCTGGGTTCAAAAACATTTTGGTAAACATTATATAACAGCTCTTTATCATGTTGTTCTTAACTATAAAGTATAAAGTTTCTCTCTCTCTCTCTGTCTCTCTAATGTAACAATTACAACTTACCTGCAGTGGATGTAACATCTCTCCAAGCTTTTGTCTGGCTGCGTCATAGTTTTCCTGTTTGATGCTGGCTTTGACTGACTGTAACAACTCAGTGATGATCGCTCTTCCTCCAGTAAAACTCTCATCATCAAAGTGAAAGCTGGCATTCAGGGCATGTTGGATGTCTACCCGCACATTTCTGTAGGTGATCAGATAAACAGCCTGACGGAAAGACTTGGAGGACTGGGTAGATTTGCAGGCCAAAGCTACAGTCTCAAACGTGTAGGGCTCCGACTGGGGAAGATATTATTAGATTAAAGGATCTGATGTAAAAAGACGTGAATGATACAACTTAATCAAGCAGAAAATGAAAACAAATAGTTATGGTTAAGCGTGTATGTGTGTAAAAGTGTGTATGTATGAATAAGAGTGTAAGGTTTCAGCATCAGTAAATACAAATTACTAATTGTGTAGAGACTCTTAACAGTGTATTGGAGCTATGGAACTATGGAAATAATAACAGTACATATGCCTGTCTGTATAATTACAAGTATAAGTGGGAAGAGGAAGAGGTGGGGGGACCTTGTTATGTTTGTTAATAAGTTCTTCAAATTGGTGTTTAAGTCTCCCATTTATTCATGTGCCCAAAAACCCTTACCTTAAATGACAGTGTTTTCAATGTGCAGCTGTGCATGCATGCCTAGCTTTGTGAGGTGCATTAAAAGACAGTGTAGTGCATTAAAATAAGAGAGATTTGAGCGCATGAGAAGTGGGATATGTCCTTGTTTTGCCAAATTTGATATTGATTTTTAATTTTATTTTATTTTTTATGATTTATGATTGTTTTTATTTGTTGATTGACCGGCTTGCTTTTATCTTATATATGTTTTTGTAATTCATTCATTTATTTATTTGCAGTTTACTAGGTGTATTAATATGCCTCATCCCATCCCCATCAGCTCCCTAAAAGCAACAAACCCCATGGAATTATATGTTTTATGTATGTGAGATAATGTCATTTCTAGGGAGAAGGGGACAAAAAAAAAAAAGAGTTTATGTTTAGGTAGTTTGTAGAAAAAACATGATTGGAGTCCGGACAGAGAGGGTTCTCATCAGTGATTGATTACTGGTATTTTGGAGAGATTCTGTTGAGATATGATCCATGAGTAGATTTTCTCAATGTGAAACGTTTATGTGTTTTCTGTTTTTCCAGTTCATTCAAGGAAAGTCTTCTTGGCGATGACCAGAGTCACAAGAAGTTATTTTGTCTTTGGGACCAGGTATGTTGAGTTGAGAAATGTCGCCGAGTAAGCAGAGGGAGGGGCATAATGGTATGTCACTGCCCATGAATGCGGACAGAGATGTTAGAACCTTTTTCCACTACAGTTGGGTGGGTGTGCAGTGCTTCAGGGCATGAATGCAAGTGTCGGATGTATTCTCAGTTAGTACATGTGTTTACTGAGAATCCCATTTTAAACAACCTGTGACCAGTGTAGTGGGTTCAGTGTAGGCTCTTGTACTGAATTAGTTGGATGTTCTGGTTGCTGGTCATGGAATAGATATTCTGGATAACCTGAGTCCAGAAGCTGGCATTGGGACTGACTGATAAGTCTTGCTCCCATTTGTATGATGGGATTGAGAGTGAAATGAATCTGTACATTTTGGAGAGAAGTTTTTTAGTTGAGGTAATATTAATTCATTCTGATACCACTGGAGGAAGTTGCAAATTGATAGGAATACTTTTTTAGGCAAAATTGATTGCTGACTTAACTTAGAGGTATTCTAGAAACTGTTTGCTCCAAATGCCATAGAATTGTAAATGAAACGAGTTTACTGATGTTAAAAATGTGGTGTCTTTTTCTGTCCATGTGTAGAAATGTATAGTCTTTATATTGCTGGTTGAGTCCAGCTTATTCCATAGTGGGGTGAAACCAGATAGTACCAAGTTAGAGTTAGTGAGTTTGTAAAATTTCAGAAAATGCAATGATAAAGAAACTAAAAACAGCATGGATAAAGGTGCAATAATGTGACTATATAAAGAGGAAGAGATATGATTAAAGTAGGCCTATTGTATAAGCTACTATAAGGAAAATACAGCCATGTCCCACATTAAACAAAAGAAATAGCAGAGTTTAAACTTACAGGAAATGTAAAGTCTGTTCCTTCAGTTTGAGCCACAAAGCGGCAGGCTTGCAGTGTGGCATTTAGAATGGCCATCGATGTGATCTCCAGATGGTTGAGGGAATCCCCAGGCAGGATTGCAAAACTCTCAGCTCCAGGATTCAAGAGCAGAACCAGAGAAAATACTGCATACAGCAATACAGCCATCCTCCTCTCTCTATTCTTCTGTGCAACAGACACAAAATTCAGTAATAGGTTGGTGTCACATGATATCACTTTCATAGCATTATAAACATTATTATATTGAGGTGAAGAACAAGTCAGTATTCTGTGGTAGACTTTGCACTTTCACTTTCGAAAATACAATGCAAGTTAAATTATTAATTAAAACTGTGGTATAATGCAGAAAAATGTTTTGAATTACCACATGATTTTTTTTTTTTTAAATCCATCTCAGTCTCTAATCAAAAAGTGCTTAAGTGCAAAATGTATGGATTTTCTGTTAATCCCCCCAAAAAGTGAAACTCCAACAGTCTTACTGTTTAGACCCCTGCCCTCCATCTAAAATCATGACATTCAGTTAAAAAATATCATCAATACAACCTATTTACACTGGCATAGGTGCAATGATTGTAGCGTTTGAAGTGTGGCAGAGTATAAATAAAAGCAATGAAAATAGTTATCAGTCACTGCATTTAAACAACCAAGTATTCTAATACAGTAAAATGTATTTCATTACATTAACAGTCATAAATATTTAAGTTGGGTACATATGATCTTTAAATGTGCACTGTACCTGGTGTCTTGTAGAGGTCCAGCATCGCTATTGTGTCAACAGCTGTGTGTGTGCGCTATACAAAAGGGTGGAGCCACGTTGGACTTGTTTTACCTGTTATTAGGATTATTACACAGATGATGCAGTGATACAGACATACATGGCTACATTTCAATATGCGTGTTATGGAGGTCAAACCACAAACCAGTCAGTTATGGGCATGGGCCGGTCTACTTAAAATCGAGAATAAAGGTCATTAAAAATACAATACACAGTGTTTGTCCTGTGAAAATAAAAGGCTATTACATTCTATTGATTCTCCAAATGTAATATTGACTTTATGTGAGATGTTTTCCTCCTGTGTCCTCTCTCTGCAAATATATGTATAATATAGACAAGAACTTCATACAGACACTGAACAGGCGATGGACTTTCCTATAAAACCTCTACTCAATCAAAGCACTGCCCCTCCTTACTCATTCCTACAGCATAAGTCAGTTAGCTGTGTTGTTAGATGACATCTTAGGCTAAAGAGACAGAAAATTATTATTTGTCTCAGTGAGTAAAAGCCATCAGGGACCAAAGTGCTAAGTGGTTAAAACATTCTTTTCATAGCTTCCTAAACAGGCAATTGTCTTTGTATGAAGGCTCAAACCACATCTTTATTGCTGTTTCAGATGACTTCACATCATTCTGTTGGCCAATATTTAACCTCTTACATCAGACAGGCCTTTTTTTTTATTGGTTATGGATTATTATTATTATTATTATTATTATTATTATTATTATTATTATTATTATTATTATTATTATTATTATTATTATTAATGATAATAAGTCTATGTTTTTATTTGTAGATTAGCAACCCAAACTGATCTTAATGGCTATTTTATTTATTTTAGGGAGCCCTTTGAGATGCATCATTTCTTTTTGAACATGGATCCTTTTATTTTGTAAGGTAAGAAACATTAACTTACAACCTTACCTTTCCACAGCACAAAAGTCCGAATGGTCAAAAGTCAGTGAGACCCCTGAAAAGAATAGGCATAGACTTTGCAGATGAAAAGTGAACATATTAGCACGGCTGCAGAATCATGTGAATTACGTTTTTCACCATGACGGATATTACTTTCAGGTTGAGTAAGCCTAATGTATATCACAAGGGGGAGCCAGAACAGCACATTTACGCTGGAGGAGGACTCAGGTATCAGGAAGTGTAATTAGGCCCGAGCGCCAGAGGCTGGCGAAGGGCCTATTAGTATCGCAAAGCGATGCTCCAAGTGGCAGAAAAATGGAATGGCGCGACGTGACTCGCCCGTAGTGACCAGGGACCCTCACCATCACGTAGCAATGCGCCTGAGGTTTCCGAAAATGTATAGTTTGTCGGCCCAAAAAAAAAGCGGAACATTGTTCTCGCATCAGAATATTATTCTTTCTTTCTTTCTATCTTCTTTCTTATTATTATTTTTCTCTTAACCAACTCACCCATTTTTCACCCACTAAACAATAATAAAAAGTCCTGGAAATTTTGCCATCTGGTAAAACTCTCGCTTCTCTAACTTTTGGCTATTTTCATTTTCCAAACATAAATAAAATGGCTCGTCAGCGCCCCCAAACGACTCAAAAATGCATTAGGGAATACGAATGACACACAAAAAAAATTCACGTACAATCATGAAATTTGACACAGAAGTCGATCATGTCAAGACAAGGAAAAAATATTATTACGCCAACACCGTGCGCTCCACTAGGGGGCAGTAATATTGGCTGAAAGTTTGCTAAGCTTTTACGAACTCCTCCGAGGGCGTTCACCCGAACGAGCTCAAATTTGGTCCACATCATCTCAAGACGTGGAACATCAAAACTTATCCAAATTTTTCACACACGTCTTACTGAGCAGTGAAGCAACAAAAAATGCACACAATTTTGTAGATTTACAAATTGCTCCCATTTGCTCAAACGAACTCCAATTTCAATTAAATTTGAAACAGTTGCCCTGAAGCTACTTAACGTGAAAATTATTCATTTGGCGCATTAGCGCCCCCTACAGATTGAAACAAAATTTAATATGGAAGAAAATCATTTGTTCCCAAATAGTTGTTCAAAAATTTCTGAAATTTTGCACAAAATTCCATTTTGGCATCCTGATCCAAAAGTCAATGACACCAATGTCATATTTTTTATGGTGTTGCCATAGCGATGACATAAACTCTCCATTGGTAAAATCTACAAATTCTGGCACAAAACGTTGGGCCGATTTCACTCAAATTTGAATCGTTGATTGACACTCCAACCCTGAACAGATTTACATAAGAAAATCTCCAATGGGCACACTAGCGCCCCCTAGGGAAATTGCATGGTAGTGCAAACATTTACTTCGTTGTAGACATATAGAATTTGGTACACAGATTCATGACATGGTCTTGATAAAAAAAGTCAATGACGACCCCATGTCATTTCCCATCGTGTTGCCATGGTGACAGGCTGAACATCTGCCCTCGCCAAAAGGACGCCCAACAAAAACTTTGGCGTAGCCAAACCAAATTTGGTACACAGATGCATCATGGGAATAGGAACAAAAAAGTATATTACGCGGTTGCTAGGCAACCAACAGGAAGTCAGCCATATTGGATTGATGGTGCGACCTGTCCTCGTACTTAAACGAACTCGTCCTTGGGCGTTTGACCCAGACAGAATCATTCTGTATCATCTAGACAACTGGGATATTAAAAGTTGTTAAAAGCTTTTTAAAAAGGTCAAACGGTGTTGCCGTGGCAACGATGCAAATTTCTGGTTCGTTTTTGGGCTCACCATCAAACTCCAACGCCTGATAATTTGCGTAAACTTTGGCCGATTTCACTCAAATTTTAATTGTGAGTTCACACCTCAACCCTGAACAGATTGATGTAAGTAAAGTGGGTGCAATAGCGCCCCCTAGCGATTTGCACAAACTTTGGCCGATTTCACTAAAATTTTAATCGTGGGTTCACACCCCAACCCTGAACAGACTGATGTAAGAGAATACAAAAATGGGTGCAATAGCGCCCCCTAGAAAAATTGTTTGTAAAAATAAGGTTTTATTTGTCACAGATATACAACATTTGGTATCCACATTTGTGACATGGTCTCGATTAAAAAACTCAATGATGCTCACACCCCATTTACATTGTGTTGCCATGGCAACAAGCCAAAATTGTATCCTTGCCAATGGGACGTCCTTACACAAATGCTGGCATAGCCAAACCAAATTTGGTATCCAGATGCATCATGGCAATAAGAACAAAAATGTATATTGTGACCATGCCCCTTTACAAACCGGAAGTCCGCCATCTTGGATTTATTTTTATTTATTTTTTTGCCAAATTTTGAAAATTGCAGAGTTAGATTAAGATTTTTAGGGCTAGGGTTGGGGCTATGGTTAGGATTATGATTAGGGTAAGGTTTAAGTTTAGGCTTAAACCTTAAGTTTAGAGTCAATGTGAGGCACGGCGTTTGCGGGGCGAGGTGTTTGCGGGGCGCGACGTAAGCACGCGCGAGGGCCGATCATTGCCGCTTTCGGCTATATTGAGATATTAGTCCTGGCCTTCAAGAACTGTTGTCTGGCCAGGTTAAATGGCTTCTGGCTGGTCAGAGTGCAATGTCAGAAATGCTGGTTGGCTGTTCGAATTCTGAGCATGCCTGTGTTGCAGTATTTTCAGGATGGCTTGATATCCAAATGCAGCAGGTTGGTGGGCAGTTGGATTGGATTCAAAACGCTTTTGATATGCAATGTCCAGTGTATTGGTGCCAATCAATACAAGAGAGTCAGAATGCTTGACATCTGGTACAACAAGAGCTAGGTGTCCACTTCAATTTCTGAGCCCAAGAATTCTGTTGGAAAAGTTAGATTCAGTTCAATATATCCAAGATACGGTACAGCCTCACCATTTGCTCCTTCGACCTCCAACAGATTATTAAGAGGTTTGATTTCATGATCGGTCAAATAGCTGTTATAGAAAGAGTGTGGTACAGTAGTCACTTGTGAACCGCTGTCAAGTAGGCAGTTGAACACAGTTCCATTTATCTGCACTTGTCCTGTGCTCTTTGTACCAATGAGTCCTCTTGGTAGCAAATGTGGAGGTGGTGCATTATCTTTGGGACGTTGAGTTATGTCAGCTCCTGGAAGTCCCTTTGCAGAAGCTGCCACTAGTTTGACGTGTTCTGTTTGGCTTCCCAGGCTTGTTGCCTCTGACGTAATTGCTTTTTCTTCTGGTCAACAAGACTTGGGTTAGGCTTATTGGAACAGGAGGATGAGACATGGCCATCTTCACCACACTTGAAACAGTACCAGGGTTTTGGCTTGGTTGAGGCTTGGGATGGAGTGTGGCTGCTATTCTTTGGCTTATTTGGTTTTGGCTCAGACTTTGAATCAGAAGACTTTCTTGACAAGAGAGCAGACATTTGACGTTGCAGTTGTTGGATCTGTTTCTTTAAGTCTCTCAGTTCTTCACTTGTACTTGAATTTGCGCTGGCATTGGCGCAGGAACAGGCACTCTGAGATTGAAGATTTACTCGTTGTTTTGCAGAACCAATATGTTTTTTCATCAATGATTCTTTGACTATTTGGCGATCTTCTTCGGTTCTCAATGACAACAACAACTCTGAAAACGTTGGGGGATTATCTTTCTTTTGTTCAAGTTGCAATTTGGTTATGACTGAATTGTCCCAACATCCATGACAGAATTGTTTGAGTAAGTGTTTGTCTTTATCTGATGCTTGAATACCTCCTATTGCGGCGTATGTAGCCCAATGCTTATCCCACACGCCGCGGCGGGCTAAGCCACGGGGTAAAACACTGTGGACGCGTAACTCGGAACAAATGCATATACACGGTACTTGTTTGTCATAGTAGGCATACGCGTTAGAGCACTTACTTTAAAGCTGCTGCCATCCGTAGCCATGCACCGATACCTTCTATATGCAAATCTTTCCTGTTAAAATACGGTCAACAGAAAGTTGCTCCCCGTGCTCACCCCGCCACCATGATCCAAGGCCTTACACTCAGCAGGTGAGCGCACGCATATATAGGCCACACCACACCCACCGTGCCACCCCCAGACACCGCAATATAGTGCACATTAGTCACGTGAGGAAACCAATAGAACACCCACGAATGGCTCCTACATACCGGCCCCTAATTATTAACTAGTAATAATTACCCACCACCAACTACTTGTAGGAGACAGAAGAGAAACCATACTAAACCACAAAAAGAAATAGAGTCCATAGCGGTCACTGTTCTTCCGCTTCCTGCAGAAGGCAAACTTTCGTGATTGGTCTGTACAAAATACTCGACTTAGTTTTAATCCTCACAGTGCGCACAAGTCAATTTTTATCTGGAACAGCATCTAAAACTCTTGCTGTAATCCACGAGCCACGTGGTGCCATCTCATCCACGAGTATGACAAGGTCACCAGGCGTAAAATTCCTCCCAACATGATTCCATTTTTGGCGCTCTTGAAGACTAGGAAGATACTCTCTTAACCAACGCTTCCAAAAAAGATCCGACATATACTGTACTTGCTTCCAACGGCGACGGGCATATACATCGGCCTTCTCAAACAGACCAGGTGGCAATGATGGCTGTGACTTGAGGAGTAATAGATGGTTGGGGGTTAACGCCTCCAAATCCTTAGGGTCCGTGGATGCCTTTGTTATAGGACGGCTGTTAACAATCGCCTCTGCTTCACAAAACACAGTCACCAACCCTTCCTCATCCAGGGTCTGAGTCTTCAAGATGGAATTCAGGACTTTACGAACTGAACGGACTAATCTCTCCCAAGGGCCTCCATGGTGCGACGCGGCAGGGGTATTGAAAACCCACTTCACACCCTTTTGCAACAAGGTGATATTAACAAGAGTGTGGTTTAGCTTTTCCAAGGCCTCCCTCAATTCACATTCAGCGCCCACAAAGTTGGTACCATTATCTGAACGGATTTCCAGGACCTGACCACGTCTGGCAATGAACCTTCGCAAACCATTGATAAAGGAGTCCGTGTCTAGCGAAGACAGAACTTCAAGGTGTATAGCACGTATCGCCAGGCAAGTGAAAATGAGGCCATACCTCTTGACCATAGCACGACCACGCTTTACATCAAATGGCCCAAAACAATCTAGACCAACATGACTGAATGGAGGCTCGTCTGGGGTGATTCTACTAGAAGGCAAGTCAGCCATTTTTTGATTTCCAGGTGTAGCAGACAAACGGCGACAGACAATACATTTAGCCAGGATCTTTCTAATGGCAGCACACGCACCTGGAATCCAATACCTTTGACGCAGGTGAGAAAGCATATGGTTACGTCCACTATGACCAGTTCCTTGATGGATGTGACGAAGAATAAGATTAGAGATGTGCAGGTCTTTAGCCAAGATAACTGGGTGTTTAGTCTCAGCTGGCAAAGCAGCTCTACTAAGCCTCCCTCCAACCCTCATTAAACCATTGTCCAAAATGGGATTCAGCCTGTAGAGGTGGCTCGTCCTTTTGACACATTCTCCTTTGTCCAGATAAGCGAACTCTTCGGGATAGTTTCGTCTCTGACAAAAGTGAACAATGGCTTTCTCAGCTGCAACCATATCTTCCACTGACAGCAAGTCCTTAGACATTTTACTTTTAATATTTTCCATCTGGATCTTCAGTTCCTTCTCCAGTTGCGCAGGACTCAAGTCTGACCCCACAAGAGTCTCTCTCAACTGCTGCCTATGCTGCACCAAGGACAACAGCAAGTTTCTGAACTTGAGGAACCAACCAACAGCCCGCTTCAATCCGAGCCAGGAGGAAAAGTGACAGATGAGCTTGTCTACTGGAGTTTCCTGCTTGACCTGCACAGCATTCGTCAACACAACCTTAATCTCCGGGTCTCCAACAAGAGACTCTGCCACAGCCTCTGGGTTTGTCGGCCATTCGATTTCCGATCCTGAAAGGAAGTCAGGACCACAAAGCCAAACACCAGCTCTCAGGAAAGACTCAACTTTGACACCTCTAGAAACCAAATCTGCCGGGTTGTCCACTGTGTTCACATACCTCCACTGGGACATGTCGGAAAACTGGAGGATTTCAGACACTCTGTTGGCTACGAAGATTTTAAACCTCGAGGTCTCATTCTTGATGTATTTCAAAACAGAAGTGCTGTCCGTCCAACACTGATTCTTTGAGCTCCATTTGCAGCTCCCTTTTCCACAGCTTGTCCATCCTGCTAGCCACCACCGCAGCTGTCAACTCCATATGGGGGATGGTAACAGGTTTGAGTGGAGCCAAACGTGCCTTGCCCATCACAAATGTGCAGTAAACTCTGCCACTGATGTCACGGAGTAACAGATAGGTCACGGTTCCAAAACCCTCCTCACTTGCGTCCGCAAAGTGGTGAAGCTGTGCAGAAGCAAGATCACCAAAGTTCATAGGTTTCAGGCACCTACTGACCTCCCAGTGTTCAAGGAGATGCAAATCTTCCAGCCAGGCCAACCAATCTCTAGCCACTGAAGGAGGCAGAGGATCGTCCCACCCTAGACGTCTCCTTCAAAGATCTTGGACAAGTTTCTTGGCGGACAAAATGACAGGTGCTAAAAAACCAAGAGGATCGTAAACTGAACTGATGACTGACAGGATTCCTCTTCTCGTCAGCGGATGATTTTTGAGTGTGATCTTGAACTTAAACAAGTCAGACTGCACGCACCACTGCACGCCCAAAGCTCGCTCTATAGGCAAGACATCACTGTCTAAATCTAGATCTTTCACTTCTTTGGCTCTCTCTTCAGGAGGAATAGCAGAAAGAACTGAGCGCCGATTACTGACCCATTTTGTAAGCTTAAACCCACCTTTAGCACACAGAGCTCTAAGTTCTTGACATAAAGCCATTGCTTCCACTTCAGAGGCAACAGACACCAAGCAATCATCAACATAAAAATGGTGCAACAGAGTACTGACAGCCGCAGGACTGAAATGGTCACGATTATCCTCAGCACACCTCCGAAGAGCAAAAGAGGCACAGCTCGGAGAGGACGTTGCACCAAACAGATGTACTACCATTCGGTACTCCGCGAGCTCCTGACTGCAATATCCGTTAGGCCACCACAGGAATCTCAACAAATCACAGTCTTCAGCTGGCACCCGGACCTGGTGAAACATGGCCTCAACATCAGCCATAAGCACAACAGGTTCCTTACGAAATCTAGTGAGGACACCGACCAACAGACTAGTAAGGTCAGGACCCTGAAGAAGTTGGGAGTTCAAACAGGTGCCTTGAAAAGTGGCTCCGCAGTCAAAGACTACCCGCAGTTTTTTCTTTTGAGGGTGGTACACACCGTGGTGAGGTACGTACCACACCCTCCCATCATGACGAGCCAACTGGTCAGATGGAACTAGCTCAGCGTAACCACTGGCAAGCATCCCTGACGTGAACGTAACATAATCACGACGAAAAGACAAATCACAAAATCACAATAATCACAAAAGTCTGCACTCACACACAACACAGTGCTTTATTTTTATTTTCTTATTTACTTTTATTATTTTTTATTATTTTATAAGTTTTATTAAAACGGTACAAGTTGCTGAAAGAAATCTTATTCCCCCTAACTATCCACCGGCGCTAAGCTAACTCAACCCTAGTCTTCTGCACGTACTAGCGGTGGGTTGTTATGTACCTCGGATATACCGATAGACTGGAACCAGACAAACTGTCTCAGAACCAGAACTACGGCGGCACTCCCAAGCGCAATGCTTCACCCGCTTGACGCACAAGCGAAGCCCTAACCGGGTCCCAGAACAACGCGAAAGTGTTTCACCTTATGTGAAAGCACCACTGTAAGTGGCACGCAAACCACGAGAAATCTTTTACGTTCACAAACTCCGATTAAAATACGATGAAATCCAACAGAAAGCTTGTGCTGCTCCCGTGCTCACGCCTGCCGCAAACACATATGCATCCAAGCCTTACACTCAGCAGGTGAGCGCGCTCATATATAGGCCACACCACACCCACCGTGCCACCCCCAGACACCGCAGTATAGTGCACATTAGTCACGTGAGGAAACCAATAGAACACCCACGAATGGCTCCTACACCTCCTCTTTTAACCACCGTACTGAGTGTGAGATGTAATCGTTGGAGATAAGATGATGGCTGTTCTCCGGGATTTTGGAGCTTGTTTAGAAATTGAGCAAAAAGCTCCTCCCCATCTTGCACTGTGCCAAAAGCAGAATCCAGTATTCTGAGCAAAACTGCAGGTAATGTATCAGGCCCATGTCCTTTGATCAGATCTGCAGCAGGTGACAATAAACTTTCCACAATACGACGAGTGACGTGTAAGGCTGAAAGGCTAGGGTCAGCGAGTAACAGTTCAATCTGTGATCTCCATGCATCGTAATCCATTTCATTACTTGGTTTAGGGCTCTTTCCTGAAAATGAACGGAGTCTCAAAGAGGATGATACACTCGCATCACTACTACGGACAACATGTTCCACCACAACTCTTTGCACTTCTTGAGGATTGAGATCATTTCCGGACAGTGATATTCTTTGAGAAGGCATAAATGAATAACTTTGTCTTAATGATGCCTCTGGTTGGGAAACTGACCGGCGAGGGGGTACTGGTGGCGGTTCAGGTGGCTGAGCGGATAGCATGTCCACTGTCTCCTCTTCTCTTCCATCACCATCATTATTACTGTCATTATCATCATCATCATTATTAGTGTTACCATTATCATTGCTTGCTCCAGCCTGCTCCAAATGGCTGCCGATTTGATCCATCACTGACTTCAGAACATCTTCAAAACGTTTGCCAGAGCGATCTGCTATGCGTTTGAGATCAATAAGATAGTCAGTTTCAGGGCATGAGTTGCTGCCGCTCACTGTGGCTGCATATTCAGACGCAAGGGATGTGACACAAAATGTGCGGTCGGCCGATAAAGATACATAACTATATGGCAACAGTGGTTCTAATAGAGGCATTGCAGAATCATCTGTAAACTCAACGACCAGGTTTTTATAAAAGGAACTAGTCGGGTCATTAACATTCAAGACACGTTTGATGCTACCATAACTACGTAGGCAATCAACAATTTCGCTGTCCGCGTCGGTGTTGGTCACGCCAGTAACTAGAACGGATCGTGAAATATTAACGCCTGACTGAGTAATGAAATCTGCCTTTTTTTTTTTCTTTTTTTTTTCCCAAACCAAAAACACAAACTTCATTCACATACCATGGCTCCTGGACACAAGCTCGCCAATTGTAACGCGTAGTTGGCTAGGCGGTCTGACTGCAGTATTAAGTTGTTTCAGAAGAAGATTCTTTGAAGAGCCATAGGGTATGTGAATGAAAGAGCAGACACAAATTAAAGTTTATATGATAAATTGTATTATATTTTTTTAAGTTGGCAATAATAATTATATGAATATATGAATATAATATAGACTTATTTATACCTTGGATATATATATGTATTATTAATAAACAGATATAAACATTACAAACAAAACAAAAACAAAATCAATCAAACAAACAACTTCAGTTATTGTAAGAGTCCTGTGAGATCATATATTGTCTTTGGGGGTTTTAGTCCAGTAGTCGCATTGACTAAGGTTCAAAGTTTTTAAACGTTTTTCTTGAAGATAAGATCCAGAAAAAGTGTATGTCTAGTTCGATCTCCTACCACAAGGTGGGGTAGTCACAGCTCGCCATCACAGACTCAGGCTGAGGAGTTGAAGTTGTGTGGTTGTACCAAAGGGAAGGAGGAAAAAAAGACCTGACCGCTGAGCGGAGGGTTGAATACGTTGAAGTAGAAGTAGAAACAGTAGTAGTAGAGGTTGATATCTCGGCAATCACGGAGCACGCCGACTCCAGAGCACGACCAGCACACAGCCACAGTGAGCGGCAGCAGGAGCATCAGAGCAGAGATCAGCCCTTTCCGAACAATCATTAACAAAGAGCACAATGCACAACCTCTGCACCAGCCATCGGAGACACCAATGCCACAGTTTCAATACAACTTTGCAGACTGTCCCTTGACACCACAATGGAAAGAGAGAATAATATCAAAACTCAACAGGTACGCAGACGGCCACGCTCCTCTCCTCTTAATATTGACGCGATCTGCAATGGCGCTGGTGCTGCCGTGAGCCCAGCAGGAGCCACAGTACTGAGGGATGTGCTGGTTCCTTGTGACACTGGCGTAGTTCACCCCGTTGACGTTCCTCCAGTCCCAGGACTTGGGCAGTTCAGCCAGGTTCAAGATCTCATGAGGACGGGCTTCACTTTTCACCCCAAAATGTTCTCTTCTTGGCATTGGCTTGTAACACGTCGTATTCCATCTGTGTTTTCCTTCACTCGCTGCAGTTAAAATCAATAGGATAAAAATGACTAGCTTAGCCATGTTTGCAGATAGTATGCAGTAGAGCCCTAACTTGAAGCATAGATGTAGTTGATGCACTGAACAATGGTTTGAGCTGCCCAAGTCCACGGTGTAGGCATTATAAGGCATCACATTGAAATGTACTGTATTTGCAAGACGTTATAGGCCTATATATATATATATATATATATATATATATATATATATATAAAACGAAGCCTTTGAGTGAGCAAGGTGAAGTCACTTTAGGCCTATAGCTTAAATAACACAAGTAAAGATGCGCAAAAGTGTGGTAAAAAGGTAGTTTTGAAGATAAGATATTATAGCTGTCTACATGCTTTTAGACCTAGCCTACTGTGTAACCGTAAGTTAGCTTGCCTAACTCATATACTAATGAACTGTTAACGTTTTAACCTAAAAAGATGAGAGTGTAATGCTAGACCTTGGCTTGGCGTGGTGTGAAGCCATTATTTAACTTTACTAACGTTGTTCTTCTATTTTATGCCAATATTTTTCAAGTTGGCCTAATGTGTTGCCTATAGAAGAATTATTACCTGAGGAAGCACACTTCTGGACATCAAGAGAATAATAAGGTGTTTTCTCCCCGCATCCCACACCTAAGGCAAGTATCTTAACAGCCTGTTAAGGATGCTAAGGTGCATGAGGCACCGTTTCTGGTGGAGTTAGCCACTTTAATTTAATTGACTCCACAGAGATAGATTTGCCTGTATGATCTTCACCAGTATGGCATTAAACTTATCTATAGTGCATTTAAAAATTATATATATATATATATATATATATATATATATATATATATATATATATATATATATATATATATATATATATATATATACAGTGTTGGGGAGTAACGGATTACATGTACCGCCGTTACGTAATCAGAGTACAAATTATGAGTAACTGTATTCCGTTACAGTTACTGTTTCAATGAGTGGTAATTGGATTACAGTTACTTTGCTGAAATAAGTGGATTACAAGGCGGTATTTTCCTGTTTTCACATTTTGTGCTACATCCCATTTATTTATTTTTTTATTTCGGTAATTTCACTCATTGCCTGAAACCCAAACAGAACGCGCGCAATAAGAGCGATAGAAACGTCATGTTAAAGTTGGCGGTGTCAGTCACACAGTGGAAGCAGCAGTGCGTTGGTAAAAACGCATTTGTGTCTTGGAAATTCTTCTCCCGATGTGACATATATATATAAAAAAAACAAATATAAAATCGCCAACAACTTAAATGTGAAACCGGAGCTACTGGCACTGGTGAAAACAACCTGCATAGACTCAAAATATCTGCACTACTGTCCTATAGTGACCTGCCACATGAGGGGACACACACACACAAACACAAACACACACAAACACCTTCATCATCGTCATCAACCTGAGAACCCGCGGACCACGTCTCCTTCCGGAGTTACAGCGCGGACACCGACGTCTCGTGAGCCGCGTGTGGAACGTGTTTTCTCGCGTAAACCGCACTTCCTCCTGTGCGCCTCTAAACCAGAACTAACACCAGGACTAAACCAGGACTAAAGCAGGACTGAACCAGGTTTAAACTAGGACTAAACCACCACTAAACCAGAACTAAAGACCTGGTCTAGACCAGGTCTAAAAATCAGGACTAAACCAGGACTAAACCAGGACTAAACCAGGTCTAAACAACATGACACCTAACAGTAGGTTGACATAATTTAAGGTGATCTCATATAATTTCTCTATCAATAATATTTTTTAATATGGTGAAGGAAAGGCTGATCTTGTTACTGTCTTTTAACAGACAAAACCTCTTATATTAAGATGTCGTGGTCTTTGTTTCTCTACAGTAAACAGTTGCTTATTTTATTTTATTTTATTTTATTTTTTATACAATTGTGCAAGCTTGAACAAACTTGAAATGTTGGAGTCATGTGCTTGTCTCCATGGAGATTAATAAGTTTAGTGTCACAAGGAGTATTACTGGAAATGCAATAACATGCCAAGAACCTTTAATGAATCAATTATCAATCAAATGTATTTATTCCTATTCATGTAGGCCTAGGATTTATCACTAATTCTTTCTTCTATTTTGCAGTGAATTGAATTTAGTTGTCAGTCTATGGTTGTCATGCATCAGCTGTAGTCTGTAGCTTATATATTCATACACCTAATTTATTGCAGACTCAGACAGATTATAAAAACAAATAATAAGAGAGACTGGACTTTGTTCAATGTTCTTTCCCTTTATTGATTTATTTACGTCTGTACAAGAGGAAACAATCAGCTTGGCCGGTAAGGGTGTGACCATCTTTGACAATTACACATCATTCATGTCTAAGATAGGCGTGTATGTACCTATTTACAGCCTGGGTTTAGAATAATTAATCTAGGTGGTGCTGGAACTATTAGAATACTGTTCATTATGTAACCTTTTATTAAGTACAAGGATTAGAAGGCGTATCTGAATATTACTTCACTGTGGACAGAACTGCCATAACAAGTGAATTTCACTTCTGTGAGACTGCTAATCATAGACTAATAATATTAATATTTCATCATAACATACATATATATTTTTTTTTACATACTACAATCAAAATATTTGATTGATTATTACGCTATTTTCTGATCTCTGTTATAATGTTGTTTCCTTATCAAAAACATACCTGGAGTTGTGTTTTGTTTCATTCAGACATAAATATATTTACACAACATATTTAAGTTGTGTTTTTCTCTCAGACAGAAAACACTCTTTTCCACCTTATGATCCATCCATCCATTTTCTTCTGCTTATCTGGGGCTGGGTCGCGGGGGCAGCAGTCTAAGCAGGGACTCCCAGACTTCCTTCACACCAGACACTTCCTCCAGCTCCTCCAGGGGGACCCCGAGGCGTTCCCAGGCCAGCCGAGAGACGTAGTCCCTCCAGCGTGTCCTGGGTCTTCCCTGGGGCCTACCTTATAATGACATGTGGTAATACAATGACAGGTGCTCCACTGTGTTTTTAAACTCCTTCATTAAAAATCATTTGGATAATTTCATCCATAAAATTCCAAGTTTCCAGTAAACAAAAAGTAGGTGTTAACTTGAAAATTACTGCTTCATAACATCATAAGGTGAAAAAGAGCATTTAAGCCTTGGGCAAGTAGACAGATAAATAATAAAGGATTACTGTGTGAATGAATAAAACATAACTCAAGTATATTTTTGAGGAGCTAACAACATTCTAAAATGCCTTAAAGCTCACAAGGGGCAATTTTTGTCTACAGTAGGACCTACGTGTGTATGATGTGTATCAAATGTGAGACCTGTAAACACACCACAGGATATTTTCATAAAGCTTAGTATAAATAGCTTTATTAATTGTTTACATCTTATACACTACACATAAATAAAAACAACAGCAATGGAGCAGAAAATTAATGCTGAAATAAATATAGTAGAATATTATACATAAATAGCCTAGACCAAAATATACTACGTTTCACCATAGACTAATAAATACTTATTATTAAAACTAAATAAATAATCTTAATTTTGTTATCTCTTTCACTTTAGCATGACTTATTTTTCAATTGGTGAAATGAAACCCAAGCAGGCAGAGAATGAGACAAAGGAGAGAAGACTGCATGAGTTTGGGCGACTTTGACGCTGTTGTTTGAGCTCCGCCGTTAACAGTGTTGGGCTTCACTGTGGTTGTGGTTGTGGTTGTGGTGGCCAATTTTCTTTGGAAATTGCAGGTGCCTACATTACCCACACTATCCACTGCTACTATTTCTACTTCAGTTGAGCAGCAGGAGGCCTCATAGGTCACAGTTTTAGCATTTCCTGAAGCTAATCTGGAGGTCAGTGTCCCATCGCCCCGACGGATGTAGACGTTTTCCACTCCAGTGCCACCTGTGCCATCGCTGACCCTGGCATAGAGCTGCCACATGGATGTACCACAGCTCTGAGGACAGCTCGTCTGACTCAGAACCTCACAGACTGGGGAGCTGAAGTCCGTCACCTGTTCGGAAGAACAATGGCGCATTAAAATGAGGCAGGTCATTTGGCTTATTACTATTTTTGGATCATTTTATAAATATATCTTCTAACGTTAATGGAAACCTTAATACATTTTATAGCAAATTCAACATCCTTCACTTATTTTAACAATTCTTAAACCATGGTTAAGTTTATTTGGGATTTCATATTTTCGCTGAAATAATGTTGGATAACTAAATGTCAACGATCAGGTCAAAATGTGTTAATTTTACAATTTAACAGCAAATTCTATTACTTAATTTCTTAATTTTGATTTTAAACTACAAGCTATTTGGGATGTTGGGGTGTCACACAAATCTATACAATAAAAAGAGAAAGTATTATGCAAAATTACCTTTTTGAGCACAGTGAAACTCATGGTTGCATAGTTCATGTCTGTTTTTCCAGAATCCTCGGCTTGAATGGTGAGGGTGACTTCACTACCCGACTCTGCTGTAAGTGGAGCAGTGAGGATGACTGTCCCATCAGCTTTGCCTCCACTCAACCCAAGACTAGACGGGTAAACAACGCTGAATCCTTTGTCATTCGTAGCTGTAACTGTATAGACTCCTGCTTTGTCACTCGAAACAGTGAACGGTATCGAGATTGATGTACCTGGCTCAATAAGGCCATTCAGTTCATCCTAAAATTGGAGCATATTTACTCATTATTACTAAATATAATACATGTATAGATTTTTGCATGACATATTATTGAGTATGCCTGCAGTTATAAGGGAAGTTGTGGTACTTACAGCAGTCACAGAGAGAGAAGAGGTTTTGATTTTGCCTGATGATATCCGTTGAAAAGATGAAGCAGTAGCTTGGTCATTAGAGTTTGACCCCCTTACAAGCAGAGTACTTGTCTCTGTTGGCATAGGGTTAAACTCCACTAAGTATTCCTTGTTGCCCAGTTTAGTGACAGTGCCGTCAACCCTTCCTTTTGAGTTTAGCAAGGAAGCGCTGGTCACAGTGGCAGTCTCACTCCCAATCAATGTAAGCTCCATACTTCCCTTAGCATCTAAAATAAGACATTGGAAAACAATTACTATTAGATTTTGTTTTTAATGTAAGTGTTCATACATCCTGTATTGTATTTACCTGATTTTGGGCGACTCTCAGAAGCAACCTCTCCTCCCAGAGGACCTTGTGCTGGTCCCAAAAAGTCATAGATGAAGTCTAACGGACTGTCACCTAAAATAAAGTATAAAAAACATTTTTAGTATTGTAACATTTTATGCACAGATTTATTTCAAGCAGTTTTAAAGACTCACCGACAATCTTTGCTGTGTATGGGTTGTCTGACACAACCCTCATTTGCCAAATTCCAACTTGTTTATTCAGCTTGATTCTTCTGAAGTTTCCCACTGTTGTAGAAGAAGCAATCACGGGTGCACTCGTCTGAGATTGACCTAAACCAAAACACAATGAGGTGAAAAATTACATATATTTCTATTTTATAAAACATAGAAATTATTTTAAACAAATATATACCTGAAGGATTCACAAAGGTGACACTTGAAATGGCCCCAGTAATGTAAGCAATGACATTATTGGTTGTATCATCCACAATGAAAGTAAAATTTTCAGACTTTCCTGGTTTCCTCACTTCATCCAAAAGTGTGACCTAGAAAATGCATTAGAAACTGTTATTCATCAGTAAACAGTAAACACAATTTATCCTAATACTGTGTTATGAATCTTTTTGAACCTCTTGATTCTCTTATAAAAATAAATCGAATATTTCACAATTTTAACATTTCATACCGAAGAAGAGCCAGAGGAGTCAAGCACAATGTCAGTGGCAAGTGCAAGTTCACTCTTTGAGACTCTCAGCAACTGTCCACCTGAAGACTGAGCCACCTCTTCGTACAGTTCGAGATCAGCTAACGACTCAGGAACCCCCGTCATCAGAATGTTAACCTGAAATACGTAGAATGGCATAACTTAATTCTGTTTAATTACAACAATTTCAATCACATCACTCAAATGTTACTCACTGTAGACTTCTTTTGCTCAATCGAAGCCATGAGACTTTCTTTCAAATTTGTGTCCTTTGCGGAGGCATCAGTGAACAGAAATATGTCAGAGCCAGGTGGAGCACCATTTACAGCCATCTAAGAAGAACACAAGCAGCAGTTCAGTTTAACATGCATGCTGCGATGCAAGTATTGTTTCTGAAATTGATTTTTTTTTTCTTAATGTACCTGTAGTCCTGATAGAGTCACTTCAGGCCGATCGCCTCCACCTGATGCTGTCAGTGAATCAATGGCTATTTTGAACTCATTAGCATCAGTGGTTCTGAAAAGTGGCCCAACATCTGACAGAGAAAGACTGTGTTACATAACAAAAAATAATACAAATAGTATCAATTTAATTTAAAAATGTGTCTTACTTGGATCTTTGAAAGGGACCAATATGTAAACTGAAGGCTCTGGCTGCACTCCGGCTTGAACATTGCTTATAAGTGTGGAGGTGAGGCGTTGCACTGCTGCAATGTCCGCCGTCATGCTCCCGGTGGTGTCTACTACAAAGCACAGAGGCTTGCCAGACTTAGCTCCGAGCATCCTGACAAAGATCATCGGTTAAAGAAATATATTCAGCGCATACACTAAAACTAAGCATGTTTTCTAGGTTGCTTACTGTAAGAAAGCACTGTCTCCACCTGCTGCTCGTACATCCTCTAAGAGTTGAGAAGTGGCAGCTATCGCCATGTTTGCAGCTTTTTCATGGAGTTTACCATGACTGGAAGTTGGTGTGTCCTTATTTATGCCACCTTTAGGCTCAACAGTACTTGAACCATCCAAATCCCCACCATAGCTGCATTTTCCTTTAATTTATTGCAAATACAAATCATATTTTTATTTGTTGTGTCCTGTCTTTCAGTTAATCAAATGTTTATAGTCTGGGTATAGTTCAATAAAGTACCTGTGGGTTTGGAGGTGGATGGGCTAAGGGCAAAATAGCCAGAGGTCAGTAATTGTTCATTGATGATGTCGCTCAATATGTTGTTGTCGCAGTTGTTTCCAGTACAGCTACGGCAGGTGGCCCTCGTTCTGGCTAAAGAAGAATGCATTTGTATTTGATTTAAATTTCTTCAAGCATTTGAGTTGAATCTTTAATATTTTAATTTACCTGCAATAGTACCAACATTGCCATTTCCTTTCAAAAGATTAGCATTTGGGACCTCTTTGCCAAGTTCTATCCAGTTGCTATGGCTGTAAAAATCCTTCAAAGTAACAAAGATATAAAAATGTAAGCTCAGGTCACTTCAGTTTGTTTATTTGAGCAACATGCAAGTTGTATTACATTATGGTGCAATAGTGCATTTGTGCTCAAAAGGAATAGGAAGGAGTAGTATTTTATTATGTATTTTAAATATTGTAAATGTGAGCATACTTCTAGAGTGTGGCTGATTTTTCCAATTTGTTTCTGGGCTGCCTCGTAGTTGCCTTTCTTGTTGCTGGCCTTCACAGCCCCCAACCCTGCTACAATGATATCACGTCCTTCATTAAACATCTCGTTGTGAAAGTGATGACTTGGGGAGTTGTACAGAACACTTTTGTCCACTCGTATATTGTAGTTTTGGATTAACTTCATGTTTTGGTAGAATAACTTGATTGCATTCTGAGCATCACATGACTGAAGAACATTCTCCACTGTATAAGGCGTGGCCTACAATGACAAAAAACAAAGAGTTTGTTTTGCTGTCCCATAAAGCTAGACATAACATAGAAACTACATAAAAATACTTACCGGGGCAGTGAAGGTCCTGCCCTCAGACTGGGCTATGGAGCGGCACACTTCTACTGTGACGTTTAGAAATGCTCTCTGTGTGATCTCCTGGTGAGTAAATGTGGTCCCTCTGTTCACAACAAACCCAAGCACTGCCGTGGGCAGCAGCAGCACTATGAACCACCCGCTCATTCTATAAAATATACACAAACACACATAGTACTACAGTTCAAAACTGTTGTCATTTTAATATTTAGTTGTTGTTCAACCTTTCCTCTCCATGAATAACAGCTGACCTTTATGATGAACCGGTTGATTTTGTTGTTTAATCCTTTAATTAATTTAATTGTTCTTGAGCAGGACAGTATTTCCTAAAATAACACATAGAGGAAGTAGATGGAATGTGCAGAATTCAAATGGGACTCCGGTTGTCAAGAAAAAATAAGATAAAATTGAAACTCAATTGAACAAATACTGATACTGAAAAACATCACATAAATGGGAGAGATTTAGAAAGATATGCTGCGCTGTGCTTATGACCACATGGTAATATTAAAGATACTGAGAAAAAAAGATTTTCATTGTGGTATCAACATTTATAAAGAGCATTGAGCCTTTTCCTTAATATCAAAAGAGAGTTTGAAATTTTAGCATGGTTTCAACAATGCTGGAATACATATCATTTGAGAAATTTTGAAACTTTATGAAAAGATCACTGCTAGTTATTTGTTGTTGGCTTGAGGTGTTCATTAGTTTAGTCAGAGGCTGGACTAGATTAATCTGACAATTATTATAATTGGCCTTACTACTGCAGGACAGTCTGATTATTTGAATGATTAATAACTAATGAATTTACTGTACCCGCCTCTGTGAACATCATTATAAAAGACAAAAAGAGGTGGTAGCATGTCAAAGAAGTGCAAATGATTCAGAATGATTCATTATTTTTTATATATATATTTTTTTTTTGAGTGATCAGAAAATGCTTAGTCACAAAATCATTTTTTAGATCACACTGTTGCAAATAATGTCCCCAACTGTTGTTCACTCAGTATAGTAAAAAAGCTAATGATAGAACAATACAAACCACTGGATAAAGTTCACTGTCATAATTATTTTAGGCTTGTTACACAAAAGACCTAACTTAATAGAACAGACCCTGTGCTCATTACTTTCAACTGACTCAAAGTCTTTACTGAACGACGACCTAAGCATAATTATATATCTCTGCTTAATTTAGTCTATTTGAAATCTACAGATGATTAGAAAGAGTAATAAACACAATAAACAATAATGCACTCCTATTTTACTCTTTGAATGCTCATTATGATGTCCACTAAAGCTGTTTAGAAATAATTATTGCCGTTCTTCCTTCAACTGAAATTAAACACAACTAATCTACTATTCAAATCATCGTCAATTAATTTAGTAACTGAATATTTGTTATCTGGGCTAAACTTAGACTCCAATGGTACAGTATCCTCTTGCGAAGTTAATGTTGACTCAAGTATTCAAACAGAACTTTACATTTTCTAGAGTGAGGAGTTCATTCATTTGAAAAAAAAAAAAAAAAAAAAAAAACAGTTGAAAAAAATGCCTGTTGTGTTGTTTTTGTCTCTCATTATTCCAAAAGCAGGCTATATTTAAATCCTGTATCAAATACCCTGAATATTAATAATAAAAATAAAAAAGAAGAAGTTTTGACTTATTCCATAGTGACAATTGTTTCAGCAAAAATACAAGTAGAATAAAATAAAAAAGAGTTCATCTTAACAAAAGTACCAGTCATAGTGGCTCTTACCTGAATGTGTAGATGAGATGTAGTACGATAGACCACAATAGCAATATCCACTTTTATGAAGCACACTAAGGAGGAGCTGAGGTGGGGCCCGCTCAACCTGTCCATGTGTATGAGGATGCTTGTTACAGCGCACCTACGTGTGATGTGACGCTGTTAATGACTCTTATTGACATCACATTTAAAGCTTGTGCGATCATTATTCCAAGTATTGCCCAAGCTGTTTTTCTATGATCAATGAAAATGGAGAAAAACAATAATTTCCTGATACAAATTTTTGGGCAATACTGAAATGTGTTAAAACATGGCTTTACTTTAGTTATTAATTACAGTTTAACTAGTAGGCAAAGGTAAAATGACCCACAAAAGTGCAGAAATACACTTGATATTCAAATTGTGCATATATTTGATAATTTGTCCACCTCTATGTGTACATTAGTTAATATGCCAATCATTTTTTTCAATGGTTCTCAAACTTTTTAGATGAAATTGTCATAATAACAAGAACAGATATTCACTATCAACGATCTATTCATATCTGTTTGTTTTATTTATATTACTACATTTATATAAGGCCTAGATTCAATAATTTTGTAGGACACCATGTAAGAATCTACATTTATGACAGCATTTGAAGGTGTCAAGCCAATTTTTTACACTACATCAGAAATGCTGATCATCTTGGGACCTCCCTGAAATCATTCGGAGATCCCAATGTGGGTCCCGAGCTTCAGGCTGAGAACCACTGTTCCGTATTGAATTAAAAATATTCACAAATAAGCAAATGGCTTCCATCAAACATAGATTTACATTTAATTGGAAAGTGAAATTTTTTTCATTGATTAGTACCAGTGTAGTTTTGTCCTGATTTAAGCACTGACATTTTTCTTTCAGTTAACTAAGCAATGTCAGATCATTAAAATATTGGAAATATTGCTATAGCAAAATTAAACAGTTAAAGTAATTGAATATCCCATCTCATTCATTCATTTGAATCATTACATGAAAACCTGTCACAAATACTAATATGAAGAGATCTGCGTCAGGAAGTTTCGGCTGATCCAGCTGAAGCTAAAGTAGCGCAGCTTGAGGACATCTTAACAGAGAATACACACATCATTTACATATTCCCTGCTCTAAGTTTGAAACTCTTTATCTTTGTACAGATTTGCACATTTTATCACTGTCACCATAGTCCCTCCTTTGTTTGTTTGATCAAACAGAATTACATATGTACTACTACATATTATGTAAAGAAATAGAATTATATAAAACTTCATTGAACCACCCTCAGTGTAATTGTTGAAACTGGGCTTAGTCACCTCAGTACAATAAAACCTTAGGTTTAGTGTTTGAATGGCTCCCACAGTAATCGTGAACATAGAAATGCAGAACAATAGCTTTGGATCAGTGCACTTCTAATTATAAGGTGCGTCATTTTGCGACTGTGAGTAACTGTTCCTGTCCTCTGGAATGATAATTATGATCTTGATTCACATTTAACTGGAAGACATAGAGATCTGTAAATAATACTTGTGATTGTTCTGATGTCTGCTGCTACAGAAAATTTACTTCAAACTGCAGCTCTTATACCAAAACTTAAAGACCACTGTTTATTTATCTAGACCTGTAGCAAGTTAACCACACCAAGTTAAATGCCTTAGACCTACACCATATCATATGATTTAAGAAAAGGTGGAAGTTCTCAGAACTGAGGTTCGAGTTCAGCCCTTTTTCCTAACTATTGTTATTAAAAGGGTGATTTTACTATCTTCTTCTAATGGTAAATTAAAGGAATACTATAGTCTGACATATGCACTGTTACTTCAAAGTAATCACACCCAAGTTGAAATTATTCAAGTCCTAATCTTAAGTGATAAATAATTTTATGGTAAAGGAGACATGTTATCTAGAAGTGGCCTTTATGAGCTTTTAAGCATGTTATAATTTTTTTGCCTGTATCATTAACCTAGTCGTAGTTGCATTTAGAGATATGGATGTTTGAGTAATCTTTATTTTCCTGCATTCCCTATACATCCTCACTGCTTTGTACATGAGAGACATCCATAGTCCATCACTCAGGCGTTACAACACATACTTTAAAAGGGCAGGTAGTTGGTGATTCTTTTTGGCAGAGCCTTTGTTGGCCTTCTTTAATAATATAGAGTTACTGCAGTTGTCATCACACAATTTCACAGAAATTAATCCTGTTGGTCATAATTAAAATACATTTTATCTGAGTTTCAGAGATTGTGGATTATTCTTGTGCACTGTGATGTACACAATATCGAGGGCAGAAGAAAGCCCAGATTGATGGAAGTGAAATTCTGCAGCTAAATGGACTGGCAATGAAAAAAGACATACATTAATTATGATACGAGTGTATTACTTTGATATTGTTTTATTTGTATGATTAATTGTTGCATAACGTCTCAAAAGAGTAGTAGTAGAGCGTAGTTTGAAGAGAAATGACCCTATGCTTTTCGCAAAAAGCATAAATTAACTGGCTGCTTAGAAATGATATTAATGGAAAAATCACAAATTAAAGTCAGAACCAAAGTCAATTTTTTTATGTGTGTGTTTGTTAGACTGACATGAACGATTTATAGGTACCATGCCTTAAAATTAAGTATATTTTTTGCATATGTGACTTATTGTCTTTATAATACTCATGCCAGGTAAGGGTTGCTAATGTTTAATCTGATTAGTTTTAAGATCAATCACTGTTTATGATTAGACTTATAATTCCAGAGATATTCCAAAAGCAGACTCGTGGCAGTCATGGGCCAAATCTCACTTGCCAATATGGTGCCCCAATCAAATTTAGTCACATGGGGAGCAGGAGCTCTATTGGATGGACAAAAAATGAAATAATGCACAAAAATGTTTTCAAGTACAAAAGTAGTACAAACTAGAAAAGCACTCAGAGAGCGCAGACCTCCGCCAAGGACTACCCCCATTTTTTATATAAATTGCGATAAAATCAGTCTTCTGGATCAGATCCGGATCAGCCTTTGGAATATGAAAGAGGATCCCATTGTCCATCCCTGAGTCAAATTTCATGGGGTTTGGTCAATAATTAACCGAGATATTGAGAAACAAAATTTTTGGCCCCATTTACCACAATGTTAACTAAAATTTCAAAGTGATCCAGAATCCAGGATTTCTTCCGGATCACCCCCAAAATGAAATCAGTTCTTCCTTTTCACATTTCCAACAAATCCTGAAAATTTCATCAAAATCGGTCCATAACTTTTTGAGTTATGTTGCTAACAGACAAACAAACAAACAGACAAACAAACAAACAAACAAACAAACAGACAAACGCCGGCAAAAACATAACCTCCTTGGCGGAGGTAAATATACAATGTGGACATAAGATATATATCAGAGTATTGTCAGAATAAAGGGACAGTGGTTTTGATGTGTTCATGTGTCTAGCAGTGTTAAAGGCTCTGTACCTTTCCTAAAAACATGAAAAACAGGACTAATTTGCAATGGCCCAATTATCCTCACTTACTTTAGCATCCAAATGCTTTTCACAACTTTCAGAGAACTGAGTGGAGCATGGCAGTTCTGGTTAAGCTGACAACAACTAGGATGCTGACTGATAGTTAGATGATTAAACAATCCACAGCCGACTTATTTTGATTTTATTTTGCTTTTACAGTCTAGCTGTAGTGATCATGTACAGGTGTACAGTGTACTAATAACTAAAACTATTACTAAAAGTACAGATGTTGTCTTTGAGAAAAAAACAAAACAAAAACATTTTGTTCTTGTAAAGGTAGCCTACTTAAAGGCACAGGTGTCCTTAAATAATGGAAAGTTTTTAACTTGGGCCCAAATTCTATTGTTACTATTGTCTTGTATTTTATGTCCCAAGCACGCCTACTTTTATTTCTTTACATGCTTGAGGACCTATAAAGTTCTAAAGTGGGTGTTTCCTGTTGAATAACCTGTTTTCTGTTTTTAAATAAGGTATTATATATTGTTAAAAGCATTGTAATTTTTAATATAATGTATTAATATGTTGATTGTTCCATTATTTAAGGAATACCTGTTGCCTTTTAGTACCTGAATGCCCTGAATAAGATCTGTTGGGCTGAAAAGCGAAGGCATCTTATATTTGTAATCAAGGAATTTTAACTGGTCAATGTGCCTTGGCTTCTTCTGCCTATCAGTACTACTTCTTTAAGACAAGTTTTGGCTCTCTCTCAGTAAACGTGAACGTCCTTGAAGAGGTCATTTTTACAATTTAGCACACAATTCCTGACCCAGTAAAGCACTCATGTCCTTACCTGCCTTCTACAAGAGTAAAAAAAAAAAAAAACTAAAGTAATCCTTTCTTTGAATCATTTAAAATTTGTTGTCAAAATAAATTTGGCCCTTCAGCCTGTGCCTGTGCCTGTGCAGAGATGTTCAAATTATCTGTGTCCCCTGCGAATTCACCTTTGGGTGCTGGAGAAGAGGAAGGCTAATAACCTTCTGAGCAGCACCATACTGTGTACTATACTCAGCAGTCTTTATTGGTCCCTGGCAGTGACAGTTAATTTGAGCACTTGACTGGTGATGCACTTGTAGTGTATTTAGTTGTACCTGGAAAAAATGTCAGTAACAATAGTACTGATGTAACTGTATAATTACTACATCACACCTGTTCTATTTTTGATGTCTTTAATTACTGTTTACATGTAATTTCCTCTTTTATATATTTGGAGCATTCTCAGAAACTTGATGTTTTGTTCTGTTTTGTTCTCTATGTTTTGTGAAACAGCTTAGATGGTATGTATGCTACACACGGGGGGGGCGTAGGGGTGTGTGTGTGTGTGTGTGTGTGTGTGTGTATGTGTGTGGGGGTGTGTACGTAGGGGTGTGTGTGTGTGTGTGTGTGGGGGTGTGTGCGTAGGGGTGTGTGTGTGTGTGTGGAGGTGTGTGCGTAGGGGTGTGTGTGTGTATGTATGTGTGTGTGTGTGTGGAGGTGTGTGCGTAGGAGTGCGTGTGTGTGTGTGTGTGTGTAGGTGTGTGGGGGTGTGTGCGTAGGGGTGTGTGTGTGTGTGTGTGTGTGTGTGTGAGGTGTGTGCGTAGGGGTGTGTGTGTGTATGTGTGTGTGTGTGTGTGTGAGGTGTGTGCGTAGGAGTGCGTGTGTGTGTGTGTGTATGTGTGTGGGGGTGTGTGCGTAGGGGTGTGTGTGTGTGTGTGTGTGTGTGTGTGGTGTGTGTGATGTGTGTGGTGTGTGTGTGTGTGTGTGTGTGTGCGTAGGGTGTGTGTGTGTGTGTGTGTGTGTGTGTGTGTGTGTGTGTATGTGTGTGTGTATGTGTGTGTGTGTGTGTGCGTTTGTGTACGAGTTAATGAGTTTTAACAGGAAAAGAGTATTTATCAGGACCCCAGTGAGTAGATGATTAAACGTGTAGAAGCCATTGTCACAAGCCATTGTTATATTTTAGGTAAACTTGAGTGGATCTACTATTTTAGGGAGAACTATGGAGATAGTTTAAGCATACTTTGCACTTTATTTATTTATATAAACCCATAACTGCCATCTATGATCTGATGTGTTCTCAGGTTAAGGTACTAACCTGAGGAAAACATATCACAGAAGGGAACACCTAAGAGCACCCTGCAGGTCCAGTTTTGTTTTGCAGTGTTTGTTTTTTTAAGCAGGAGCGCATGCCAAACCCATTACCTTAAAATATGTATGCTGATATGTGTCGCTCTCTTGTGGTTCAAGTCAAGATATTTGAGAATGTTTACTAATATTTTTTTTTTTAATTAAAGATATACATAACCTGTAGGGAAACACCTAACCCCTTTGATATCATTCTTTGGCACATGCTTTCCAGTGTTTGCTTTGTTACATCAGGGTAGTTACCTGAGGGTCTGAAGATGGAATTAGCCACACTAATAATGGTTATAATCTTTATATATTTACATTTTAAATGTATAGATATATATAAATATGTGCTGTCCCTTTACAAATAAAATAAATAAATAATAATAAAAATACCAAGACATTTGATTATTTATTATGAATGTAACCAAAAGAAACGTAACAGTACATTTAAAATAGTAAACTCAGAACAAACAATCCGAATTGAATTACATAAAAAAAAAGAAAACAAAAAACAAACAAAAAAACAAAAACACACACACACCAGATGAATTTTAATGAAATACAGTTCATTTAACATTTCTTAACATCCAGTTTTTTAAAGTTTCATCATAGTTTAAAACATTTCATCAGTAATATATTACTGAATAATATTTACCTTCATTATTAATAGTTGATATCACATTCAGGATAAAAGACAGAAATACAAGGATGATCAAAACCAAATAATTCTTTATAATAATATGTGTAGTGAAAAAAAAAGGTAAGCAGTAAATCATTTTTTATCTTAATAATAATAATGTTTATTTAAGTTGAAAAGCAAGTAGGGCAATGATGAAACAGAGGAGAAAGGACTGGCTGACTTTTGGAGCCAAAGACAATGTAGTAGTAGTAGTAGTAGTAGTAGTAGTAGTAGTAGTAGTAGTAGTAGTAGTAGTAGTAGTAGTAGTAGTAGTAGTAGTAGTAGGAGTAGTAGTAGTAGTAGTAGTAGTAGTAGTAGTAGTAGTAGTTGTTGGTTCTGTTGTTGCTATGGCGCTGCTCGCCACTTGAGTTGTGAAAGAACAGGAACCTACGTTACCTACAGCATCCACAGCGACTATCTCCACTGCAGATGAACAGCAGGAAGCTTCATAGGACACAAGGGTGTCATTGGCATTTACAGTTGTGTTCAGAGTGCCGTTGCCTTGTCTGTGGTACACTCTGACAATACCAGTGCCATTTACCCCGTCACTCAGCCGAATGGAGAGCTGCCAAGTGGAGTTACTGCAGAGTTCTGTGCAATTGTCTTGTAAACTGAGCAGCTCACAAACTGGAGGAGACACATCTGTGACCTGGAAATGTAGAACAAATACTGAAGTTCATGATATCATACTATGAGATGGGGGACAAGACCCAGATTTTTCTATTGATAACATAGTATTTTCATTTTCAGGAATATTCCAGAAGTAAATTCACATGTTGAACCATATCATTCCTATTAGTGAGTACACCCAAGAACTTCTAGATGTTTAAAAATATTAATTTCATCTGCCCCTGCATCTATATTAAATATTATGGGCCTATAGAATGTTATAACGTAATCTGAAACCCAGCTAACAATTGTGCTAGATGTCAGGTCTTCTGCATTGTTTGAGCATATATTGTAGTTAGTAGTTACCTCTTTCAGGACAGTGGCAGTTAACACAACATAGTTGATGTCTCCATCTGGTGCTTGAGCCTCTATTGTCAGTGTGACTTCAGTACCAGACTCTGCATTCGTGGGAACTGAAAGTTGCAGTGTGCCAACAGCGCTGCTGCCGCTCTCCACCTCCAGAGTCCCAGGAAAAGACACACTGAAGCTTTGGTCGTTCGTGACTCTAATTCTAAAAGTTCCTCCTGAACCATTGGTGGAGACAGTAAAGTTCACAGACAGTATAGCACCTGGTTCAATGACGTCATTTTCTTCACTCTTAAAAAGAAGAAATTATGTTAAAATAACTTCATTGGCCATTTATAATTTATTACCATTTTAGCCCACAATTGTTTATAACATCATTAAAACTTGCATTCTTATTTTAATAGATACTTACAATAGTGATTAAAACAGACGAGGCTCTGGTGTTGGTAGTGGACTGTCGTTGGAAAGTCAGTGGGTGCACTGATCTGGTTGAACTTTTGCCATTCTGCCCCTTTACAACCACAGTAAACTCCTGGTAGGGGATTGTCTCAAACTGGACTAAGTATTCTCCATTGCCCTGACTAGTGACTGTGCCTTTCTCTTGTCCAGACCCGGATGAGTAAACAAGATCCACTTCTGTCACATTGGCTGTGTCACTCCCAAGTAGTGTTACTGTCATTGTGCCATTAGCTCCTACTCCAAAAGTTAAAAACATGCATTACTCTATTTGTATTCATCACATTCAGCAGCTACTTCTTTACCTGCTTTTGGACGATCTTCAATCGCAGTGTATCCCTCAAAAGGGCCTTCTGTTGGCTGCATAAAGCTGAAGAAAAAGTCAATGGGAGTCTTGGCTAAAATAAAACAAAATAAATATTACATAGTTAACAGCAGCATGCAAATAACTCTGTAGTGTACTGGGACTTGATACTGCTTGATTGGCCAGTGGGTCCTGAGAAAGTTATCAGACAGTAATTATTATGCAGTATGGGGAAAAAAAAAAAAAGATTTAGATATTGGTAATGTAAACCAAATATTGTATATGGCCTGGCACCAAAAAAAAAAAAAAAAAAGTATAAATTATACATAATAATGAGCAATGCCCAGGCCTGTATAACATTTACAATCATGTCCACAGTCATGTCTGTGTCCTACCTGTGATCTTCAGAGAGTAGGGGTTTGTTGAACCCATCCTAATTTCCCATGATCCCACTTCTATTTTCAACATTAAAGCTTGGAGGTTTCCAACAGCCACTGTTGAAGTGATGAGTGATCCATTTGTGGCAGTGCCCTCCTGAACCACACCTGAGAGCACAGAGGCCAAAAAGTGGTTTAGTGGGCATTCAAGTAGTGCTTGTTGTGTGGTAGTTTGTATTAATGCAAATACCCATTTATGTATTGACTTTTCTGTGTAACATTTTTTGTGTAGTATTCAAAGGGGCTCTGAGGTCATGTTTGGCCAATTGTGACATAAGTAAGTACAAGAAACACTAGGTTTAAAGGAGTGGGAGATGTTTGAGAAACTATTGATCACTGAGGAAAATAATTGCCCCCAGTCATGAACATCCACATTGAACTTCCTTTTTAATGAAAGTAGAAGTCACCTGTGGGGCTGATGAGAGTGAAGTCCTTGTTTGTCCCAGTTATGTAGATGGTGAGGTTTGTTACTGTGTCATCCACTGTGAAAGTGAAGTTTTCTAACTTTCCTGGGTTCCTGACGACCTGCAGAAGGGTCACCTTGGGGAGTGGACAATATTTTAATATCTTTTTAAAATTTGTGTCAATTATTGGGAAAAATTATATATATATATATATATATAATATATATATATATATATATATATATATATATATATATATATATATATATATATACCATACCACATTTGAGGTTGAAGTCTCCAAAACAGCATTGATAGCCTCCAGGAGCTGATTTTTTGTCACTTCCACAGCCTGGCCTCCTGAAGCAGCAGCCAGGTCCTTGTACACTTGACTTTCTGTAACTGCCAGTCGAGCAGCTCTCTGCTGCAGATTTCCATTGTTTGATCTACGCTGACGTAAACTTGAGAGAAAGTAGTTACCAAAAAGGTAATCAGCAAAGTAGTGTACATGTTTATTAGTATTAGTATGCTTAAAGTATTTTTGTTTTGAATATCATTTTGAATGCACTGTAATCGGTTGGTTTCCTTGGTTGGTATTAAATCACACTGTACTGTATTGTAACTGAATACTGGATTATCATTACTTCACCTCCCCAGATGGTTTTCAAATTAAAAAAATGTTGTATTTTCTTACTGTCTTACTCCTCCTGAAGCAAAAGCCAGGTCCTTGTACACTACACCTCTTTCCTGCTGATTCCCACTGTTTGATCTACGTCGACGTAAACTTGAGAAACTAGTTATCATAAAATTGACCTGAAAACAGCGATTGTTTATTTTTGACATCCATTACATTTTTAACAAACCTGAGCTAAAACACCTACCACAGAGCCTGTCCTTTCTATCAGTGCAGTCACTGTACTTTTCAGGTGAGAGTCTTTTGCTGCAGCATCAGTGAAGAGGTAAATCTCAGAGTCAAAGGGGGCACCTGTTAGAGCTAGCTGTACACAAAAGAGAAATAATTAATTAGTTAAAATTTTGTTGTATTTGTTTTATTGTAAATCACTTTAATATGTGAGGTATCAAAGAAACTAGACATCACCTGCAATCCAGAAAGAGACATTTCAGGTGCATCTCCACCACCGCTCGGAGTCAGTGCATTAATGGCATTTTTGAATTCATTTGCATCTGTAGTTCTTATAAGTGGACCAAAATCTAAAACCACAAAATAACAAAGAAAGAATGTCTGTGTAATCCAGGGGTCTCCAAACCTTTTTCCTCTGGTGACCTTAACAAAACAAAAATGCCAAATAGCTACTTATTTTAGCTGTTGCAAGAATCAGTCTTGGAACAGAATGCCTATAAAATATAAACCATTATCCATTTCTTAGTACACAAAACTGGGCATCAAAATGATAGATTTGGAATGGTAAATAATCAAATTTTACTTATTCATCCCAATACACATAATTCAGATTTCCCTTGGCGAGCTACTTGGAATGGGCTGGAGAGCTACTGGTAGCTCCTGAGCTATAGTTTGGAGACGCCTGGTGTAATCCTTCGGTTGTCCAGGGAGGGTGAGTGGCAAAAAAGGTTGAACTGGTTGTCAACTAGACACAACTCTTTAGAGTGATTTGGCCACTCAACTTACGATGGTTACTTATTTACAGTGAGAGTTACTTGCTCTCACTGTAAGTAAATAACCATTGTAAGTAAGGGCAAGGTGATGCAGGGTCATGATTTAGGAAAATATGACTCAGGTGACAGTTTTCAACTTTGCATACCTCAACAACATTATACTCTCTGTGAATAATTGATATGTGTGTTAGTTTCATTGTGGTTAGTTCGTTCATTCAGAGAGATTTAAGTGCTGCGTCAGAACTGAATAAGCCAGAGGTAAAAATAGATATAGATTTGAATGGTAAAACATATTCACTCTTAAGACTTTGTTTCAGGTGAAATAATTTAACCTTTTTTGTCTTAATATTAAGGATAATGATTGGTGGTTGCTTGTACTTTTACTGCTTATATTGCTTAAAAAAAAACAAGTCAGTAAAATTTACCTGGGTCATTAAAAGGCACGAGAATATAAAATGAAGGCTCATTCTTTGTTCCAACTCTTTTGTTTATTATTTCTGAAGTTACTTCTTTCACTGCTGCAATATCATCACCCATACTTCCCGTTGTGTCAATCACAAAACATAAAGCTTTTCCAGGGATGACTCCCCAACATTCTGTGGACAGAGGAACAAATAACACAGAAAAAAAAAAAAAAGAATATCATGAAAAAGTTAAATATTATATTATATCAACTCACGGCACATAGAAAGCTTCATGTGCCATGAGTCTATATAATATATGGGTACTTTCTGAAATAAGTATACTATCTTCTTTAATGCAAAGATGTTAGATGTTTTTAGATTTATATTTTGTGAGTTCTGTATACAATCATACTTAATTTAGTAGATAATGTACCGTAAAAACTCTTTGTCCCCTGCTGCATTGCGCACATCATCCAACAGCTCAGATGTGGCTGCTACAGCGACCATAGCAGCCTGATTGTGCAGGTGTCCATGACTCGAAGTTAAAGTGTCCTTGTTTATTCCACCTTTGGGTGTCATCAGTGCTGATACGTCTGGAAAATCACCATGACTGCATTTTCCTGTGAGTAACAAAATTTATAACTTTTTGTTATTGTTAAATAATAACCATAATAACCATAATTATTACCATATCATCATTATCATATTCACCAAAAATATCCAGCTCATTCACCAGGAGCTAACCCCCTCTTCTGCTCCATCGGCCTCTACATCTCCTGTCACTTCCAACCCCTTTCCATCATTTACCTGCCTTCTGTCAAGCAAATCTCTACTCTTGCCAGCTTGACCCACTCCCCACAGCCAGTGTCAAACCACCCTTCCATTTCTGGCTCCTTTCATCACCTATAAAATCCATGCCCCCTCCCTCACCTCTGGAACTATTCCCACTCCCCTCAAAGCTGCCTCTGTCACTTCCATTCTCAAAAAAAACTCCACACCCCCACCCTCCTCACTTATCAATTGTCTGGATCAAGATAAATCCTGGGTCACCTCAAACTTCCTCAAACTCAACAGTAATAAAACCAAACTTCTCCTTGTAGGCACCAAATTCACCCTAAGCAAGACTGATCCTCTCTCCATTTCCATTGACTGCACCTCCATCTTTCTCTCCCCTGAGGTTAAGAGTTCCGGTATCATCCTCTGTCCTTCCCTCACTCCCTTTCTTATTTATTTATTTGTAAAGGGACAGTACATATTAATGAACATTAAAAATGTAAATATGTAAAGATTATAGCCAGCGTGGCTAATTTCTTATTTGCTTCAGTCCCTTTGCAGGCTGATGTGAAATCATCTACAGGACAGGGAAAAGTAAAAAAAAAAAAAAAAAAAAAAAAAAAGGACAGGGGAAAGTACAACACCAATCACAGAAAAGTACATAAAACCAGCACACTCACTACACATACAAATTAATTTCAAACAGTTCATTTGAAGTTCAAAGTCAAGAGTTTAAGAATTAAACCAATGACCCCTCAGTATAAAATAATTATTTAGTTAAATATGGTGACATATTTGGCCATTGAACAACCACTGTTTTAAAGCTTTAGAAATGTTGCCATTGTTGAAAGTTCTCGTATATGAGCAGGCACTGTGTTCCATGTTTGACCTGCTTGATAAACAAAAGAAAGCTGTCCAAAAGTACTTTTCCTAAATGGCACAGAGCAGTCGCCTCTAGAGCTGCTCTTGCTGTGAGATTTGAATTTCTTTTCACAAACTCCTTTAGAAGAGGTGGAGCAAGATTATTATAAACTTCATATACCAAAATTAAATCTGAATATTTGATTGTGTTGTCCCAATTTCGAAATTTGTATTTGTCAAGTATTCTGCAATAGTGATCATTTGTGGGCTTTTTGTCTAATACCTTAAATGCTTTTTTATAGATAGTTTCAGCTTTTGCTTGTCAGAGTCCAACTAGTAATGCAATAATTTAGGTGTGGCACAATCATTGAATTTAAATTCATAATTGCCGAGTTTGACATTAGATTATTTCTTATATGATGAAAATTTTATAAATTAGATTTGATTTTATTCACTGTTCCTTTGACATGTTGTTTGAATGAAAATTGTGGGTCCAATGTGACCCCCAGACACTTCACTTCCAGTTTCAATTTTGTGGTCGGAAAGGCCCAGGTTGCATCCGGGGAAGAGGCTGCGCTTGAATATCCAGGTAATGCTGTGATGGCCAAGTTGGTTTTAATAAGTACTCAGGTTCGGTTGGATGTGCTGAGGAGAATAGGTCCAGCCATCTTGCACCTACGGCACAGCCTTGTCACCTCTGGCCTGGATTACTGCAATTGCCTTCTGTTTGGTCTTCTTCAAAACACTCTCTACAAACTTCAGTTGATCCAAAACACAGCTTCCCTCATCATCACACACACACCCTCCTTTAGCCACATCACACTCATCCTACAACAGCTCCACTTCCTCCTCATCACACATCACATTCAATACAAAATCCTGCTCCTCACATTCAAAGCCCTCCACAACCTCGCAACTCTATATCTCTCTGAGCTCCTCCACATTGCCACACCCTCCACTCCTTCTCCTCTCTCCAGTTCTTTGTTCCCTCTGCCCATCTTGTCACCATGGGGAGCAGAGCCTTTAGTCGCCCCTCTTCTCAGCTCTAGAACACTCTACTTCCTGATCTATGCAACGGTGACTCACTTCAATATTATTATTATTATTATTATTATTATTATTATTATTATTATTATTATTGGGACAGTAGGGAAAAAAAGGTATTTACTTCTTCCCACTCAATTTTGGACATAAACAAAATTAACTTTTTGTGGTATACATATATACATATGCATTTTTTTGTAGGCATGATTTATGTGTGACTGTCTGAATAAATATTCATTAATTAAATTGTAATCATAAAAATCATAATTACAATCATAGTTCTAAAAAATAATTTGATAAAAACATTCTTAACTTAATCTTTAAAGATAATGTTTGCTTACCTGGTGGCTTGCTTCTGAATGGATTAAGGAAGAAAAACCCTGATGTCAGGACTTTCTCTTCAAGGATATCTTCTAAAATATTGTTGGTGCAATCATTTCCAACACAGTCACGACAGGTTGCCCTTGTTTTGTCTTAAGAAGAACGTCAAAATAAAAGCTAGTTATAGGTTAGAATTTTTTTGTTCTTCTTTTCTTTTTACTTTACCTGCTATTTTGCCAATGCTATCCAGTTTCCTGATCACATTAGAATTTGGCCTGTCATTTCCAATTTCAATCCAGTTGCTGTGACTGTAGAAATCCTAAATAATTGAATGATTTTACATGTTATGTTATGGTTTATTTTGGAGGCAACACAATTTGAAAACCACACCATCACCTGTAAAGTATGTGATATTTCTCCAAGTTTAAATCTTGCAGACAGCATATTATCTTTCTTGATGCTGGCCTTTACAGCGTCTAATCCATCTGTGATTAGTTTTTTTCCTTCAATAAAATTTTCTTCATCAAAATGTCGCTTTGAGGATAGTACATATAAATCCACTGCTGCATTTCTGGATTTAATGATAAATATGTTTCTGCCATAAGCCCTTCCTGCTTCACGTGCTGCACATGCTTCAAGTACGCTTTCTGTGGTGAACGATGTCTGTAACAAAACATGTATTTGAGCTCATTTTATCATGGGTTTATACAGTTAATATGGAGATCGTACAGGAAAAGTGAAGCCCCGGCCCTCAGCTTCAGCCACAGCGCGACAGGCATGTGTAGTGACATTTAGGATGGCTCTCTGTGTGATCTCCTGATGACTCCATGATTTTCCACTCCCCAGGATTTTAAAACCAGGCGCTCCAGGGAGCAGGGAGATGAGCGCCAGTAAACACAAACCAGACATATTTTCACTTCGTTTTCATTTCATTTTCACTTAGCACTATGACTTCGGAGATTCTGTCAAAATATCACCAGATTGTTAGAAGCATGCAATAATATTATGTGGTTATAAGATTATTAAAATGATAAGTAAACAGCTAAATATTGTACATGTGTAAGTACTCTTAACACACCCATTATTATGGTGTGCAAGTGAACAAGATCACTGGATTTACATAATAGTTGTCCTTTCAGTTCAGTATAAAAATAATTAAATGTTGCATGATTGATAAATTTTGCATTTAGTCATCAAATAGGTATAATGGTAAGTAATTACTAAATTAATTCATAATTACAGTCTGCTAGGCTACTTTCCATTTACAAATAATCTGGCAGGTTGATGTAACTGTTACAACAACCTGCCATTACATTGTAACAGAACAAAATAAACAAATATTATATACACAAGTTAAATAAATGAGAATAAAGAACTGGTACTTACAACAACTGCAGATGTCTAAAACCGAATGATAGAGTCAGCACAAATATATACATCTGCTACAAAGTGTTGTTATGACAACCCACTGGTCAGACCTGTTGAACAGTTACGGTAAATTCTGTCAAAAGTCTGCCCTCATTCAAGTGTCCTTTTGTGATAAGTGTTCCCGTATGCTCATGTGATTAGATATTTTAGATATTTTTGTAAAATGAAGACAAGTTATTACATTGTCTCCTGAATGATATAAAAAGCTTAGTACGTTTACTGCATGATACAACCTTTTTAATTTACAAACTCACATTTATTCTAAATGTAAAAATATTTTGAATGTCATTTTGAATTCACTGTAATCAGTTGGTTTCCTGGGTTGGTATTAAATCACACTATACTGTATTGTAACTGAATACTGGATAATCATTACTTCGTCTCCCAGGATGGTTTTCAAATTAAACAAATGTTGAATTGTCTTACTATGCCCATCCTCAGCAATTGTAGTAACATAAAGACCGTTGCTCCCCTCCCCAATAATCTCAGATGACATTAACTAGAACCCTGTTGCTATACAGTCAAATGCAGGTCAAACTTATAAATGCACCCAAAAACTAAAATCATTCCAGTCAAACCAAAAACTTTTCTAAATTTGTTGACAGGAAATGTTAGTCACTTGTTCAATGTGTAATAGAAGGTCAAACATTTACCAGGTGTACTGTTTCTTTCTCTTTGCATTAGTGGTGAATATTGTTTTTTTTTACATTTGAGCTTTTGAGTGTCAAAATTATTGTTTATCATATATTTTCTGTAGCAATGCAAAAGAAGAATTGAATTGATTTTATACTTTTTAGCAATTACCGGTAAACTAAAATGCCATTTCAAAACCTGTCATGCATACACAAATGATAAATCATGACCAACACAGACCTTTTCATTGTTCACTGACTTAATGAGGTTAATGTGAAAGTATTTGCTTGCTTTCGTTTGATGGAACAATGGAATACATTCAACCCAGTCAAATCCACTTTATTTATATTGCACATTTTATAAAGATGACAGTTTCCAAAGTGCCGTACAGACAAATGAATACAATAATAATAAATGAATCATATTTAACCCTTGTATTGTGTTAGAAAGATACACGCGTCTTTAGTGTTACCGGGTCAAATTTGACCCGTGATTTAACTCAGCCTGAAAATACTTAAAAACACTAGATATCATCCAATATTGTTTTTCCCCTCATAACTAACTTAGTATGTGTTCATGTCCATGGAAACATTTTTTATTTTTTTTTTTATTTTTTGGCTGCACAGACCTTTTATCTTAAAATATACCACTCGTTTTTGATTACAAAAACTGCTTAAATTCACTAATTATATTTCCTATAGTGATAAAATTTGTAATTATATTATATAATTATACTATAATCATAATAATTTTATATATAATACATATAATATAAATCTAATTTATATAAGTATAATTATATTGGGTGTCAAGAGGCTTGGTGACCATGAACTGTCACTTTTTCTTGACTTGAAGACGTCTCTTTCAGTCTTTGTGACATCTGGGTTCTCCTCACCACATGTGTGCTCTTGTTCAGGGTCATACTGAACCTCATCCTCATCCACAGACGTATATATGAATGGACATAACTAACGCTGTAGCCACCGTGTTCCAAATAGAAAGTTCTCCAGGAGGCTCTTCCGGCTCCTTCTGACTCTGGCTCCAATTGACTTATGTTAGGATCTTGTCGTCCTTCTCTCTGTACCTGCTGCTGTGAACCTCGTCATTTTGGTCTTAAAATATACGTATTAACCTGCGACACATGATCCTGATTTTTTTTTTTTTTGGCTGTTTTGTCCGTCCAAAAAATCCTATTCATAACATATAACCTGACTCTAGATTCACTCCTGTAACCGTGAGCTTCATTTGAGCAGCTCCAAACGCTGTGGGTGACGTCACACTCACTTAGTCCACTTCTTTTATTGTCTGTGCCCTCATCCTCATCCTCAGATACATCTTCCTCAGCTTCACTTTCCTCTCTGTCTTCAGAATCACTGTCATGACCAAAAATCTGATCCAGCGCCTCATAAACAGTGAACCTGCTCATGTTGACTGATGCTGCAACAGATACAGCTGATAATATCTCACTAAAACCCTGTTTATATATGACAATGTTTATTTTAGATTCAAAATGTATCAATGTGCTGCAAAAAAGAGAAGAGTTCACGTGGGTGAAGACGACCTTTTTTTGTGTGTGTGTGTGTGTGTGTGTGTGTATGTGTGTGTGTGTGATGTGTGTGTGTGTGCGTGTGTGTGTGTATGTGTGTGTGTGTGTGTGTGTGTGTGTGTGTGTGTGTGTGTGTGTGTGTGGGACACACTGAGCCATATTTGGTCCACAGAGCAGCCTACAGCTTGTAAGTGATGCATAAAACAGCCACTATTCTCTGCCGGGTCATTTTTGACCCGTAACACCACAGATGTCACTTTTTTTTTCCAGACCTTTACAATTTACTAAAATGGTGAAAATTGATTTTGTTGCATTAAAATACTTGTGTCTGAGGATTAGATGAAGCCTCATTCCGGTACAAAAAAGCAAATGGCAGTTTTTACATACCTAAACTTGAAAACGGGTCAATTTTGACCCTAACACAATATAAGGGTTAAATGCAATAAATAAAAACTGTTAAAATGCATGAAGATAAAAATGATAAAACAATGAATAAAATCAAACAAATAAATTAAAGCTACAGAGGACCACACAACTCATGTGGTGTTAAAAGCCAGAGAGTAAATGTGGGTCTTAAAACGAGATTTAAACACTGCAGTGTGGGGGCTGTTCGAACGTGGAGGGGCGGAGTGTTCCAGAGCTTAGGGCCAACCACAGAGAAGGCCCTGTCCCCCCTGGTTTTATGTCTCTTCTTAGGCACAAAGAGCTGGAGCTGGCCCTTAGACCTCAGAGAGCGCACGGGGGAGTAAATCTGGATAAGGTCCGAGATGTGTTGTGGGATCAGTCCATTCAAGGATTTTAAAAACAGACAATACAATCTTAAAATCATTTCTAAATTGACCAGGAAGCCAGTACAAAGACACAACAATTGGTGTGATAGGTTCTTGTTTTTTTGTAATTTACTACTATTTGTCCAGTTTAGAGAAATGTGAGCCTAATTTGTTCTTTCAATTTCTGTCCCAGAATTGATAGAAAATCAGTTTATTTAAAAGATGTGTGATATATGGCATCAAATAAGCAGCAATACATATTTTTATGAACAATGGTGTAAACAAGCAGTCTCACAAGAAAAGTATAGTACAATTTCCTTCACAGTGTCAGAAAGCTTAGCGTCTTAGTCTTAGTTGGACACTTCCCAAGAAGGCTGATGATCAAACAGAGAAGAAAACACTGAACAAGCTTCTGAGACATAGAAGCTGATGAGATGGGACTTGTAGTTGTAGGTTTTTGTGTGGTAGGAGTTGCCTCTGTAGTTGTAGGTTTTTGTGTGGTAGGAGTTGTGTAGTTGTAGTTGTAGGTTTTTGTGTGGTAGGAGTTGTGTAGTTGTAGTTGTAGGTTTTTGTGTGGTAGGAGTTGCCTCTGTAGTTGTAGGTTTTTGTGTGATAAGAGTTGCCTCTGTAGTTGTAGGTTTTTGTGTGGTAGGAGTTGTGTAGTTGTAGTTGTAGGTTTTTGTGTGGATACAAATAGTGGACACACTCAAAAATTTGAAAAACAACTACAGTCCTGGAACTGACGGATTCCCAGGGGAATTCTATACATGTTTTATAGAGGAGATTGCACCATTACAAAAAAAAGAGTATTCAATTATGTTTTAGAATCGGGAAATGTACCAATATCATGGTCGGAAGCTCTCATCTCCATCTTGCACAAGGAGGGCAAAGATCCTGTGTTATGTGATGGTTATCGTCCTGTCAGTTTACTGTGTAATGATTAAAAAATATTAACAAGTATAATGGCAAATGGCGCTCACAATATCAGACGAACACTAAATCTTTTTTCATGTGCTAAGATGAGTTCAAAGACAAATATATTACTAAGTTTAGATGCACAAAAAGGATTTGACTGTGTAAAATGGAAATATTTATATCATGTGTTGTCAGTGCTTGGATTCCACCCAGTGTTTATAAACTGGGTTAAACTTATTTACGATGATCCAAAATCTAGAACTAGAGTGAATGGATGTTGCTCCAACTTTTTCTCTTTGAAAAGAGGTGTAAGGCAGGGCGAATGCTTAAGTCCACTATTATTTGCTTTAAGTATAGAACCTTTAGCTGAATATATTAGACAAAATCCAAATATTAAGGGAATTTGGGATGAAGGGGGAGTAGAATCAAAAATTTCACTTTTTGCTGATGATATCTCATGTATATAAGTGACCCAGCTATAACACTACCAACATTGAATAACATTCTGATTGAATATGGGGAACTTTCCGGTTATGTAATTAATGAATCTAAGTCAGTAACTATGAGTGTATCAGGTATATGTCCCTCTGAAACAAAAGAGAAGGTTAAATTCAAATGGACTGATGAAGGCTTTAAATATTTGGGCATTAATATTCCCAAGAACACGTCACATCTTTTTAAAGCTAATTATGAGAAAGTTATAAAAGAAAGAGGTGCAGATTTGAAACGTTGGGAAATCCTCCCGTTGACATTAATGGGTCAAATAGAAGTAATTAGAATTTATGTTTTGCCCACATTTTTGTTTTTGTTCCAATCCCAACCCATTCTGCTCTCTAAAGAAACGTTCGCAAAAATAGATAAACTCATATCACATTTTTTATGGAGAAATCAAAAACTAAGAATTTGGTACAAGCTACTTCAGAGCTGTAAAGAAAAGGGTGGCCTAAACTTGCCCAATATTAAAAAATACTATTGGGCATCACAACTAAGACCCCTAAAAATATGGACTGATAAGGATGATGAGACAGGATGGAGGGAAATAGAACAAAATTCATGACCAAAGGTTCCTCTAGAATCTTTACAATTTCTTACAAAGAAATTACTAAAGGATTTAAAAATAAAAAATTAATGGGTTAAAGGAACATTAAGAATATGGACTATAGTAAAAAGAAAATGAAATATGTCAGATTCAATCTGTAGAACCACTAAAATCGGTTTAAACCCAGACTTTACACCATCAATGGAAGGGGTATTTTGTAAATGGAAAAAGAAGGGACTGGAATATATCGGACATCTTTTCGAAGGGGAACACATGAAATCTTTTGAACAGTTAAAAAAGGAATTTGGTTTAAAAGTACAAGACTTCTATACATTTTTACAAATCATAAATCTTATGAAGCATAAGGATTGGAAGTATATTTGTAATGAACCTAATTATCTAGAAGAATTATTAATGACAAGTACATGTAACACTAAAAAACTCATTTCAAAAATATATAAAGCCCTACAGATTGACTCAGATGACAACAATATGGGCATTAAAGACAAATGGGAAAAGGAAAGAAATTTTACAATATTAGAGGAAAACTGGGAGAAATCATTTACAGATGGACATACAATGTTAAACAGTAGTTCATGGAGAGAGTTTGAATGGAAATCCAAGATGCAATATTTTATTGTCTCAACAAAGGTAACAAAATATAGTACAAAATCTGACAAATGCTGGAGGGGTTGTGGTCAGACAGGAGACTACACACACATATTATGGGACTGTCCCTTAAAGGTTGTATAGAGGATTTTCCAAGGAACGAGAAATCCAGCGACTTTGTCCTTTTTCAAATGTTGCGCATGCGTGAAACCACCCCCCCTCCCCTACAGCTCCCTACGTAGAAACGCCTCCTCCTGCCTCCTCGTTACGCCAGAAACAGGTTTGTTTACAGCCGGTGCGCTGCACATGACTTGTAAACAACTAACTACAGTGTTGGTTAGGCAAGGTGGAGAAGTGAGGAGCGGGGGGAAGAAAGCGGATCGGGCAGCGGGGAGAGGAGCAGAAAAGGGGAGCAGAGAGAAGGCTGCGCGGAGATTCAGTGCGAATGAACTAGCTACAACACGCAGCAGCAAGCGGACTCTTTCTTTGCCTTGAAAATTACGCTTTCAGACATAGGATATCGCTTTCGTGTCCTGAAAAACGTTTGACTAGCTCTTAGAAATAAAGTACGTTTTCATAATAAGCAGAAGTGACCTGTCCAGGAGTAATTTGTGGACCAATGCGTCAGTCTTTAGACCCTGCGTCTGCTTCAGTCGCGCCATCGCTGGAATGAATCTACAAGAATCACCTTAGTTTGGCTTCGCTGCTTTTCCCCTTGTCTTCTTCTTTCAGCGACCTCAAAAACGGACTTTCTTTTGCGGCTAAACTGCTCCTGGATTCTTGTCGCCATTGCAACAAACTTTGTGCTGAGAGGAAGATATAGGTCAAAAAAGCCGCTAAGAACCGTTGCGTTGGTGGAGTAAACAGCGTCTGTGCGGCTTGCGTCTGTGGACTGCGTGACAGGCGTACGTAAACCACGTAACCGGCAGGCGCGCAGGCAAGTCAGTTACGCTAGAAACGTAGGGAGATTGATTGACAGCCTGTCAGCTCACAGATAACGAGGCAGTGTCGTTATCTATTGGCAAATGTTTAGCCCCACCACGTCCAGAGTTGATGAATTTTTATTCTCTTTTTTTTGGTCATCATAATTACAAGGCTACTGCATCTCTATAATGCTATCATTGACAATTTGAAACAAAAAAAAAAATCCTCCATACAACCTTTAATCAGAGACTATTGGATCAATGTAAAAAAGAACATTGAAAGTATTTGTAAGGAAAAAATAAATTTAGATTAGTTATTTAAATTGAATATTGTACCAACCAGTATGTCTTCAAAAAATAGGAAAATTATTTTAATATTAAGTACATTAGCAAAAAAATAATAATAATTATAACGGTGTCCTGGCTAAAACCACAACCTCCTACTAAAGAAAACTGGTGGGAAAGGATTAAAGATGTGATGGAAATGGAAAGAGTAACAGCAAGGCTGCAATTTAATTGTAATACAAGAAACAAGATAATGTGTATCCTACATTTGGTGTGTGTATGGGTGTATGTGAGCGAGTGAATATGTATGAATGTGTATGTGTGTGTTTATTAATTCATAATTAATGTTATTTTTATTTATTTAGTTTGGTGAGGGGTCATTGCGGTGGCGGCAGTGGCGGCGGTGACGGCGGCAGCAGGGAAGACAAAATAAAAAAAATAAAAATAATAATAATAATAAAAAAAACAAATAAAAAAGATTCGCTTTTGTAGTTGTAGATTTTTGTGTGGGAGGAGTTGATTGTGTAGTTGTAGTTGTAGGTTTTTGTGTGGGAGGAGTTGATTGTGTAGTTGTAGTTGTAGGTTTTTGTGTGGGAGGAGTTGATTGTGTAGTTGTAGTTGTAGGTTTTTGTGTGGGAGGAGTTGATTGTGTAGTTGTAGTTGTAGGTTTTTGTGTGGGAGGAGTTGATTGTGTAGTTGTAGTTGTAGGTTTTTGTGTGGGAGGAGTTGATTGATTGTAGTTTAGTTGTAGGTTTTTGTGTGGGAGGAGTTGATTGTGTAGTTGTAGTTGTAGGTTTTTGTGTGGGAGGAGTTGATTGTGTAGTTGTAGTTGTAGGTTTTTGTGTGGGAGGAGTTGCTTGTGTAGTTGTAGTTGTAGGCCTTGTTGTCTTTGTTGTTGATTGCATAGTCGTTGATAGGGTAGGAGAAGTAGTTGTGGTCGTAGTACTCATTGAAGCATTGTACTTAAACTTCCCAACATTGCCCACACCATCCACAGCCAATATTTCAACCATAGGACTGCAGCAGGAGTCATTATAGGACACAACAGTTTCATTTCCAAGGGTTTCCCATCTCCTATTGCCTTCTTGTTCATAAATTGTTTCAATACGTGTGTTGTCAGTCACTCGAATTGAGTACTGGCAAATGGAACTGTTGACGTCTGGGCAATGTGGTTGAGGAGTGAGCAGCTCGAACTCAGGAGCCTGAATATCCATCACCTAAGAGAAGAATTAAGAGATTAAATTAAACCTTGGATTACATTCATACCATACTTCATACAACTGTACAACAACTCACCATTATGTAACAGACAACCCTATGAGCTGTTAAATGTCCATATCATCTTTGTACTGTTTTCCTTACAACCTCTTGCTGAGATATTTTTATTTCTCATTTCTATTTTATTTTATTTTTACTTGAACATATACATTTTTATAATCATTCCTAATTTGACACTAGTCTCTTGCTAGTTTTGCTACTTATTCAGAACTTATTATTGCAATTTATATTTTTTCCTCTTATTATAATATAACGTGTTGTGTGAACTTCTGTGTCTAAAGATACCTTCTATTAAAGATGCAATGGAACTACAGTGGACTAGTGATAGTGCTGTTGAACATTATGTAGCTAATAAATTAATGACAGTTAATTTCTACCAAAAAAGATACAAAGGTATGAAGTTATTTACATTTTTGATGACAGTATAAGTTGTCACTGCATAGTTGAATTCCAGGGCATCAGGAGCTACAGCCATCACAGTCTGTGTAACCTCAGTGGCAAACTCTGTGGTGTTGGGAATTATTGTTTGAACTGTGAAAGTAGCACTGCTCCCTTTTAACACCTTGATGGTAGGCGGGGAAATCATTTCAAAGTTTTGGGTATTTGTTGCACTGATGGTGAATTCTTCTTCTTTTTCCCCTTCTATTCGATGGTTTGAAATGGTGATATTTGCGACGTGAGTTGAGCCTGGTTCACTTACAGTGTCTTCTATACTCTATAAAGAACGAAGACAGCAGGTTTACATTCAATGTAGGTCTAAATTATGGTTTAATGGCTTTATTATTACTATGCTGCAAAGGAATATTTGTGCATTGAGTGAAAGTAGTCAAGTATATTAACTGTACTTACAGTGGTAACAGTGAAAAATGAGGCTTTGATGTTGACATTTGATTGCCGTTGGAAAATCCCTGAGGTGGATCTGGTCAGTCTAGAGCTAGAGCCTCTCTGCAGCTCCACTTGCACAGTAAACTCCTCAAATAGGAGTTCATCAAACTCAACTAAGTATTCATTATTTTCCTGTCCTGTAATGTTGCCTTTCACCTGTCCAGACCCAGATGACTTTACAAGATACACATCTTTCAGTGTTGTTGTGTCAGTCCCAAAGAGCACCACCATCAAGGTACCAGGGAGCACTATAGAAAAAGTAGTATGTTTGAGTGTGTATACATTTAAAATCAATTAATCATCACAAATTATTAGTGCATATTTAGTACATAGTGTAACAGTATTATAACCCGAAACCTAAATTGATTGTGTTTCTATTTTTCATCAAATTAGTATTAATACTTACTTGCTGATGGCTTGTGGATGTTGACTACATAGCCATCAGAGCGTACTTGTGATGGCTTCATAAAGCTAAAGAAGAAGTCATTTGAACTTTGAGCTTAAATGGAAAGAAAAGTAAACATCACAATCAAAATACATTTTGTAAAATATCCCCAAAGTCAATAAAACTCTTACCTGTGATCTTTAAGGTGTAAGGGTCTGAGGATGTTATCCTTATTTCCCACTGCCCCTCTTCAGTGCTCAACTTTAACTCCAAAAGGTTTCCCACCTGTGTTGTGGCCAGCGGTTCATTTAATGTTCCTAAAATATATCCATGATATTCATTCATCCAGGTAATTCAACACAGAAATAAGTGCTGTAGCAAACAATATGCTTTGCCTAACAAATTGTGATACCACCTACACTGCACATTAACCCATGAAATCCAACCTCCCTGAGCAACACCTGACCAGGCAAGTGCACAGACATTTTGAGGGGCAGATGCTCCACCAAAAAAAAAAAAAAAAAAAAGGCACTTTTCCATGTGGCTCAAAATGAACTTATCCAGTTTTTAAAGTAAACAAATCAGATTTTTTAGAAATAACTTTTAGGCATGACCCTGCTGATGTGTAGCAGCAAAACTTTGTGCATAGGTGTAAATGAGCTGAGGGAACAAGATGAATATTACAAAAAAGAGAGAGACCAAGCAAAAAAGGAACACCGCTGGGTCTCCTCCCCCCGAGAGATTTTTTATTAAATAAATCTAATTTCATGTAATCTGGGGTGTTTTAGGTGAGAAAATTCAATTTTTTTGTCTGATACAGAACAAAGGGCTCACTATTATAGCCAACTTCTCTCCAAAATTCAAAACGTATGTCATGAACTTCAGTTTTAGAAATACTGATCCACCTCCTGTGTCAGTGGTTCTGTGTGGAGCCCCAGCCCTCTGCTCCCTCCACGTTCTGTCCTGCTCTCCAGTGCACTGAGCGCACCCACTGTCTCTGAGCTGCAGCCTCACACTTGACTGTCGACAAACACTCCACACAAATTAACACAAAACTTTTGTCCACACACCTAGATCACGTGTTATGTTGCTTTTATGAGACAATTCAACAGATCTTTAAAAAGAAATGTGTCACGCTTTGCAGCGATAGATGGTGCTAATGAATCTACAGATGTATTATTATTTTTAACATTGTGAATATGAAGCAGATTGTAAAAAAATAAAAAGTGGCTAAAAGCTTAGATGGTGTAGAATGAACTAAACTGTTCTTTCAGTCTTTGATTTGGAGCTATGAGCTGTTTAAGGTGGACAGGTGGAGTCTGGAAGCTGGGACAGGACAGATCCACATGAGGAAGTGAGAGACAAAAGGAGAGAGAGAAAGAGAAACAGCAGAGGCTATTATGAAACTGAGTGTTTTAATAAACAAATTTAACACATCTGCTATCTTCATGGGGCAAATATTAAACCTAAAAATGTGCTGACCACGTGGCTGTTTAAGTCAAAGGAGCAGGTGCCTGGGCTCATGTGCACATTCTTGCACCTGACTGATTTTCTGTCTCTAGTGTATATTGAGCAAACCAGATTGCTAGTCAGGCTACATACAGGTATATACTTTAATTGAAAAGCGTTTTATTGAAGTAGCAGTTTACCAGAAGGGCTGATAAGTGTGAAGGTGTTTGTCCCAGTTATAGTAACACGGAGGTTGGTGTCGTTTTTTCCCACAGAGAAAGTGAAGTTTTCTGACTGGTTTCTGGTTGCTTGCAAAAGGGTCACCTAGAAGAGTAAACTGTAACAATTAAATGGGATAAAGGTGTTTTTGTTTGTTTTATGCTGTACATTTTCAGGCTATAATACCAAATTAGAGGAATGAGCATTTAAAAAGACTTGGATGACTGGATAAGAACTGTATTTTGACACTTTTACAAGTTGTCCTCCTGAAGCCTTAGCCACATCCGTGTAAATTGGTTCTTGTAGGTCTGTTTTACTTATTAAAAAATTTACCTGAAAGAAGATAAGACAGATATGAAACTGTTTATAACAATTTCAGTTACGCCTTTATTTCTTCATATTAAGGTGAAATTAAAAAGAGGCTTCTACTTACCACACACTGTTTTCTTTCTATTAGTGTGATTATTGAGTTTTTCAGCGTCTTATCTTTAGCAGTTGCATCAGTGAAGACATAAATCTCAGAGCCAAAAGGAACAGCATTGAGAGCCAGCTGCAGCATAGCAGTTTTAAATTGTGATTTTACTGTGTTGCAGAATGATACAAAAAAAATCACATTCTTAAATACCTGTAATCCTGATAGAGACAGTTCAGGCTCATCTCCACCACCAGATGCAGACAGTTTGTCAATAGCATTTTTAAATATCGATAGGTTTGGGGTCTTTATGACTGGTCCAAATTCTGATTCATAACAAAGTCACAAAGAATGTATCAAGTTTTAAAGACTTATTAACACTATTAAAAGTGAAATTACTTTACCTGGGTCATTAAAGGTGACAAGAACATAAACCGAAGGCTCGTTTGCAGTTCCCACGAGGTTGTTTATTATTGCCGACATAGAAAACTTGACTGCTTCAATGACAAATCCCATACTCCCTGTTGTGTCAATCACAAAACTTAAAGCTTTACCTGGGCTGACCCCCATCATCATACTGAGAGAAAGAAATTATCATAATTATTTATAAAGTATCATCTGACCCAAACAGTTGCATGTACTGAGCAAACTGTGTGGTATTCTACTCTAATGTATACTAAAAGGCTCAAGAGTTTTATTCAGTTTTCTTAGATATTTTGCACGGCGTACTGTTTCATACCGTAAAAAGTCTTTATGCCCAACTGCGGCAAGCACGTCATCCAGTAGCTCAGAGGTGGCGGCTGTTGCTACTTGTGCTGCTTTAATGTGCAGATGTCCATGGCTGGATTTCACACTGTCCTTGTTTATTCCACCTGTGGCATCGCTGTGCCTTGTATTGTCCTTACTATCTCCGTGGCTACATTTCCCTGTGAAAAGCATTTTGTAAAAAAATAATTCTACATATTTTTAAATAAAAATGCTATTAGGTGATATTTACTAAGCACTAGTATATGTAACTAGTACATAAGTTACCTGTTGGCTTGTTATTTAAGGGAAATGGGGAGAAGTAGGCAGAAGTCAAAAGGTTTTCCTTGAGAATATCTTCCAAAATGTTGTTGGTACAGTTTTCAGTGCAGTTACGGCAGGTTGGTCTGTTTTTGGCTAAAAAATTATAAAGTCATTTTCAGATGGTTTTCTAGAGGGGAGTTGTACTACTTAAGTGTCTTTTATAATTTTTGCTGCATACCTGCTGCAGTCTCCAATGTGGCATCTTTCTTAATCAAATTTTTGTTTGGCAAATCGTTGCCCATTTCTATCCAGTTGCTGTGACTATAGAAATCCTGTTAAGAGCCGTTAGTAGTCTGATTGTATCATATTCAAAATATCTATATTTAACTGATATAACAAATGTAACTGAAAATGAAATGTATTAGCCTGAAATAAATCTAACCTGTAAAGTGTGTAAAATTTCTCCAAGTTTAGATCTTGCTGCAGCATAGTTTCCTCTCTTGATGTTGGCTTTTACTGTGTACAATCCATCTGTAATCAGCTCCTTTCCTTTGTCAAAACTTTCATCGTCAAAATGGTGGCTTGCAGATAGGGCATAATCAACATTGACTAAAGCATTAAAACCCTTGATATAAAATTTATTTATGGCAAAGTTCCTGGCTGAACTTGTAGCTGCACATGCTTCAAGGAGAGACTCTGCTGTCAGTGTTGCCTGCAATTAAAAAAACAAAACAAAAAACAAAACCTTGGAATTGTTTCTACTTTACACGTTACAATGATTAAACAGTTAGATTGTTTACCGGAAATGTGAATTCCCTGCCCTCCTCCAGGGCCAGAGCATGGCAGGCCCGTGCGGTGACGTCTAAAATGGCCTGTTCAGTGATTTCCCAGTGACTCTTAGAATCACTGTCTTGATCCAGTTTGAATCCTCTAACTCCCGTTGTTATAAGCAACACACTCAATAACAACAGTCCAGACATCATGCTCCCACTTTTTTTCTGTGAAAACAATGGTAGACAGCCTATTCGTTATTATCTTCCTCAACCTAAAATAGTAGCATGATAAGAATGGAGCTAAAATAGTGTATAACACAAGTTTGAATCCTTTTTAAAGGAGGTTAGTCTCCAAAGCATGTCCACTAACCAGATACTAGTAGTGTTACATAATGTTGCAGAGTACACTGAAACATAGGATGGAGTATAAGGGTCATGTTAAAAAATATATTATTTTGCTGGCGTATTGAGAAAAAAGTCATAACATTTCTACATTATGTTACAATTTTATGAGAATAAAGTTATTATTATTATTTTTTTTTTATAATAAAGTCATAATTTTATGAGAATAAAGTTGTAATTGTACAAGAATGAAGTTGTAGTCATAGTAAAGATGTAACTTTATGAAGATCAACAGTTTGTAATTGATGCGTAGAAGCAGAGAGATGGCAGTTAAACAAAATTAAACTGAACGCAGACTGGAATAGACTGGCGCCGATTGCAGACCACATTTCTCATTTTGTTTGAATGACCAGCAATATAAAGTCCTACATCCATCGTACATAGGTTTTTATTTAAGCTTTTAAATCAAATAAGCCCTATTCTTTCATCAGCTTCCAATCCACTTTATTTCTATAACACATTTAATAAACAAAGACTGTTTCCAAAGTACTGCAGAAATGAGCAATCTAAAATTTAATACAATAAAAAGCATAAATAAAAACAATGGAGTAAAAACAAATGCATAAAACAGTAAAATATTACAGTAAATTTTACTCTGGTGGTGGCGAATTGCTCTTCTGCATTTTGTCATTCATGTCAGCGCCTAAATCTTGATAAAATCACGTCTTTACTTTGATTCCGACTTTATTCTTGTAAAATTAAAAGAGAACGACTTACCAAATGTAGCCATTATAAGATAAACTAACTTAGTTAGTTGTTTTTTTAGTCTTAGCCTTATTGTGTTGTTCCTTAGATAAACGCAATAAGAGAATACACTGTTCCTTTAATTTTTGTGAACTATACCACTGCAAAATTCAAAATAACCACTTTAATGCAGTGTTAATTCTATGTATACTGTGGTCCAAGGCAAGAAAAGTGATGTAAAGAAGACTTTTTTACCATAGTGTTATCTGAAAATGATGGAGGCTTTTGAGCATTTTCACTTAGATTTTACTCTTCCTTGAATTTGCATAAGATAATTTAAAAGTTTTAAATATTCTAAAAACATTCCAATGTAATAGCTATGACCATATCAATTAAATAATAATAATTAAAAAAACCAAACAAACTAACTAATAGCTACTTACTTTGGCTGGTGATGGCTGTTAGAATGATTCTATTGTTCACCTCAATTTGGGTCTAAACTGGGTGATGTCATAAGAGACTGGTTAAACTTGTTGAACAATTCAGTGGAAAAACATTGATATATAAAAAGAAAGAAACAAATAAGGGTGAGCACATACCATTCATTGCATTTGATTTTACAATCAGTGTTCACGAGTCCACACATTCACACATTATACGTCAAACTGAGAGATAAGCTGTTTGTAGGAAGTAGGAGCATGGTTAAATCTAAATGTTTTATATCTATTGTTTTCTCAAATTGGTCAGACAGTCAAAACAGATTGGGATTAAATACCTTAATGTATGATGTCATGTTATCTTGTGGTGCATCATTAAATAACATTTGGCTGCTGGTGGCTTTATGAAACTCTCAGGCAAACTGAAACTCAACTAACCATGGCAACCAAATGTATTATACTACTAAACACAAAAATATCTGTTAAAATTTGGATATACAGCACCTTTAATGCCTTCATTTCATCCCATACATACAATATTATGAATCAATATTATGTTTTTAATAATACAAGAAACATTAAGAAAATCTAATGTTAGTCCTACTAATGAGTAAAACTGGTAGACAGGAGAGGCCATGTGATTTATCTGTGGCAAAATTCATTACACTTAAAACAATAGCAATAGTTTGTAGCATGGGATAGAGAAATGCACACACCGAGGTCAAAGACTAGAGTTACTCTACGTAGTGTTTACTCAGATTCTGAACTTGTAGTAAATGATTTATTAAACAGACATTGTGAGATATCTTAATGTTGCCTCTTGATCTGGTGGATTTAAACATGACTTTGTTTTTGTGGGAGTGTCTGTTCTGCCTTCTGCCCTCTCTGTTGCTCTTAGGGCTGTTGGTTTTTGGGCGTCGGAGTTCTGTCAGTGCTTGGACGGGACGGACACTTGAAGCCGTGGGGTGGACTCTGTGGAGGGGATTCTGTCTGATCCTACACTTACCCTTGGACAAAGCCTCTCCTGTAAGTGTCTGCACTAAGACCCAGTTCATGTGTAAACCTAGTACTCTGGCCCAGTACCTGCTGCGTCACTGCACCGTTTTGTCCAGGACCACACTTGCCTCGTGGCCCAAAGGAGACCCCCACCTCCAGACTGTCCAGGCCCTGCTGTGTGGAGCACATGCACTAGGGCTACAATTTACTCGGGACCACTTGTTACTAAAAGATGGGGGCATAGTCGCTCTGGACTGGGCCATAGGGTCAGGAGTCAGTGATTCTGGTGTTAGGAGGAGTCCCTCGCCAGTCCTGCTGCTGCTCCCAGAACACTGGGGAGGTCTGAGTCCTCACCTAAAGTCCCTATGCCTTTCTGCCACTGCTCAGGGCTTTTATGTGGTGGTCTTTCACCATCGTGGGACAGCAGGCTGCCCACTGACCACCACCAGGCTCTCAGAGTTTGGAGACCCAGCTGACCTAGAGCAGGTACTGCTTCAACTTTAAAACTGGACTGTAATTGTTTTAGCATCACTCTGGTTTGCCATTTTTTCTTTCTTTTTTTTTTTTTTTTTTTTTTTTTTTTTTACCAAAATGGTTATTTGGTTTTGACTCATGTCATGACATGTGTCTCTGTGTATCTTGGCTGTCATGTGCCCTCTCTTCCAGGCGGTGGCATACATTCACAGTCGTTACCCATCCTCTGTGCTGTTGGCAGTCAGTGAGGGCTCTGGCTCTGGGACTCTTCTGTCATATTTAGGAGAGAGAGGCTCCAGTTCGCGCCTAACTGCTGCTGCTGCCATCTCTCCTGTCCTTCTTGGACAGGTGTGGTTTGAGACTGCCTTTCCCCCTCTGTACCACTGGGGGATGCTGTATCACCGCAAACAGCAGCTTCGCAGGTGATTTGTTAGCAAATATAACATTATAAAAACCTTCTAGTTGAGATTACATTAGATTACTAGAATTTGAAACTTTCTGCAACAAGTATTCATTTATGTCTCTGAGAGACGGCCCATGGACTGATGCTGCTACTATTGAACATTAGAGTTATAGTCAGTGTTGGGAAAGTTACTTTTAAAATGTATTCCCCTACAGATTACAGATTACATACTCCAAAATGTAGTTTGTAACGTAATCCATTAAATTACTTAAAGTGAGTAATGTAATCTGAATACTTTGGATTACTTGATTAGCTGTAGAGCAGCAAAGACGAGGAAATCTTCACATGTTCAGATGTTTTATCTGCTAAAGACAATAAAAAGCCAAGTCTTTACTTAACCGTATTAAAAATATTATTGATAGAAGAGGAGGAGACACGATCCACGCAGCCTGGTTTAGTCCTGTTGAATCCTGTTTTAGTCCTGTTTTAGACCTGGTTTAGATCTAATTTAGACCTGGTTTAGATCTAATTTAGACTTGGTTTTGATCTAGTTTAGACCTGGTTTTAGCCCCAGTTTAGATCTAGTTTAGACTGGTTTAGACCTGATTTTAGCCCTGTTTTAGACCTGGTTTTAGTCCTGGTTCAATCCTAATTTAGTCCTGGTTTAGTGTCCGGCAATGAGTGGAATTGCCAAAAAAAAAAGATATAGCCCAAAATGTGAAAACAGGAAAATACTGTCGTGTGATCCATTTATTTCAACAAAGTAACTGTAATCCAATTACCACTCACTGAAAAAGTAACTGTAACTGAATACAGTTACTCATAATTTGTACTCTGATTACGTAACTCAGGTACATGTAATCTGTTACTCCCCATCACTGGTTATAGTGCAGCGTTGTTGTCATAAAGGTAGTGTATGACTTCTTTAATTGAGCTAAAATCTATGATTGTCTTTTGTCTTTAAGATATGCAAGTTCTTTCAGAAGAATACTGGATGTGGATCATGTCCTCAAATCTTCATCCCTTAAAGAGTTTGAGGAGAGACTTTTCTGTAATCATCACCAGTATGAGGAGCCATGGGGACTGGCCCCCTCTGTGGCCTGGGAGCTGAAGGACCGCGCCCATCCCACTGAGGACTGGGGCAGTTACTGGGAGAGGAATGAGCCTCTAAGAGACGCTGATGAGGTGGCAATACCTGTGCTTTGTATCTGCAGCCAGGACGACCCACTGCTGCCCCCTGTCTGCGCTCTCCCTCTCAGCCTTTTCCAGAATAACCCTTACTTCATGCTGCTCATCACTGAGACAGGGGGGCACTGTGGGTTCACCATCCAAAACAGTAATAATCAGCCTGAAGACATGAACTGGAGCCATATTGCTGTTCTGGATTATTTCAGAGCTGTGGTGGATTTCCTGAAAGGAGGAGAGAAAGATGTAGGGTTTTGGATTGGCCCCACGGGAGAGCAGAGGAACCGCACCAACACTTTAGCATCTTTTAGAAAGAGGAAATTTGCTGGGATGAAGCGCCCCCAGAATCAAAACATTAACCAGAGTCTGAACGAAGCTGGAGAGTTCACATGGAAGAGATCATACACACGCTAAGAAAAAAAAAAAAAGACTACACAATTAGAAAATAAAAATACAACACTGTAAAAGGAATTTGAGTACACTTAAAGGTGCATTGTGTTACTTTTCTGGCGGAGGGTCAAATACATTTATCCATGCAGATGTTATCGCTTTGTCTGGAATGTTTCACAGTATGGTATTAAACCTTTCTATCCTCATGGTAAGCAAACCAGACCAAGTTACAGTCAGATCTGTGGGGAGGCAATCCCGCTCACAGTCAGAATGCCTGTTTTTCTAGGCACTTTTGAGCTATAAATGCACTTGTAATTTAATAAATGTAAAGTAGAGCTATGTAATGTCATCGTGGAGCATTCTAGGCCGAGCAATAACGGATCCACAACTAAAAAGTTACTCCGTCTATGTAACTTTGTAATAAATACTGTGGAAAAACATGCATTCAGTTCATGAATGGGGGGGGTCACCTCTCCACCAGACTGCACAGATGACTTGCTATTTGGCATGGTGGACATGGGCACATTTAATATCATACTGTGCAAAGCAAAGCAATAATGTTTCCATAGAGACAATCAAGCATACCCTCCATGACTCAAGTTACTTTCTAGTGTACCTTTAAAATGAAATGGAGTTTTGCTTTTTGTTGCTTTGCAGTGAACCACTGTATAATGTACTGCTTAAAACAAAGGTGTTTTGTGGAGGCTGAAGTATTTACCTTCTGTCAACAAAGCATACACGGACAATGAAATATTAAAATTACTTTATTACAGATGATTCTTTATCGAGTAGCCCTCTTCCAACCAAAAATAGTAGTTACAAACAAAATATTACATTTAACCCCTAATCTTTGTATCTGTAATTCTTTTATACATTTTAAATCACTAAAGTCATCTGTAGGAATAGCTTCTCTTTTCTTCTATGTGACATTCAGCTTTTTGCACAATCTATACAATTTAATACAGTTTAATACAGATGTCTGGACCAAGGAGAAGAACAGCAAGATCCACCAAGTGACGGAGAATAAAGGAATACTGATAGACTGTACACAAACGAGACCCCGCCTCTCATGGACTATCAGCCAATGGCAGCAGTCCCTCAGCGGTGAGGTCATCACAGTAGACTCTAGTCTGGTCAATCACTTGTGCAATGAGTGCAACTGATCCAGTTCAGAGTGGCCAAGGTCTAAAGCTAGACTCTGCCCTGACTGCAAAAAATAACGCCGGAGTACATGTAAACAAAAGAGAAGGGCATAAGCGGCCCGGCCCTCTGCAGCAACAAATGAAAATAATACAAACATTTCTGGCTTTCATAGGGCTATCTTTGGACAATGGCTAAATTGCTTTTTGACCAATTTCAATAGAAAAGGGATATGACCATGAGTAATTACATAAACTCCCCGTTAGGTTGTCAATATCCATTTAGCACATACAACTATTATATTAAACTAAAAATTTTAAAATACAATACACTGAGCAGTGTATACAAGCCAGAAAGAACTGCATTGACCCAAACATTTTGCTGTTGCTAAAATAACACATATTCAACCGTTTATAAAATGCAGCCACTGCTAAATCATAGGCTAAAACCTATCTCCAGTTTATGTGCAAAATCATCCTCACTCAACAAGTTATCAAAAATTGCCATTTATTCAAGGCAATCTAACTTAGGGTTGTGTTGTCAAATTTACAAAAAGAAAAACTAACACATTTCTGAACTCACAGTTGTAAGTTTGAGTGAGCTCCCAGTGTCTGTAAATGTTGGCTTAAAATCACACTGTGCCCATGTTAAAAGCTTTGATGTGTCCATTAGTTTCTTATTCTTTCAAGTTTAAAATATACAATATAGACAACATTTACATGTACATTCCACCTCCAAATATACAATGCATAACATCTGCATTTCACCAAACTTCCACCTTTATCAATACTCTATAAACCTCTTATAGATTCATTTACATTTACATCTGTATAGTTTCACGTGTAGAGGTGGGTAGGGGTGGAGGCCAGGGGTGAGATAGAGCGGGAGTCAGAGCAGGGGAGGGCACTGGGGCATGGCATTGGGGATCCAGCACCACCGGCACCATCCAGGGTCCCACTGCGCCACAGAATGTCCTGCCAGGAGAGGGCCAGTCCTCTTTGGCAATAGCATAAGCAGTCATCTCAAGTGCGGAGAAGGACAAGGGTGCTCCTAGTAAACTATTTTTCTAATTTCACATTTTGCTGTAGGTTTCATAGACTACCGAGTACTGGCTCTCTTCTGGACAGTGGAAACCCAAAAGCCGAGGTAATATAGCTTAATATTTAACTGTCTACATTCATTCTCACATTCCTGGCACAGTCGTTTTGAAGCACAGCAATAAGTTGGCAAAAAGCATATTTTATGGCATTGTCACATCTTCATCTTGCACAGCTTTAGCAGAATAATATCTAATACCAAAGCAAAGCAGAGATTAGCTGCTTGCTATTTCTCTCTGATCCTTGTTCAGCTCCTTACTTCAACCACATTTATGAACCAAGAGCATCTTTCAAATGTTTCAGTAATACTAAACTTTGAACAAGCAATAAAACACCACAACTTTACAATATAATCTAATTTATATCACTGCACTTCAAATACAGTATTACGTCTAGAAAAGTTGCAAGTGTACAGCATGGCTACACTACACTGGCATTATGGCAACATAGATGTACATGGCAAAAGAACAGCAAAAGCAATTTGAGCGAGTATTCAAACACTGGAACCTACAACAAACCAACTCAAGGCTTTCAGGTTTCCACAGCCTTGTACTCATATTTTCTGATGCAGACGATCAGGACAGGCAGCATTTAAGTGAAGGCAGCTAAAATTGTCTCCCATCATGTTACACTTGTATACATCTACTTGGGAATTTACTATGTCCAATATTTTAAGGAGGTACTTTTTGTATAACTTTGGCTTTTAATCAGGATTTACTATGAAACTTTAGTACTTTTAGTATAAAATAGTTAATGGTAAATATCTTTTTGTCCGTTAACTCGAACTGCATCATAAATGTCCTAAGAGTGGCAGGTGTGACTAAGTGTAGGACAGGTGGGACCCGTTGGAGATTTGGGAGGTGATGCTGGCGCTCCTGCTCATGGCCTGTTCACTCCTGCCCCCTGATGACGTCCTTCTCGCAGCCTGTGGGCTGCTCCTCACCCCAGCCCCGCCCCTCTGCCCACCACCGGGGGGATGTAGGCTCCAGGGAGGAGGCCCCCCTGAGAGTATGGGGTGTCCCCAGGGCTGCTGTGAGCTGGAGCCCCCTTGGTGTTGACTGTGGCCCCCTCCTCCAGCAGGCCAATGTGCCCCACCCTGTGCCCCGTGGTTACTCAGGACCATGTTACTGAAGCCCAGGCGCATGGACTCTGAGTCGAAGGCCTCGATCTCTCGCGCCTGCCGCTCCAACAGAGAGCGGATCCTCTCCAGGCGCTCATTCTGCAGTGCTTGCATCTCCTCCTCAATCTGAAACACACAGGGTTGCAGAACAGAACAACACAATTAAGAACAAGTCTATAGTCCACAGTTTGAAATGTCTTTTGTGCCTCCTCACCTTCTGTTCCAGTAGAGCCCGCCGCAGAGACACCCTCTGCTCCAGGTCGCGCCTCTCCTTGTCGTGCTGTGCGTCTGTCTGCATCTTGATCTTGCTCTGGTAGGCATTAAGCAGCTCCAGCTCCTGCTGCAGCTGCATTCTTAGGACCTGACACTCACCCTCCTGTGCCTCGTCCAAACGCAGCTATGACATACAAGGGTTTACCAGTCACTGGCCATACTGTACATAAATTTGGCAATAAAGTGTAAAATTACTGTACGTAAGTTTGGCAATAAAGGCTCTCATAGAGGTTTAGTGCTGCAGTACTTACAGCTTGTGAGGAGAGCATCTCATTGATAGAGTGGTCATATTGCTCTGCGAGGATGGCCAGTTTCCTGGTCTGCTCCTCTTTGAGCCTTTTGAGGACAGCCTTGTGCTCAGACTTGGGCGTGGTCTCCAGCAGGTGGTTCCTCAGGGCCTTGTACTGCCTGGTCTGGGTCTTGCATGTCTCCTGAAACTGCTTTTTGATCTGAAGTTCCTTGGACTGTTGGGACAGAGTGGTCTTAGATGTGTTGATACTTTGTGATTCTGACAGGAAAACAAACCAGTACCTTCAGGCTCTTGGGCTGCTGTCTGACCTCCATGACATGTTTGCGTCGCAGCTCTCTCTCCCTCCTCTTGTTGTACTCCAGTTGGTTGGTGAGCTCAGTCTGGTGCTGGGTGCGGATCAGCTCAGCCCGAGCTTTTTGGATTGTGCCCAAGTGTCTGAACTCCAGCTCCTGCATTGACTCGTGGTGCCGCAGCAACATGGCATGCTCCAGGTCTTTCTGTGTCTGCCGCTTGTTTAATTCCTTCAGAAATGACAGACAAATTAATCCAATGTAAATCGCAAATGATCATGTCATTCTTGGGATGTACCTCTCTGGCCAGGTCCTGTTCCACATTGTGTCTGTTGATGAGGATATGCCGTTTAAAGCGCCGGCACTCAAGTTCTAAATACTGACGCTGTTTCCTCAGTAGATTGGCCTCCTCCTCCGCCTGTGAACAAATTTCAAAATACAAAGTAAAGTCATACAGTGTAAACGAGAAAAAAAAAAAGTAATGAATTTAAATTTCAAACCTGGTAGTTCTGGATATTCTCTTTTTGCTTGGACAGCCACTCTTGTTTCTCCTTTTTGGGAGTAGATTGGTTCTCACTCAATTCCTGTAAACACACAATACCATTAAATGTATATTATTGCAGTTGTTTTTGGTTTTGTTGTTGTTTTTATTGCGATGTTTTCAATATTTGTGTAGTATTCTCATTTTGATACATTGCTTTTTTTTTTTTTAATTTAAAGTGCATTTACAAAATATGTACTTAATAATATTACAAACAAGTTTTTGCCTGTAATTATTATGGAAATGTATAGTTAGTTATAATAGTTTGTGTGGTACCTCTTTTAGCTGCTCTTTGCGCAGTTTGTACTCTCGTTTCTGAGATTCCAGGAAACTGCTCAACTCCTTCTTCTGTTGAACCTGGATGTGCTGCTGGAACTTCTTCTCCTCATTGGCAAAGGTCTTCAACTAAAATCATGTGATACACTGTTAAGGACTGCTGTAAGAATAGACCCGTTTAACAAGATTTCTGTCATTTCTAGAATGATGGAGAAAAAATGCAACACAATGCCCAGAGATATTTCAGTGCCACTTACAATAGAGTAAATGTGTAATGGAAATCATAACAGG